GCCTTATTTAGTTCCAATAACACCTTAGTAGCACATCTTTGCCAAAGTCACTTCTCACCTCTCCTACCCAAAATGAAAAGGGGTCCTGGGCCCTGTCTCCCCCACCAAGAGCAGACACAAATCTCTGGAATAAGGGAAGATTCTCCTTCACAACAGATTTAAAGGGTTAAGATGCAGAAATAAATTAACATTTACTAAGCTCCTACTATGATTTAATGCCCACTCTACTATGGACAAATAACTACAACTTAAACAGTTAATACACATAAGTCACTTAGAACAGTGCCTGGCACATAGAAAAACCACATAAATGTTAAATTTTAACACTTATTATTCTTACTATCTGTCAGGCTCTGTTAGACTCTCTCTATACTCTTCCCTTCATTCCTCATATCTGTTTTTACGTGAGTATCACTGTCCTCATTATAAAAGTACCTATGACTCAGAGTGATTAAATATTTGCTCAAGGTCAGTAACAACTGAGAAGAGGTGGAATTTAACTGAGGCAATGCCATGATCCTTCATCTATAGCAGAGGGCCTTCAGAGACCCTGCAGCTTAATGAGACCTAATAAGCTTCCCTCTTTTCCAAATACTGAGGTTGCCCTGCATGTGCCACAACTTCCTTACCCACACAGCCGATGGTCACCACCCCATCCTTGTAGCGCTCTCGGGTTAGGCCAGCTGGCTCCATTGCTGAGTCAGACTGCTGCTCTACCAGGACTGCTGGCCCGTCATCCTCTTCCTCCTCCTCACCAGAACCATTGCCCCAGGTGGCCCCAGCCACATCCCGGGCAATCTTCTCCCGCCAGCTGCTCAAATCCACTGCTCAGGGAAGAAGACGAAGAAGGTTTTCCCCAGGGCCACCATATATCATGGCAGACTATGATGGCACTGCTGGTGTAACCAATACCCTCTGGAGTTGGATAGTGTCAACCTGCACCATGCACGACTCCACAGTCTTCACTTGACCCCACCCTAGAATCACATGCACTTCTCTGTCAAAGTTTTCTGAACAGTCCTGGGAAGCCTGAAGGCAGCTATGCTAGGGCTCCTGCCTCTGGGCTACACTAGGGTACCTGCTACCTCTCTGGTCCTATCAAGTCAGTCTTTTTTTTTTTTTTTAGACTTTATTTATTTATTTTTAGAGAGGGGGAAGGGAGGGGGTAGGAAGGGAAAAAGACAGGGAGTGAAACATGAATGCGTCGTTGCCTCTCGAGCATCCCTTACTTGGGGGCCTGGCACACAACACAGGCATGTGCCCTGACTGGGAATTGAACCAGTGACCCTTTGGTTCGCAGGCCAGCACTTAGTCCACTGACTCACACCAGCCAGGGCCCACCAAGTCAGTCTTCCATCCCTCGCCCCTAGCCCCTCGCCTCTGTCCATAATAGAGAAGTTGACTTCGAGAAAGTGAGCAAAATGACTCTGGGCCTTGGTCCCCCATGGCCTGCCACATCTCCCTTTAAGGGGCACAAACCTTTCCCTGCAGTGATGGCTTCACAGGCTCTCAGCAACTGCTCTGGCCCCAGGGCCTGAGTCCATCCTCTCCCCCGCCTTCGACTCTTCTTCAGGACTGAGATCCAAGGGTACAAAAGGATTAGCACACTCCATCTCTGCCACTAACCTCAGGTCCAAAATCAGGTACATCCTTATCGACATGCTTCTCTGTTCTCCCCTTCATCCCCTGCCACACTACCTTTCCCATGTGCCCTCCTCATTGCCCACTCACCACTACTAGGGTCCTGTGGGATGCGGGGATCCCGAGGGAAGGAGGTGAAAAGGACGATATGGAGCTGGGGAAAGTGCTGGTGGAAATAATGCTTCCAGGCAACCACGAGAGCTGGTGGGGCCAGGTCCACTTTGTTCAGGACCAGCACCAGGGCCAGCCCAAGTTCTCCAGTTACATACTCATAAAGTGCTGGTGGGAAATTCACAACCTGGGATAGGGTTGGTAAGGGGATGAGCAATGAGAGGTCAGCCCAGAGGTCTCTGCCTCTAGCTCCCCACTCAGTAGGCACAGCTTGGAGACAAGACCCTGGTGGTAGCAGATTCTAGGGCAAGAAGGGTAAATCAGCCAAACTGCACTAGAAAGACAAAACAGGGGTTAAGTTAATATCTGTGCATTTGTGTAGGAATATGTGTACAACTCGTTAAGGACCTTCAAATGAGGTCCTCTTAACATCTCTCACAAACTTCCCTTCCTCCCACTGGAAGATAACAGTGAAGCAGCAAAGCAGGTTCATACAAGGGCCATCCAGCAGGAGAGTCTAGAGCCTTAACCACTACCCCCACATTCCAGGTAAGTCCTGTGCTCACTGAGGTGGCAGGGCAAGGGGACGCTCCCAGCGGCCTTCATTACATCCCCAAGAGCTCCACTCTGGGACTTTCTATTGGCTTAGCTCAGCTGGGCTAGAAACAGGATAGGCAGTTTTTCTTTCTTTCTTTCTTTCTTTTTTTTTTAATTTTTTATCCTCATCTGAGGCCATGCTTATTGATTTTAGAGAGAATGGAGGGAGGGAGGGAGAGAAACATTGATGTGAGAGAGAAACATCTACGGATTGCCTCTTATACAACCAGGGACCAAACCCATAACCTAGGCATGTGCCCTGACCAGGAAGTGAACCCGCAATCTTTTTTTGGTTTACAGGATAACCAACTGAGCCACACCAGCTAGAGCAAGCTATGCAGTCTTTCATCAAAGGAATAACAGAGAGGAGAGTCAGTTGGCCAGGAAGGAGTGACAGGCTATGACCCTAATGAATAAAGGGCTGAGTCCCTGACTACAGACATCAGCACAGGATAGAGACTACAAAGGAAGGTGGATACCTCCCTGTTTCCCAGCTCCTGTTTTCGCCCTTGACCCCACAAGAATCTTTCTCCCTCCTCCTGCTTGCCCAGCCTCATCCCAATACTCACTGGATGTCGGACATCAGTGATAAGCAGGACAATGTCAGACATCTCTAAAACTCGCCACAGTTGCCTCCATGTCTAAAAAGACAAAGTTGATTGATGAGACCCTGAGCCTAGAGTCCCTTTCCTGTCTTACCCCAGGCCAATTGGACCCTGGGTCACTATGCTCCACTCCTGTCCCCCTTCCATTCTCACCTCCAGATTGTGCTCAAAGTAGCTAAGTTTCTCTGAAGTATAAGCCCCATGAATCTTCCCAAGATACTCCTGGAAGCTCCATTCCTCCTGGCTCATTAGTTGTTCCTTAGACATCTCATAGCTCCAAGGGGGACGTCGAGGAAAGTCCAGTACTGCAAAAATCAAGAAAGATCCAAGCAAGTCTGAGAACAGTTTCAGGGACTCCAGGGTGCATCCCAAACCCTCCCTCCTCAGTCAGTTTTTACTCTTCCACACTCCTTCCCCCAGTCCAGTGCCCGACCCAAACATCCAGGTATTGAGTTCTCCCTCACCTGAACCAGGCTGATAGACCTCGTGGATGTCCAGCTCCAGCACCTCAGCACTGACCGGCTGCAGCACTTGCTCCCGGGCTGCTCTCTTTCTCCTCTCCACCTCCTCCCGGCTGTCTCGTTCAAAATGCAGTCGGTATCTATGGGGACAAGGACCAACGCATCCATCGCAATCCTGTGACCACAAACTCCCTACTTGCACAGACGACTTCTCTAAGCTTCTCTCCAAGGCTGTTTGCCTCCTAAGTCGGCCCTACCCCAAATCCCCCTTTCGCGTAGTATTCTCACCCTTCTAAAACCAAAACTCTCTCCACCCCTCCGGAAGGGAAGATTGTGGCCCGCTCCCGTGAACGCAATGGCCCGCGGAGAACCATGGCATCCCAGCCCCACCACCTCCAGTTTCAGGCCTTCACCAGTGGCAGCCGGCTTTCCCCCCAACTCCCCCCAACGCTCTGACTTCCTGGTAAGCGGGGAAGGCCCACTCTCACCGATTGGGGTCATAGCCTCGCGGGCCCAGACCCTGGGAAGGCTGCTGGTTGAGCCTACGGATGTGATGGGTCACAGACTCCCCGTCCGATGTGTCAGTCTGCTCCTCCCGCCGTTCCCGGCTCCCGCTGCGGCTGTTGGAACTGGATCGCAGCCCATCTTGAAGCCCTGCGGGGAGGAGCCGGTGACGCCAGTGCTGGTCGGCTCTCAAGAGCCAAAAGATCCCTTCTCCAGTCTGCCTGGCTCCCCCTCACCCCACCCCCACTTCTTTTGAGGCCCGATCTCTCACACAACCTGCTCAGGACCCTCCTGGATGGCCTTGGAGATAGTCACTCCTCCTCCAAGGATCTGCGGGGATGGCGCCCGTTCGAGCAAGGGGGATTCCCTTCCCCCAACTCTCCATCCTTACCCACCCCTTTCAGGTAAGGGTGTTGGCGTGAGAGAATCCCCGCCGCAGTCGCCCGCCAGCTTGGGCGCGCGGCCACCGCACCCTCCTCCACCCCTCAGAGGTGCGGAGGGCACACCCCTCCTTCCAGCTGTGCGGGAGCTCGAGCCCCGCCCCCTCCTCCCGCTACCTCACTGACCTCGCTTCCGCTCCCGCTTGTCCTGCAACTGCTTCTTTTTCTGCTTCACGCTGAAGGGCTTCTTCCTCGGCATGGCCCGGACCAGTCACCTGGCCCGCCCTTCGCCGAGCTCCCGCCGCCTCAACTGACTCCCCCTCCGGGGGCAGCCCAAGCCACCAAGGCCCGGGACCCTCCAAGGGGTGTGGCTATGCGGTGACGTCAGCGGGCGGGCCCAGCCGATTCGCCCCAGTAGCCAGGCTGGAAGGCGGGTGGATGCAGGGAAATACAGTCACTTCTCTGCCAGAGCAAGGAGAGATGATGTGGGGTGGGCTCCCGCAACGTGAGAGCCAGCGGCACAGAGAGGGCACAGTGGCGGTGAGGAAAGAGGCGCGCGTGGGAGGATCGGGCTCACTCCGTCACGGACGCTACCACCTCGCGCTGGGAAGAGGGGAGGATGCGCGTCATCCGTACCTGCGCGCCAGGGAGAAGCTACCACTCACCTGGAGGGGCGGTGGAGCTGCAGGCGGGTCCTACCACCTGGGGAGAGAGGGGTGCGGACAAAACGCTGCAGCTCTCCCAGCCCCGGGGCTTGACCTGAAAGGGCTGAGAGTGCTCGCCGGGGATTGGAGCCCAGTTCTGCGTTACACTGTGGGTAGAGTCAGAGGTCTAGAACCGTGATGGCGGTCTGAAGCATCCTGAGGCCGCCCTGCCGGAACCCAAATTACTGATGGAAAGAATGAGAAGAGGCAGGTTTACAGATCAAAAGGACAAGTGCAGGCAAGGAGGGAAACCCTGGTGTTACTAGGGCTTTGGGAGGAAGGTCAGAGGTCACGAAGTTGTGCCTGCAGCTGTTACCATAGTAACCGGGGACCGGATGTGGCGGTCTTAGGGTGCGACAGCCCTCTTTTCAGACCTTATAGCGCGAGAATTTGAGGACTCTACACTGGGAAGCCGGTCGTGGAGGTTTTTTCAGCAAGGAGAGAAAGGAATTTTTTAAGCATTTACAGTAGCGCAACGAAGGGAAAATTTGAGATTGCCGCTGTGCCTTGGCAGAGACCAAGGGAGGCAGCTCACGTGAGAAAGCCGCACAAAGGCTCCCACGCCTTTCCGGAAGCTAAATGGGGGCGCCTCGGCCTCCACGGCCACCGCCCCCCGGAAGCGGAAACAATCCCAGCGTGCCCCTTCCTCACCGTCCTCCAAATCACGCTGCAGCCATTGCAGCAACCACGATGCCCAAACGAAAGAAGCAGGATCAGCAGAAGCAGCCGCTGGACCCTCAAGTACCAAAGCGGGAAGAGATTGGAAACGAAGACGATGGGAGTCCTACGGGTGAGGAGCACGGGGGCAGTATGTATATTGTCTGTCAGCCGGTGGGGGCGAGGACTTAGGGGCTGAAAGGTGCGGGACCTGGGGCTCCCACAGAAGGAGGAAGGGCGCATGCGCTGAGGTGGGGAGGGTGGCGTTAGGGGCAGATCTGGGATGGAGCCTGAAAGAGTGCTCTTACTTGAACCCTCAGCTGTAATCCGGCTCCTAAACCTTTTTTTTTTAAAGGCTGGGGAGGTGAGGCTATAGGGCTCGTGTGCGTAGCCGCAGAACGGCAGGAGAGAGGGGCCATAGAGAGATTGCAAGTTGCGATGACTGGTATAACAATTTGTGACCAGGTGTTCAAAGGGAAAAATAGAAGTGTGTCCTCTAGACTACTGGGGGGAAGGTGAAGCTATCTGATAGGCCAGTTGTTAAAGAGAGGATAGCAACAGTGTCAGGGAAAGAGAAAATTGTAGGTATTTCTCCCGCATTATTCCCCTTGACCAAGTCTCCGCTTTTTTACAAATCCTGAAAACTTTTGCAGTGGAAAGAAAAGATAGATAGGGTGAAAACTCCCAACACGACTAAGACTCTACGTGGTTTTATTGGTTGGATTAAGAAATGAGTAACAAACAAAACAGAAGAACAGAGTCTCGCTGGCTAGTGTGGCTCAGTGGATTGAGTGCTGGCTTGCAAACCAAAAGGTCGCTACATTTGATTCCCAGTCAGGGCAGGCAACCTGGGTTGCGGGCCAGGTCCCCAATTGGGGGCGTGTGAGAGGCAACCAATCGATGTTTCTCTCCCCTCTCTTTCTCCCTCCCTTCCCCTCTCTCTAAAAATTAAAAAACAAAAACCAGGATCATCAGTCCCTTAGTTCATTATAATGATGACCATATTTTTGTGTCTCCTTTTAGGATCACCCAGCCTTCTGGGCCCTCCCCCCATAGCCAATGGAAAGCCTGGTGACCCCAAGTCAGGTGAGGAGGAAGGGGCCCAAATCATTTTATTATGTCCTAGAGAAGGGAGCAAGGGAGGGACTAAAACCCAGGAAAGACTTAAGCAAAAGATCAGGGATTCAGAACCTAAATGAAGAGATGTTGTGTGTTCACAGATTGGAAAACTCAGTGTTGTAAAAATGTCAGCTCTTCCCAGTTGGTCTGTAGATTCAGTGCATTCCCAGTTATAATCCCTATTTTTGTGTGTGGAAATAAACATTCTGCATTATTATATGGAAATGCGAAGGATGAGGGTGAGAGATTGCAAAGGTGATCTTGAAGTGATAGGGCTTGCTCTGAATATCAAGACCCAGTGGAAAGCTAGTTATAATGATTTGGTGTTGGTGCAAGGATAGACATATAAGTCAATAGAACAGCATAAAGGATCCAGTAATAGGCCCACGCATATCTGAAATAATGGTATTTTCAATTAATGGTGCTGGATTAATTGGATACTCATGGGGGGAAAATGAAATTTGACCTATTCATACCATATACAAACATCAATTCCAAGTGGAATCTAGATCTAAGTGTAAAAGGTAAAGAAATAATTCTAGGAAATAAATATATTACATTGTCTTAGAGCAGATAAGAGTTCTTACACAGGAAACACACACTAACCATAAAGGGAAGATTTATAAACTGAACTACATTAGAAAATAAACTTCTATTAATCAAATGACACCCTTAAGAAATGAATAAAGTAGAAGATACTTGCAACAAATGTAAACAATAAGGAACTCAAATCTAGAATATAAAGAACTCTTATGGACAACCTGTTAGAAAAGTGTAAATGGCAAAAACAAGTGAACAAAAACATCATTAGTTGACAAATAAACACAAGATAAAAACATACTACTCTGAAACTGAAATGCTTGTCCACTTATAAAATGGTACAACCACTATAGAAGACAGTATGGAGGTTCCTCAAAAAATTAAAAGTAGAACTATAGTATGATCCAGCAATTACACTTCTGAGATATATCCAAAAGAAAAGAAAGCAGAATCTTGAAGAGATACTTGCACACCCATGTTCATTGCACTATTCACAATAGCCAAGAGATGAAACCAACCCAAATATTTGTTGACAGATGAATAAACAAAATGTATATTCATACAGTGGAATATCATTCAGACCCTCAAAATAAGAAAATCCTGTCACATGCTACTGCATGGATGAACCTTGAAGCCATTATGCTAAATAAAATAAGCCAGTCACAAAAAGGAAAATACTATATGATTCCACTTATATGAAGTATCTGAAGTAGTTAAATGCATAGACATGAAGTAGAATGGTGATTGCCAGGGGCTGAGTAGAGTGGGGAAAGGAGAGTTGTTTAGTAGCTACAGAATTTTAGTTTTACAAGATTAAAAAAAGTTCTGGAGATCTGTTTCACAACAATGTGAATTTATTTAACACTACTGAGATGTACACTTAAAAATAGGTAAGATGGCAAGTTTTATGTTATATATTTTACCACAAATTTAAAAAAGAAACTTTTCACATTCAGCAGAATTGCAAAAAAATGAAAAGTTTAACAATACCCAACATTGTTAAGGCTATGGAACAACTGCTAGTGGGGGTATAAATTGATACAACCACTTTGGAGAAAGTTTGACTTTATTAAACTTGAGCATACATACACTATAGGACCTAGTAATAACCTCTACTAGATATATACTCAACAGGAATGCATACATACGTTAACAGACGGGTATTAAAATGTTCATAGCATTTTTCATTATAGCCCCAAACTCAAATCCACCAACATGTCCACCCTCAGTAGAATGGATAAGGTGTTGTGTGTACATGCAATGGGATGCTACACCTCAATCAAAACGAACTGCAACAGGCAACCTGGATGAATCTCACAAACATGATGATGAGCAAAAGGAGCCAAACACAAGAATGCAGACTGTTTGATTCCACCTATGCAAAGTTCAAAAAACTAACGTATGATGCTAGAAGTCAGGACAGCGGTTATGTTTGCAGAGGTGGGTAGAATAGTTAGGGAGATGGGGCTTCTCGAGTGTTTATAAGGTCCTGTCTTCACCTGGGTGGTGAAAACACAAATGTGTTTACTTTGGTAATAGTTAAGCTGTACACAAGAAATTGGTTTATTTTTTGTGTGTATATAATGTACTTCAGTAAAAAGAAAAAAAAATTTAGGGCTTCTTTATCAGGTTTAAGTTAGCCATTGATCACCTTTCCATGCTCTCTCTCTCTCTCTCTCTCTCTCTCTCTCTCTCTCTCTCTCTCTCTCTCCCCCCCCCCCCCCAGCTCTTCACAGAGGTCCTCCAGGATCAAGGGGACTGATGATTCCACCACTGCTGACTCTCCCACCTCCTCCCCGGGGCAGAAGCCCAATTTGGGGAGGCTTTGGCCCCAGGTCTGGCCCATATGGTCATGGTTGGTGGGGGGTCAATGCTGAGCCTCCTTTTCCCAGACCAGGCCATAGTAGTTCCTCCAGGGGAGGCTTTCACAAAGAACAGAGACATCCTCGAAGGCTCAAAAGCTGGTCACTTGTCAAGAATACCTGCCCTCCCAATAATGAACCCCAGGTTATGGAAGGTGAGGCCCATTTTTTTATGCCTGTACACATTTAATACCCATCACTCCCAGAGTGACCATGATTCTTTTCCTTTTGGCTGTCCTTTGTCCTCTTGAAGTGGGAGTAGCCTTGAATGTTTTTTCTTCCGGAGAAAGACTACCATTCCAGAATATCTGGAAATGGTAGGGAATAGGAAATCTGACCCTCTCTCTATCTCTACCCTCTGTTACCTTTATTTTCTTTCTTACATTTTAAATTGCCCAATTTTCACTTATCCACAGACAAATCTGACCGCCCTGTTTGCCGACACTTTGCCAAAAAGGGCCACTGTCGTTATGAGGACCTCTGTGCCTTCTACCACCCAGGCGTCAACGGACCTCCTCTGTGAGACTGCCTTCCCATCCAAGCTGGAAGGAGCCCTCTGTGACTTAGTGGCCACATATTTCCCTGTGGCCCTGTGATGGCTACTGTGATGCTGTTCCATCCACCACCTCCCAGTCAGTGACACCCACCCCTATCCACCACCTCTCCCATTTGAGGTCCAGAGTTGTGTTTCATCACTGGTGTACCATGTGATCTTCTGATCAGCTCCAAGAGACTTGCCTTCAGTATTCCATCTTTGCTCCTTTCAACTGCTTCCTGGATCTCCTCTCCTTCGCCAACTGAATGCCGAGCAGGAAGTTTATTTGGTGCTGTTTCTTGTGCAATTGTCCATCCAGCCCCCAGTATTGCCCTCAATTCCTGAGCCCTGTAGCAGTTTCCTACCATTCCCTCCTTCTAGCTGCTTGTTTTAAGTCCTTTTTATGTGGTACCCTTACTCCAATGTCAGCAACTCCCCAATGTCTGTGAAACTCCCCAGGTCTGGCCTGGGGTCAAATTTCAATGACTGGTACAGAGTCACTCCCTGAAAAACCACTCTCCCTGCAATTGGATTTTGTAGCTTCGCCATCAGTAGCATGGCCTCCGCTACTGCTGTGGTCTGTCCTCACTGTGCTTTGTGAACTGTGCACCCCCTCATAGCCTTTCTCAGTGTCCATGGCATTTCTGTGGCTTCCCAACACTGCAGTATTTCTGCCAAAATGAGTGAGGCTTTTGGTGCCCTCAAGACTTTCCCCACCTCCCAGCATGGGAGAACTGTGAAACTTTCTATAAGACTGCCTCCTTGGCCTCATTAGGTGTCCTCTGAACCCTCTGGTGGGCCTACCCTATCCCCTCTACAGCCCTTTTAGTTAAACTGCATCATTGTGAGGCCAGCAGGCCTTTTTGTTTGAATTCTGTGAATCCACCTGGCCTGTCTGGGTGGAACTTAGACAGTACTATCGTCCTCGGTCCAACCTCTACATCCCTGGTACTGGTTGTTTTCTGTGAAAACAACAGTGAACAGGCTCAGTCTTGAACTGACCCTGAGGGAATGGGTCAGGAGTTGTTTGGGCAAGAGGGAGAAGTGAGAGCTGTTGAAGAACTGAAAGTGAAATTTTTTTTCTTTTTAAGATATTTTATACTAGTAATAAATGCAAAGGAAATGAGCATTTTCTTTAATTCCTATGTTCAGTTGTCTGTGAAGGTGCAGATGAGGGTATTCTCATTGAAGATTTTTTTAAGCATCATTTTTTTCAGATTTTATTTTTAGAGAGGGGAAAGGACGGAGAAAGGGAGAGACATCCATGCGTGGTTGCCTCTTTGTGCACTCCCTACTAGGGACCTGGCTGGCAACCCAACCATGTGTCCCTACACTGGGAATAGAACCAACAAACACTTCTTTTTGCATGCCGGCATTCAATCCATGAGCCACACCGGCCAGGGCTTGAAGTCATTTATTCTTCATTTAGTTCATACACAGTGGTGAAAGAGAAAGGCAAAGCTTAAGTTTCTTCCAGGCTGAAGGAACCAGTTGGGGTCCCATTAACTGGACTAGGCTGCATTATGTTAAGGTTAAAATTTTGTGGGAGAAAGGAACAACCAAATAGCCGTGGAGTAATTTTTAAACATCTTTGTGTGTAGGTTTGATATTTATGGAGTGATGATGACAAAGCAATCTTTCAATAAATATTTGTTGAGCCAGGCACTATACTAGGCACTAGAGACAACAGCCAAAACCAGTAAGTTGAAAATCTACAAACGGGAACATGTTATTCCAAAAAATCACAAATACATGTGAAGTTAGAGGTCAATAGTGCTGTAGAGAAGTAAGACATGATGAAAGGGGGAGTATGTGATAAAGGGAACCTTGGAAGATGACAACAGGCAAACTGAAGGATGAGTAGGTAAGATGGTAGAACACATACAATAAAGTTGCAGGATACAAAATGTACAAAAATCCACAGCTTTCCTATGTACTAACAAGGGGGGGAAATGAGAAACAATTCCTTTTGCAACTGAAACCAAGAGAACAAAATACCTACTAATAAAGGACATGAAACACCTATATACTGAAAATTACAATGTATTACTAAAAGATACAAAGAGACAGCATGGGAAGATACTCTGTTCATGGATTGGAAGAATCAACATAGTTAAAATGACCATATTGTTGAAAGCAATATACAGATTTAATGCAGTCCCCATCAAAATACCAATGGTTTTTTTTTTTTAGAGAAATAGAACAAAAGAATCAGATTTATATGGAACTACAAAAAAAAAAATAGCCAACGCAATTCTGAAAGAAGCTGGAGGTATCACATTACTTGGCTTGAAATTACGCTACAGAGCTACAATAATCAAAACAGCATGGTATTGGCAGAAAACTCATGCACATATCCATGGAGCAGAACTGAGCCCAAATATCAAACCACATGTATATGGACATAATTTTTGACAATGGAGTCAGAAACAATCGGGGTGGGGGGACAGAGGGGCGTCTCTTCAAAAATGGTGCTGGGAAAATTGGAAAGACATGCAAAAGAAAGAAACTAGACTATTTGTCCCTATGTACAAAAATTAAATCAAAATGGATCAAAGACATGTAAGATCTGAAACAATAAATTACATAGAAGAAAACAGATACTAAATTTATGGACTTTGGTTGTGGAGAACATTTTATGAATTTGACCTCAAAGGAAAGGAAGTAAAGGCAAAAATAAATGAAATGAACCATAGTAAACTAAAAGGCTTCTGCACAGCATAAGAAACCAGCAACAAAACAGGCAACTGACTGAATGGGAGATGAGATTTGCAAACAACAGCTCTGACAAATTTTTAATATCCAAAATACATAAAGAGATGAATAAAAATACCACACAATCTAATTGAAAAATGGGCAGAGAACCTGAACAGACACCTCTCCCCAAAAGACACAAATAGTGAACATTTACATGAAAAGATGTTCAACCTCACTAGCTATTAGGAAGATGCAAATCAAAACTACAATGAGATACCACTTCATACCTGTTAGAATGGCTTTTATCAAGACAGGTAATAACAAATGTTGGAGAAGTTGTGGAGAAAAGGGAACTCTCATTCACTGCTGGTGGGAGTGTAGGCTGGTACAGCCACTGTGGAGAATGGTCTGGCACTTCCTCAAAAAAATTAAGAATAGTGTTACCATATGACTCAGCAATCCATCTCCTAGGTATCTACCAAAAAAACTCAAAAACATATTCACAAAGATATATGCACCCCTATCATTAAAGCATTATCCGCAGTGGCCAAGACATGGAGACAACCAAAGTGTCCTTCAACAGAAGATTCAATAAAGATTTGGTACGTATATACAATGGAATATTAGTCATAAGAAAAGACAAAATACTGCCATTTGTGACAGCATGAATGGACCTTGAGAATAGTATACTAAGCAAAATCAGAAAAAGCTAAGGAGTTTATGATTTCACTCATATGTGGGATATAAAACAAACTCATGAACACAGCAGTGTGCTCATTGCCAGAGTGAAGGGGGTGGGGAGTAGGAGGTGGAGGGGACCTAATATATGGTGACAGAAGACAGATTGACTTTAAGTGATGGGCACACAGTGCAATATACAAGTCCAGTATCATAGTTGTGTACACTTGGAGCGTTTATGATCTTATTAACAAACACCCCCAGTAAATTTAATTTTTAAAAAATAAGTGGGAGGAGTTCAAGGTTAGGCAGAAGAAAGGAGCTAACCTACTTGGGGCCTTACAGAACAAAGATTGGGGGCTTTTAAGAAAAAAGCCTTAGAAGAGTTTCAGATAGGCCAGTATCACAGGTTGGACTGATTTTTCTTTCTTTTTTTTTTAAGATTTTGTTAATTTTTTTTTTTTTTTTTTTTAGAGAAAGTAGAAGGGAGAAAGAAAGAGAAGTAGAGAAACATCAATGGATTGCCTCTGGCCCTGCAACCTCAGCATGTGCCCTGACTGGGAATTGGACCAGCAACCAACTGTTTGGTTCACAGTCCAGTGCTCAATCCACTGAGCCACACCAGCCAGGGCTGGATTGGTTTTTCAAAAACATCAACTCATGGTAGGGAGCTGGCCAAGCCTGGAGGTGGAAGTTAAAAGTTACTTCAGCAATCCAGGTGAGTCGCAGTGATGGCATCAACTTTGGTTGTGGAGTTGGGGAAAAGTGGAGTTTTGGAAATAAGAGATCAAAATGAATGTATTTAGGTTTTGGAAGGTAGTTCTGGCTTGTGTAACTAAGTGCCATTTAAAAATAAAGGTATTGGGAAAAAACAGGCAGAATGTCAGTAATTTCCTTTTGAAATGGTTGTGTCTAAGCTGCCTTTTTAAAGACATCCAAGGAAAGATGTAGTTGAATATACAGTTTTGATATTCAGGTTAAAACAAAGCATAAGTCTGAGTTATCTGCATCTAGGTGGTGGTTGAAATAATGGGAATGGATATATTTATTCACTGTAAATATTAAGTACCTACTATGGACCAGTTTGTCAACTTTAAGTTCAATTGTAACAGAAACCAAATAAGATAGAAGTTTACTTATTTCACAAGTCAAGAGGCAGACAATCTAAGGCATGTGTGACTATCATACTACCACAAGGTCCTTTGATATTACCTCCCCCCAGATTTCAACTCCACAATTCCTGGGGTCAGACCCTCCTATTCACAGTCCAAAGCGAAATTCCAGTTTGCTCATCCATGCTCCAAGCCTCAGGATTAAGGAAGGGCAGAGCACACCAGCTGTCTTGAAGGAAATTTCCTTGAAGCTAATATACAGGTCTTCAATTTATATACCACTGGCCGTAACTTAGACCTGTGGTCAATACCTGACTGCCAGTGAGGCTTGAAAAACTATGCTATTCAGGCAGCTATGAGCTGAGCAAAATGTACTTTCAGCAGGTGAAAACAGTAGGATGAATATCTTCTACCAGCTACTCCCTGCTAAAACTTCAGAATGCAGTAGAAAATAAGACAGTAAAAGTGACAATGCCCTTCCAGCCAAAGGCCACCAAGGACAAAACACTAATAAGCAAAGTTGGATTTATTAACTTTATAGATGTTACCTCATTACAAGAAGGTTAGGAATGACAGGATTAGGGGCTGTGTCAAGTGATTGGGGGAAAGTTCAAGAAAGAGGGGATTTGTTCTAGATTGGGAACTGTTGGGAAGTAGAGGCAATTTTACAATTGCACATCTTAATAAATCTCATATAGAAGGCAGGAGAAATGAAACATGGCTAAAGCTGTAACTAGGTAAAAAAAATTTAAAAAGCAGTCATCACTCATTATAGCCAAGAGGAAGCTGTTTACTATTGTTTAGTATTTATGGTTTACACAGTGACGTTGTTTTTGTCCACTCTTAGACAAGATTATGAACTTTGTCTGCACTGATGTCACAGAATGACCTTGTCTGCCACTGGTGTCCTGTGAGGTTCATTATGAATATGAGAGCACATGGTCTAGCTGTAAGTGCCAGGCCATTTCCCAGGCGCCAGGGCCTGTTTTCCTCAAAAATAAACAAATAATCACAGATTGTGGTTAATGGTATAAAGAAAACAAACAGGATATTGCATACAGAATAACACTTGGGGGCTACTCAAGACATGGTGGTTAGGAAAGACCTGGCTGAAGAATCTATAGCTAAAGTCACCTGTCAAGAGAACATCAGGTGGAAAGAAGAGAGGACCGAGACATCAGCCTTGAGGAAACTGATATTAATGGGCAAGTCAGGGTGGACAAGGGTGAGCCAGACAAGTAAACATGAGGTATGACCAGAAAGGCGGGAGAGATCTCAGAGTGCAGCATCATCTGATTGCTCTGTGCCAGGTACCATGCTAAGTTCTTCATAAGTATTGTTTTATTTAAGCCTCACATTCATTCAGTGAATGATTTAGCACCTTCTCTGAGCCAAGCACTGGGAGCTAGGGGTGTATCAATTAAAAAGACAAGCCTTTGCCCTGGCTGGTGTGGCTCAGTGGATTGAGCACTGGCCTGCGGACCAAAAGGTTGCTGGTTCAATTCCAGTCAGAGCATATGCCTGGGTTGTGGGCCCGGTCCCCAGCTGGGAGTGTGTGAGAGGCAACTGATCTATGTATGTCTCACACATCAATGTTCCTCTCCCTCTCCTCCCTCCCTTCCCCTCTCTCTAAAATTAAAAAAAAAAAATTTAAAGACAAAATTCTTGCTTATATGGTGCTTACAGTCTATTGAGGATGATCTACAATAAGGACATGTATAATATAATCTTAAGTAATAAGTGCTCTGAAGAAAAATAAAGTGAAGAAAGAGGTGGAGAGTGACAGGTCAATATTACAATATATAGGGCTTTGAGGAAGTAGCATGCAAATAGAGCCCAAAACTAAATGAGAAGGCAACCACATGAATATCTGGGAAAAAATGCATTCCAGGCATAGAGAATAGCAAGAGCAAAAAGTCCTGAAGCAGAATTGAGTCCTAATGTTTGAAATAAAAATAGAAGGCCAGTGTGGCTAGCCAGACTGCTGGAAATGAGATCAGAAAGGTCAACAGAGGCGAGGTCATACAGAGCCCTCTGTATGAAAAGCAAAGCATTTGGATTTTATTGTGAGCGATATTGCCAGGAAGAGAGGGGAAAGGGAGCAGCCACTGAGATGGAAAGGAAACCTGAAAAGCAGTGTCCCTGAAGAAAACAAGGGAAAAAGGGAGTGGCCATCTGTATTACTTGACACTGAGAAAGTGAATAGGATGACTGAGAACTGACCCTAATCCCTTGACCCTTGGCAGAGTGAATTCAGGCAGTGGTGGGGACACAAGCATGACCGCAGTGATTTAAGGAGAGAATGGGAGCTGAATAGGCTGACAGGCATCTGCTCCCAAACTTAGGTAGTAGTGTCAGAAATGAAGCCAGCCCTGGCTGGAATAGCTTAATGGATCGAGCACGTGCCTGCGAACCGAAGGGTCATCAGTTGGATTCCCAGTCAGGGCACATGCCTGGGTTGTGGCCAGGTCCAAAGTAGGGGGCTTTCAAGAGGCAACCACACATTGATGTTTCTCTCCCTCTCTTTCTCATTCACCTCCCCTCTCTCTAAAAATAAATAAATAAAATCTTTAGGAAAAGAAAAAAAGAAGTGAAGCCAAATCTTAATGGTGGTGTTGGTTTAATGGGTGTATATATGTCAGAACTTACCAAGGTGTACACTTTGCAGTTTCCCTGTCAATTTAGTATATGTGCATTTTATGGTATATTATACCTCAGGGGCTGGTCGAAGGTAGCATCCACCTAAAAAAAAGAAAAGGATGCCTCCATTCTTACATGCTAGTCGGAAATCAGTGAGGCGGCTTCTGGTAGCCACTGAGTTCATCTTCCCAGGCTGTCATAAATCCTCTGTCTACGCTGGGAACTGGCATGCGCCGCCCCCGCCCCGTCGTTGGAAGCCACGCCCCCACCGGCCGCAGACACGCCCCCTTGATGGTGGTGAGGCTAGCACAAGCACCGTCAGGGGCGGGGCCGGTTGTGCAGGCTTGCGTAGGTTGCGGGGTTCGGAACCCCATGCTACCGGAAGCGGAAATAGCCGTTGGCGCCGCCAGAGTTTCCGTAACTGCCATCGTGATGCCGAAGGGTCCTAAGCAGCAGCCGTCGGAGCCCGAGTGGATCGGGGACGGAGAGGGCACGAGCCCCGCAGGTGAGGCTCGTGGGCAGGGAGGGAACAAAAGAGGGAAGAGGAGAAGAGAAAGAAGAGTGTGCCTGTTTTAGCAGAAGGTCACGGAACGCGAAACTGACCGGGCCGCGCGGGGCTATTGCGCATGCGTGCATTGGGGCGGAGCCGCGTTTTCCCAGTCAGCAGTGGGTTTCGGGTACGCGGCGAAAGGAAAGGCGACCCGTGTGGCTTAGGAACTTAAATGGGACTGGGCAAAAGACGAGGAAGAGCATATGGAACCGCGACAGAAATGGAGAGAAATGAGAAAGTTCTCCTCTTCTCTTTTGGACACGTTCCGCACCACACTATATTCTACGTCCCACAGAAATACATAAACTGCATCTGGACCTCTGGCTGCGCTGCAGCGCACAGATAACACACACCCCTGAGGAGCCCATGATCCCACCTGCTTCTCAACAGAGGATGGCTCCTTCATGGGCTCTTTCATAAGGCACATCTGACTCAGCTGGAGAAGAAGTGAAGATGCTGAGTGTTGCAGTGAGGGTTAAGGTTTACTTGGAAACAGCAATCTTTGTTGAACACGTGTTTTTAATTAAGCACTATATATCCTGTGCTTTGGTGGGGCGGGGGGAGGGAAGAATATGAAGACATACTGCCAGGCTTGAAGACACTTCAAGGGGAAGATAAAATGTATACAAATGATTGCAGTAGGTACACAGTGACCAGTTCTACAAGCATTTATTGGATGTCTCCTGTATACCTGGTACTATGCAAAGGAACTAGGAAGGTAGGGTAGTATAAAAGCTAAGCCTTGCTTTGAAGGGGCATCCAGTCCACTGGAAGGGACAAAATATTAATTAGTGGTTGACAGAGTGTTTTATGAGTGCTTGAGAATGCTACAGGACTGAGAAGAGAGAAGAGACGCATTACCCAAACAGGTAGGGTAGGGGTGTTAGTGAAGCCTCCCAGGAATATGTGATATTAAATTCATTCTTGGAGAATCAGTATGAGTAAGGTAGCAAGGAGAACATTCCAAGCATAGGAAAAAGTGTGTGCAAAGCTGGTTCCCACTGCTTGGTGACTAGTGTAATGCAGTTAGAAAGATGTGCAGGAGACAGATAACGAAAGGCTTTGTACACTATTCTGAGGAGTTTAATTGAAGACCTATTGAACTGCATAAGGAAAGATACAATCAGTTCACCCCAACAGCACTGAGCAGTGGAGAATGGCTTGACTTGGTGGAGATTGGAGACAGGAAGACTGTTTAGGAGGCTGTCAGAATGATTCAGGTGAGAAGTGGTAAGAGAGTAAGCCAAGGCCCTGAAGACTAAAAAGTTAGTAAGGAAGTGGCGTTGACCAGAACGGGGAACTAACTGATGGAAGGGAGAATTAGTGATGACACTCACTTAAGTAACCCAGTAGGTAGTAGGGTATTAACTGAAAGCAGTGTGGACCATAGGCTGCGGAGTGGGAAAAGAGCAGTTTTGAATGCCGAGTTTGAGCTTTCTGTGCAATTTCTAAGAGGAGATGGCAGGGAGACAATTTGTTTAGTGGCTGTGGAGAGAGATCTAGTCTAAAAGGGAAGACACAGACAAGGGTAGTTGAGGTGATGGATGTCGATGCAGATTGAAGCAAAATAGGGCAGAAGATGGGAACCCAAAAGGATCTCAACAATTAAGGAAAGTAAGGTGAAAAAGGAGGCTGAGGAGATGAGATAGAGGCAAACAGCCAGAGACACTAAGGCAATCCAGGAGCAAGCAGCACTCCTGAAGTTAAATAATGACAGGAGAGAAGTAAAAGGTAGTAAGCATTGAATGTTGCAGAGAAGTCAAGCAACTAAGGACTAAAAAAAATATTTTGGGGGTTGAGCAGAAAGGGACAGTGGCAACTTTGTCAAAAGTAGTATTCATTAGGAGGTGATACCCAAAGAACATGGCAGTGTATTTGAAAAGGAACAGGAGGTGAGAAAGTAGACCTAGTGTGGACAATGTTTTTCAGACCCAGTGAAGACAGGATAGAAAACAATGATTGAGGGAGGAGATTGTAAAATTAAGGAAATTGTTTTATTTAACTTTGAAGTTAGGCGCAGCCCAAGTGATGTGTAAAGAGGAGCCTTTACAGGAGGAGAGATGGAAGATACAACATAGCTTAGCCACATTTAGCCTTATTCTATTCCTTGGTGATTAATTACACTTTCTCACAACTGAACCCATGCAAGGCTCTTCTCTCTGCGCTCAGGAGGGTCAGAGTGATGTTTAAAGTGCAAAAGACATTTAAAGGAAGGAGAGATGGGATGATCGTGTTAGTCCTTGGGGGAGAAAATGGTGTCTGGGATTTGTCACTCCTACGTGTTGTCAAGGTGAGTGGATCATGTTGTTCCTTCTTTTGGGGGTTTTTTGTTTTGTTTTGTTCTAATGTGCCTTCTTACGCGTTTCATTGTATCATCCTTCTTAATGTTTTTAGGCTTAGACTCCTTGGAGTAGCATATAAAGCCTTCGTTATTTCTCCTGCAGATCTTTTCCAATCCATCACACTAGTCACCCAATACTGAGATCAGATTGTGAAGTGTGTTCTTGATGGGGGAGTTCAGCATGCCTGGGACTGAATCAAGGGGTCAAGAGAAGCCATTGTCCAACACATAGGTATAGGTAGAGAAACAGAGATATAGCAGAAAAGGTAGGATAGGGCCCTTTCAATCTGAAGCCCTAAATTGTAGGAATTGTCCTCATTAATCACCAGTTTTAGGCATAGTAGATGTGCAGTAAAACTTTCCTAAATAAATGATTGCTATGGATGACATGGCATTCTGGTCTGAGAAGTACTTTAATGTGGTACATAGCAGAAGCCATTGGAGTTTTTTGTTTGTTTTTGTTTGTTTTAAGCTAAATGATTACAGTCATGCTTTTGGACAAGATGGGATGGTTTGGAGGGAATATGATGGTGGATAGGCCTGGAAATGAAGAGAAATCATGAAGCTGCTAGTTGGCTTCCAGACTGGTGGTGGGAGGGAGATAGGGAGATAGACATAGTCTGCTTCCCTCAAGGAAGCCCGGCTAGACAGAAGAGAGGAGCTGGAATTTATTGTCAGTATACTTTTAACTTACTGATTTTAGAGAGAGAAAGAAATATTGATTTGTTTTTCCACTTATTTATGCATTCATTCTTGCATGTGCCTTGACCAAGGATGGAACCTGCAACCTTGGTGTATTGGGATGACACTCTAACCAACTAACTGAGCTATCCAGCCAGGGCCAGTCAGTAAACTTTTATTTACTCCTTCTTTGCTCCCTGGGAACACAAGCTACCAGTAAATAATGCTGCAGGTGACTAAGAGAAAGGCTGTTAGGTATCACAGAGTGTAATTTGAGCTAGAATGTTGTACAAGCAGAGCAGATGGGGCATAGACCTAGATGTTCAATACTTACTAGATGCTCATTTACATTGCCTGTAAGTTTCACAGACAACATATCCCAAACTGAATTCATAGTATCTTCGTCCTATCTTGGTTGGCAGGAGTGGGGAGAGGGAATCTTCTCTTCCATTGTCTCGAGTTAATAAATGGTACCAGTAGCCCAAGTAATTTTGCCAGCTACATACATAGGAGTCATCTCTGGCTGCTCTTTCTTCCTTTCTAACCCTACCATCGTCCTCTGAATTCCACTTTCTCCCTCCCGACTACCACTCTAGTCCAAACTACCATTGTCTTTCTTGTGGGACAGTGCAAGTGTGTACAGAATGATAGTTTTATTAGAAAAATAGGAAAATAGGATAGAAGCCATTGAGGGCTTTGCAGATCAGGATGCTTTGAAATTTGCAGATCAGCATTCATGATGTCTACTTAACCTTCTAGACCAAGTGGTGAAGAAGGGGAGAAAGGACAAGAAGAACAAAAAGACGGTGAGGAAATGAGGGTTGAAAGTGAGAATTGACTATGAGTGTTTCTGTGTGAAGGTAGTGGGAGGTCTGGGGGGAGAAAAGATCTTGTCAAGAAAGGAAGCAAGGCATGGGTGGAAGGGAGGGTCAGTGAACCTATGTGTGGCAGAGGGGCTCAGTGGGTCTGTGAGCCATATTTACCTATATCTGAACTCTGTAGTTCTTTGAAGAGCTGGCAGTAGAAGATAAACAAGCTGGGAAAGAAGAGAAAGTGCTCAAGGAGAAGGAGCAGCAGCAGCAGCAGCAGCAGCAGCAGGTACAAGTGTCACGGGCCCGCTAATCCCTCTCCAGTCCACATCAGTGCAGCCAGGTGATAAAGAACTCTCTGCAAGGCAGAGTTACTGTAGGGACCAGGGCCTCAGCCTCATTGTCTCACTCTCTTTGCTTTTAGCAGCAAAAAAAGAAACGAGATGCTCGAAAGGGCCGGCGGAAGAAGGATGTAGATGATGATGGAGAGGAGAAGGAGCTCATGGAGCGTCTCAAGAAGCTGTCAGTGCCAGCCAGTGATGAGGAGGGAGAGGGTAAATGACCTGAGGGGAATGGGTACCTGGAATCCCTGAGCCATGAAAAGTGAAATGTCTCATTCCTTGATCTATGTGGTTTAGATTGAGGAGCCAGACATCATCATTTCGTGCCCCATCTTCTTTTCCTGTCATTTCAGTACCTGCCTTGATACCCCGAGGAGGGAGAAAAACCAAGGTAAGCCATCTGCATGGTAAACAGACCTCAGGGGTGCAGCCTTGACCATCCCACTGACTTCTCCAGCCCTTTCATTCTCCAGGGAGGTAATGCTTTTGCAGCCCTGATTCAGGATCAGAGTGAGGAAGAGGAAGAAAAACACTCTCCTAAGCCTGCCAAGCCCGAAAAGAATCGGATCAATAAGGTGAAAGTGGTTGCCCTGCTAGGCATTCCCACTCCATGTAGCACCTTCTGGCCATGGTGTGCTAATTCCCTAGCTTGATTTCTTGTTCTTAAGCCAGCTCTTTTAGGTGTGTCTTGCTTAAACTGTCAAAATAGGCTTTTTTTTTTTTTAAGGTTTTATTTATTTTTAGAGAGGGAATGGGGGGAGAAAGATGAGAAGAGAAACATCAATCAGGTGCCTCTCATACACATCCCCTACTGGGGACTGAACCCACAAGCCAGGCGTGTGCCCTGGCCGGGAATGAAACCGGCGACCTTTCACTTTGTGGGATGACTCCCAATCAACTGAGCCACATAGGCCAGTGGGCGGGGGCAGGGATTCAGATTTTTAAAATACTCTTTTCATCACTGAGAAATCTACTGAGTGATTCTGTTGCTTTCAAACTCAAAATCTACAACAGAAGCCTTCAAGTCTTTGCTCTTCTACCTGGGACTCTAACACATGTACCTTTCAGATTGGTCTGACTGTGTCTTGGCATCCAGCTAACTATCTTTCTGTTGAAGCCTTTGTTCTTTATGCCATGTGCTCCATCCTCCCTAGAACGCCATCTCCAAGCTCATGTCCATTACTTCCTCTTAAGATTTACCCTGTCAAGGAAGCCCTCTCATGCTGTGGCCTCCCCACCCATGCAGTTCACTGCCTGACCCACAGGCAGATGATTTCTAGCCTTCACTATCTAGGATCAAGTGGGAAGCTACAGTTTTTCTGGGTGATCACTAAGTACAGTCACCTCCTAGTCCTAGACTCCCTAGAAATGCTTGTTAAGCAACAAGGTAGCAAATAAATCTGTGTGTGCATGTCTCCATGTCCTTTCCAGGCTGTATCTGAGGAACGACAATCAGGACTTAAGAACAAAAAAGGAAAGGAAGAAAAGTCAAAGGGGAAGGCCAAGGTGAGGGAGGGAGTAAATTGGCAGGAGAATATGCTGGGTCTCAAGAATTTGAGCATTTCATTAGACTTGCTATTTTCCCTGTTAGCTTCAAAATAAATTTTCCGCTCTGGACAATGAAGATGATGAAGATGAAGAAGAAGAAATAACAAAAGAGCCACCCCAGCAAGAGAAGGACAAGGCCAAGAAAGCAGAGCAAGTGTGTGTTTTGGTGTTGAGGGGAGGAGACCAAGAACTGGGGGCACTGTTACTATGCACAACAGGAGTTGGCGAACATCTATAAAGGAGTTGCCACAGTTACTATTTAGTTTTGCAGGCCACATACAATCTCTGATGCATATTCTTTCTCTCTCTATTTTTTAACAACTTTTTGAAAATGTAAAAACCATTCTTAGTTCAGGGCCATATAAAAATAGGCCACAGGTCAGATTTGACCCATGGGCCACAGTTTGTAACCCCTGATCCAGACAGGAAAGGGCCTGGCGTTAGCCTCAGACAATCTGGCTGTGTTTTCTTGAATACATCTTTCCACCTACTTGGTTCTCAGTCATTTCATCTACATGATAAGAGGGAGTCTAGTGATCTCTACAGTCCCGTGTATTTCTAATCCTAGATTCTCATTCTGGATTCTGCTGTATCCCTCAGTGGCTGTATTTATGCCTTCCAGACCTTTTCTTGGCACGTTAATATGTAAGCTGCTGTAACACCTGATACACAAGGAAGAGAACCCGTGACATTTATTCTGCCATCACAATAAATTGCATTGCATTTTATTCTGTTACATTGCATTGGTAGTTTGCACAGGCACATGTACCTTGTTTCATATGTTCTCCTGTCATCTGCCTTGTAGCATTCATGGTAGCACAAATGCATAAGAGGCCAGGGATGGGTATGAGAATGAGAGGCAGTCCACCATATCTCGGGATCTAGGTGCAGAAGGAAGGAACTGACTGTGGAACTGGGGGTAGATGACATGAAATCTGAGTTCTAGATGGGGACCCTTGGTTTTTTTTGTCATCCCCTAGTTCTCACCAGGTTCAGAGGAAGAAGGGGAGTCTAAGACCGATGATCCTTATGCCCACCTTAGCAAAAAAGAGAAGAAAAAGCTAAAGAAACAGGTAAGACCTTAGATTCTTAGTGATCAAAGGCAGGAAAATTATATTTTAAGTTTCAGTGAGGGGATGTGAATTGAGGGACAAGGAGAGCTCTGAGTGCTATTTCAAATAAAACCATCAGAGTAAGAACAATGTTCTGTGAGCCTTGTCTTGGTGTCCAATGACATGGGGCTGTATCGTGGTGACAGGAAACTGGCAGACAGTGGCTTTTCCCTCCTTAGATGGAGTATGAGCGCCAGGTGGCTTCATTAAAAGCAGCCAGTGCTGCTGAAAATGACTTCTCCGTGTCACAAGCAGAGGTGTCCTCCCGCCAAGCCATGCTAGAAAATGCATCTGACATCAAGGTAAGGATGGGCTTCTCCAGCTCACCAGGAAAGTGCTGGTTCTCTCACCTGCCTGGCCCTGGCAGCCAGGAAAGTGGGGTGTGAGTGGCTTAGTCCACTGTAGCAAAGATTGGAGCCATTTTCCATACCTTGAGTTCTGCTGCCTTGAGCAAGGAAATAGAAAAATCAGTACACGTGTAGAGTGTCCATGCTTGGAGGGAAGTAGGTGGAACAGGCTGTAGTGGCTTAGGATTTGGGAGAGCCTGTTGGAGGCAGTGCGCAGGGAGACTGGCCGAATAGGAGGAGGGGATTATGCTGGAGGTCTCAATTTGCTAGAGGCATCCCTGCAGGGAGAAGTCTGTAGCTACTGTCTGAAATGGACAATTCTCACTGTTCCCATTCCTTCCCTCTACACTGCTCCCTTGATGGCTGCAGCTAGAGAAGTTCAGCATCTCAGCCCATGGCAAGGAATTATTTGTCAACGCAGACTTGTACATTGTGGCTGGCCGCCGCTATGGGCTAGTTGGACCCAATGGGTGAGTAGGGGAGGGGCTGGAAGGGAGATGAGCGATTTCTCAGGGGTGGTCTGGTCCTAATAATTCTCATTCTCCAGCAAGGGAAAGACCACTCTCCTCAAGCACATTGCCAACCGAGCCTTGAGCATCCCCCCCAACATCGATGTGTTGCTCTGTGAGCAGGGTGAGGCCCCTGGTGGGGAGGTGGTTCCAGGGTGGGTGTTGTAGTGACCAAACAAGAAGGGAAGCAGTTGTGGTGGGGTTGGAAAGGTTATGTGGGAGCCTGGAGACTGGGTCTGGGAAATGATCCTAAAGAGAGAGTGAGGAAGTGAGGATGCAAGACATTTCATTTGGGACAGGTACAAAGAGCTGGGCAGGGTCAGGCAAACCAGAAAAGGATCTGAAGGGCAGAGAGAACGGGATCTGTCACCCTTGGGGTGGCCTGACTGTCCTCCCCGCTCTCAGAGGTGGTAGCAGATGAAACGCCCGCAGTGCAGGCTGTTCTCCGAGCAGACACCAAGCGATTGAAGCTGCTGGAAGAGGAGCGACAGCTTCAGGGGCAGCTGGAGCAGGGTGACGACACAGCTACTGAAAGGCTGGAGAAGGTAGAGGACTCAAGGCACAGGGTCATGGCGCTGAGATTTACGGGTTCCTGCAACTTCAAACAAGTGACCCCTTCTCCCTCCTTCCAGGTGTATGAAGAACTGCGGGCTACTGGCGCAGCAGCCGCAGAGGCCAAAGCCCGGCGGATCCTGGCTGGTCTGGGCTTCGACCCTGAAATGCAGAATCGGCCCACAGAGAAGTTCTCAGGGGGCTGGCGCATGCGAGTCTCCCTGGCCAGGTGAGCTGCCCCTCTACCACCTTCATTTCAGCCTCAAACCGCCAGGCCCTTTCCCTTTTTCCCATTCTTCCAAGGCCAGCAGGAAGGTTCAAGGCTGAATTCTCTCTCCCTTACTATTTGTTGTCAGACTTTGGGCCTCTTCTCTATTTCTCTCCCTACCTGGTGGACATTCTCATTGATGTCTCCTGCACAGGAACTCCTTTAAGGAGAGGTTGGAAGGCGTGTTCATGGTCTCAGGCTCCACCTCCTGGTAGCTGCTCTGGGGCTCTCTGAGAAAGGATCTTCCCTCTCTGACCCTACACTTTGCTGCCCAAACCTCTAGGGCACTGTTCATGGAGCCCACACTGCTGATGCTGGATGAGCCCACCAACCACCTGGACCTCAATGCTGTCATCTGGCTCAATAAGTGAGTCGCCTTTAAAGTCCTGGCATCAGTGGTTCTTGTGCTGCCTTGATTCCTCCGGCTCTCCTCCACTCTGCCCTTGATGGACTAAATACAGCTGGCCCTTTCCCTCCCTGTCCTCATGTCTGCCTGTTTCCCATGACTTAACACAAACTTGACCATTGTGACCTTTTCCACACTCCTCTCTAAAACCCAGCTACCTCCAGGGCTGGCGGAAGACGTTGCTCATCGTCTCCCATGACCAGGGCTTCCTGGATGACGTCTGCACTGATATCATCCATCTTGATGCCCAGCGGCTTCATTACTATAGGGGCAATTACAGTAAGTAGAGTAGCTTATGGATAGAAGAGAGAGGTAGGGGCCTGAAAAGAGGCCTGAGAGGGAGGGCCATAGGGACGTGGTTATGAGCATCTTCTCAGAATCTAGACACTGATGCCCCTCCATCCCATCATTCTCAGTCCTGATTGTCCCTTTGTCTGCTGGGGAAAGGCCACCCACTTGATGCTTGTCCTCCTCTTCTACCCCAGTGACCTTCAAGAAGATGTACCAACAAAAGCAGAAAGAACTGCTGAAGCAGTATGAGAAGCAGGAGAAAAAGCTGAAGGAGCTGAAGGCGGGTGGCAAGTCCACTAAGCAGGCGGTAAGGTCTTCCTGGGGTCTTAGGATGGGGTTCCTTCTCAGGAGAATAGAGAAAAAACAGACCCTGGGGACCCAACCTGCATCTCAGGGACCATTGTGAAGGTGTGGGTTTCTATCTTTCCTGCTTCTCTCCAGGAAAAGCAAACAAAGGAAGCCCTGACTAGGAAGCAGCAGAAATGCCGACGGAAAAACCAAGATGAGGAATCTCAGGACACCCCTGAGCTCCTGAAGCGCCCCAAGGAGTACACTGTGCGCTTTACATTCCCCAACCCCCCACCACTCAGCCCTCCTGTGCTGGGCCTGCACGGTGAGCCACTGCAGCCCAGCAGCACAGGGTGGAGCATGGGTACCCCAGTCCTCTTCTCCAAAGCCAGGACATGGGAGAGGGACCTTCAGGGTAACTGAAAAGAAAAACTGCTTCCTTTCTTTTCTCTCAGGTGTGACATTTGGCTATGAGGGGCAGAAACCACTCTTTAAAAATCTGGATTTTGGCATTGATATGGACTCAAGAAGTGAGTTGGTTTGGGTGGCCCAGGAGGTGGAACAAGAGCCTCAGGGAGAGTGTCTGAGACCTCTTTGACCACCTTTCTTGCTTCTTGCAGTCTGCATTGTGGGCCCAAATGGCGTGGGGAAAAGCACCTTGCTCCTGCTCCTGACAGGCAAGCTGACTCCGGTGAGTCCTGGAGCCAGGTAGGGAGGCATTTGATGACAGTGTATGGGAAGTATGAAAAAGCACTCTTCATCCTAGGCTAGGATCAAGAAGCACCTCTGCAGGGGAGAGTAAAACACAGAATTCATCATAGACGACTCACTTCCCTAAGCAGTACTGTAGAAAACAGTTTAGATCAGATCAGGGAGGAAAGCCAGGAGAATGGGATTCGGACAGAATCCCCATATGTGTTCTGGTTATACAAGAACTATGTTACTTATAGAATGACTAAAATTGCATAAGCCAAAGAAAATCTAGAGATAGCCAGTAGTAATTTGGGTGGGTAGCTTACTCCTTTTTACCTCTACAAATCTGCATATTCATTTTTTTAATTTAAATTTTTTTATTTATAAAAATTGGGTATTTATTCTTTTTTTAAAAAATTATTTATTTTTTATTGTTCAAGTACATTTGTCTCCATTTATCCACCACCACTTTCCCCTGCCCCACCCACCCCTACCTGCCACCCTCAATCGTTCCCCACCTTGCTTCCTCCATTGTCCTTCACACCTCTTCTTGATCTGACCCCTCCCTGCCCCTCTACCCCTCCCACCCTCCCGTCCCTGTCTGTTTTTCTTTCTTTCAGTGTTGCTGGTCATATTTTCCTTGCCTGCTTGCTTTGCTGACTAGGTTCCACTTATAGGTGAGATCATCTGGTATTTGTCTTTCACCACCTGGCTTATGTCACTTAGCATAATGCTCTCCAGTTCCATCCATCCTGTCACAAAGGGTAGTAGGTCTTTCTGCTGCATAGTATTCCATTGTGTAAATGTACCATTGTTTTTTGATCCACTCATTTCCTGATGGGCACTTAGGTTGCTTCCAGCACTTGGCTATTGTAAATTGTGCTGCTATGAACATTGGGGTGCATAGGTTCTTTTGAATCGGTGCTTTGGGATTCTTAGGGTATAATCCCAGCAGTGGAATCGCTGGGTCAGAAGGCAATTCCATTTTTAGCTTTTTGAGGAAATTGCACACTGTTTTCCACAGTGGCTGCACCAGTCCACATTCCCACCAACAGTGTACTAGGGTTCCCTTTTCTCCACAACCTCACCAGCACCCATTTGTTGATTTACTTATGATGGCCATTCTGACCAGTGTGAAGTCGTATCTCGTTGTGGTTTTGATCTGCATTCCTCTGATGGCTAGTGATGATGAGCATCCTTTCATATGTCTCTGGACCCTGTGTATGTCCTCCTTGGAGAAGTGTCTGTTCAGGTCCTTTGCCCATTTTTTGACTGGATTGCTTGTCTTCTTGGAGCGGAGTCGTGTGAGTTCTTTATATATTTTGGAGATCAAACCCATGTCTGAAATATCATTGGCAAATACATTTTTCCATATGCTTGGTTCCCTTTTCATTTTGCTGATGTTTTCTTTAGCCGTGCAGAAGCTTCTTATTTTGATGAAGTTCCATTTGTTTATTCTTTTTTCCTTTATGTCCCTTGCTCTAGGGGACCTACCGGTGAAAATATAGCTGCTTAGGATATCTGAGAGTTTCCTGCCTATGTTCTCCTCTAGGACTTTTATGGTGTCACAACTTACATTTAAGCCTTTTATCTATCTTGAGTTTATTTTTGTGTATAGTGTGAGCTGTTGGTCGAATTTCAATATTTTGCATGTGGCTGTCCAGCTCTCCCAACACCATTTGTTGAAGATGATATTTTTACTCCATTATATGCTTCTGCCTCCTCTGTCAAATATTAGTTGACCATGGAGACATGGGTTTATTTCTGGGCTCTCTATTCTGTCCCATTGATCTATGCATCTATTCTCATGCCAGTACCAGACCATTTTAATTACAGTGGCCTTGTAATATACGTTGATGTCAGGCATTGTGATCCCTCCTGCTTGGTTTTTCTTTCTCAAAATTGCTGTGGTTATTCGGGGTCACTTAGGGTTCCATATAAATTTTTGAAATGTTTGTTGTTCTATGTCTGTGAAATACATCACTGGTATTTTAATAGGGATTGCGTTGAATCTATAAATTGCTTGGGATAATATGGACATTTTGATGATGTTAATTCTTCCAATCCATGAACATGGGATATGCTCCCATTTATTTGTGTCTTCCTTAATTTCTTTCTTCAGTGTTGTATAGTTTTCTGCGAACAGGTCTTTTACGTCCTTGGTTAAGTTTATTCCTAGGTACTTTATTTTTCTTGTTGCTATAGCAAAGGGGATTTTTTTCCCAATTTCTGCTTCTGATATTTAATTTTCGGTGTCTAAAAATGTCTTTGATTTCTGAATGTTGACTTTGTATCCTGCTGCTGTGCCAAATTCACTTATTAGGTCGAGTAGTTTTTTGGTAGAGTCTATGGGGCTTTCTATGTACACTATCATGTCATCTGCAAACAATGATAGTTTTACTTCCTCCTTTCCAATTTGGATGCCTTTTATTTCCTTTTCTTGTTGGATCGCTGTGGCTAGGACTTCTAATACCATGTTGAATAGAAGTGGTGAAAACGGACATCTTTGTCTTGTTCCTGATATTTGAGTAAAGCTTTTCGTTTTTGCCCATTGAGTATGAGGTTGGCTGTAGGTTTTTCATATATAGCCTTTATTATGTTGAGATATGCCGCTTTTATTCCCACTCTGCTGAATGTTTTTATCATAAATGGATGCTATACCTTACCAAATGCTTTTTCCTCATCTATTGATATGATCATGTGGTTTTTGTCTTTCCTTTTGTTTATGTGATGTATTACATTTATATATTTGCAATATTGAACCATCCTTGCACCCTTGGGATGAATCCCACTTGATCAGGGTGGATGATCTTTTTAATGTATTACTGGATGCAGTTTGCCCATATTTTGTTGAGGATTTTAGCGTCTATTTTCATCCGCGATATTGGCCTGTAGTTTTCTTTGTTGTGCCTTTATCTGGTTTTGGGATTAGGATGGTACTGGCCTCATAAAAAGAGTTTGGGAGTCTTCCCTCTCTCGGATTTTTTTGGAATAGTCTGAGAAGGACAGGGGTTAGCTCTTCCTTAAATACATTGTAAAATTCTCTTGTGAAACTGTCCGGTCCAGGACTTTTGTGTGCCGGGAGTTTTTTGATTACTATTTCAATTTCACCAGCTCTTACTGATCTGTTCAGACTTTTGCTTCTTCTTCATTCAGTGTTGGAAGGTTATATTTTTCTAGAAATTTGTCCATTTCATTAAGGTTTTCAAGTTTCTCAACATATAATTGTTCATAGTAATTTCTTATAATCCTTTGTATTTCTGTGGTATCAGTTGTTATTTCTCTTCTTTCATTTCTGATATTATTTATTTGGGTCCATTCCCGTTAGTTCTTGATGAGTTTGCTTAAAAGCTTGTTGATTTTATCTTTTCAAAGAACCAGCTCCTGGATTGGTTGATCCTTTGAATTGCCCTTTTAGTCTCTACGTCATTCAATTCTGGTCTGATCTTGATTATTTCCTTTCTTCTACTTGCTCTGGGCTTTGTTGTTGTTTCTCCAGTTCTTGAAGCTGGGGGCTTAGGTCATTTATTTGAAATGTTTCTCTCATTTTGAGGTAGGCCTGTATTACTATGAACTTCCCTCTCAGGACTGCCTTCACTGTGTCCCATAGGTTATGGACTGTTGTGTGTTCATTTTCATGTGTTTCCAGAAACTTTTGGATTTCTTCTTTGATCGCATTATCAACCCATTCATTGTTTAATAGTGTGCTATTCAGTCTCCATGAGTTTGAATGTTTTTGAGTTTTTTCCTTGAGGTTGGTTTCTAGTTTCAAGCCCTTGTGGTCCGAGAAAGTGCTCATTAATGGTTTCAATCTTCCTGAATTTGTTGAAGCTTGTTTTGTGCCTTGTTATGTGGTCCGTCTTTGAAAATGTCCCATGCTCATTTTAAAAGAATGTGTATTTTGCTTCTTTGGGATGAAAGGTTCTATATATGTCAGTTAAGTCCATTTTATCTAATGCTTCATTCAGTTCCACAATATCCTTGTGGATGTTTTCTTTGGAAGATCTATCCATTTTGGACAGTGAGGTGTTAAAATCCCCTACTATCAGTGCGTTACTGTGTATATCTTTCTTAACATTCTCCAAGATTTTCCTTATATATTTGGGTGCTCCTATGGTGGGTGCATATAGATTTACAATGTTTATGTCTTCTTGATGGATTCTTCCTTTGAGTATTATGAAGTATCCCTCTGGGTCTCTTATTATGGCCTTTGTTTTGAAATCTATTTTGTCTGATACAAGTATTGCTACCCCTACTTTTTATTTTTCCTGTCCATTTGCTTGGAATATTTTTCCCATCCCTTTACTTTCAGTCTATGCAGGCCCTTTGTTCTGAGGTGGGTCTCCTGTAAGCAACATATGTGTGGGTCATGCTTTCTTATCCATTCAGCTATCCTATATCTTTCGATTGGGGCATTTAATCCATTTACATTTCAAGTTATTATTGTTAAATACTTATTCATTGTTTCCCTTTGTACCTGTGATCCTCTCTTTCTCACTCTCTTTCTTCATCTTCTTAAAGCAGTCCATTTAGCATATCTGGTAGTGCTGGTTTGATAGAGGTGTATTGTTTTAGCCTTATTTTGTCTGGGAAACTCCTTACTTCACCTTCCATTTTAATTGAGAGCCTTGCTCGGTAGAATAGTCTTGGCTGCAGGCCCTTGCTTTTCATGACTTGGAATATTTCTTGCCATTCTTTTCTTGCTTGTAGTGTTTCTGTTGAGAAGTCAGCTGCTAGCCTTATCAGGACTCCCTTGTATTTTACTCTCATATTTTCTCCCTTGTTACCTTTTCGATTCTCTCTTTGTCGCTCATATTTGCCATTTTAATTATGATGTGTCTTGGAGTGGACCTCATTAGGTTCCCCTTGAATGGGATCCTCTGTGCTTCCTGGACTTGAGTGACTTCACCTCTCCAATTAGGGAAGTTTTCCATCATTACTTTTTCAAACAGGGTTTCTATCCCTTTTTCCTGTTCTTCTTTTTCTGGCATCCCTATTAGATGGATATTATTACATTTCAGGTTGTCCTGCATTTCCCTGAACACAAAGAATGAAGAGGCCTTCATTCTTTTTGAGTCTTTTTTCAATATCTTGCTCTTTCTGGGAGCTTTTTTCTACCTTGTCCTCCAGCTCATTGATTTGATCCTCTGATTCATCGTGCCTTGTTTTGATTCCTTCTACTGTGTTCTTCTATTCAGAAATTCTTCACCTCTTCTTGCCTCTTATTGATAGTTTCTATGTCTTTTTCATGCTGATATAGTTTGCAGTAAGTTCCTCATAGTTCCCCTGTATTTTTTTGTAATTTTCTCTGAGCTCACTGAGCGTCTTTAGAACCGTTGTTTTGAACTCAATATCTGATAATTCACTTGCCTCTATTTCATTTAGTTCTCTTTCTGGGGATTCCTCCTTTCCCTTCAAGTGGGGGGTGTTTCTTCTTCTTCCCATTGTTTGTGCAACTTTGTTTTTGCTTCTGCTTCTTAAAATGATCTGTCTTGACTTTCTGACTTTGTGGTGTGAACTTCTATGGTAGGAGTTCACTTTTTTTTTCCTTTCTTTCTGGGTCTGCCTCTGATGATGTCAGCTGTTGACCCTGTCTGACCTTAGGCAGTCTTTAAAAGACTTCCAGGAATCTACTGTCTGTGTCTGTCTCCTCCAGTTGTTAATTTAGTCACTCTGCCCTTCACCAGTCAGGGCCAGGCTGAGTCCCTCCTGTGTGCTGGGCTCTTGGGTCCTTTCATGTTGCTGCCACTCAGGGGAGTAGTCTGCCTGAGCAAGATGGCTGCTGCCGTATAGGGGAGGAGTCAGCACTGGGATCCCCCTGGCTACTTCCTCGACTCTTTCCCCAACACCTCCGTCTCCAGACTCTCCTCAAGCATCTCTAGACCACTCTGCATCCCCAGTAGCCAAGGATCTTCTATCTGTGACTGTTGTTCTTTACTAAGCAGTTGGGCTTACCCAACACCGGGCCAGGGCTGAGCCTCCTCGGGGTGGGGCTATTGTGTTCTTTCACGCTGCTGCCACTCAGTGGAGTGGTCAGCCTGAACAAGATGGCATCTGTGGAATGGGATGTGAGTCAGCACCAGGACCTCACCATCCACTTGCTCAGTTCTTTCCCCAAAGTCTCCCTCCGCAGTCTCTCCTCAGGCGGCTTCAGCCCACTCTGCCCTCACCTCTGCTGGGGCCCAGGGTAAGTGGCTGCCGCTACAAATTTTTGCATTGGCCCTTTAAACAGGTCTTTGCGTCTCCAAGCACCCATCTCCAGCAGATAGCACCCTGCCACTTTTCAGAGCTGGCTGCTATCTGTGTGCTTTTTGGGCTCTGGTGCTGTAGGCTGGAGATCCCCGCTTATGGTTTATACCCTGCTCTTCTCAGGGGGATCCAACTGGCCGTGTCAGTGTCCCTGTGGCGCTGCCACCCGTGGGCACCCAGTCCACCTTCCTGAGCCTCTACCGCACTCCTTAACAGTTAGGTTGTGCTAAAACAGATCCCTCTCTCTGTCTGAGGTTTTAGGGCTCCTCTCTCGCTATTGTTCAGTTGCTTTCCAGTTGATTTCTCCACAATGTAGTTGTAATTCCAGATTGGTCCTGGGAGGAAGTCAGTGTGACTTCAACTCACTCCTCCGCCGTCTTGAAGTCTCAAATGCTGCCAACTACTGATGATTGAATATGGAAAAGTTTTTTCCAGATAATACATACCAAGCATTTTTCCATGCCAATAATTATGAACATACCAGATTTATTAGACATCAGTCCTATAGATTATTTTGATTTTTTTTTTAGCTTCTTTTACTTTTAGAGAGAGGGGAAGTGAGAGAGAAAGAGAAGGAGAGAAACATTGGTGTGAGAGATGTTGATCTGTTGCCTCTTGCATGCCTCCAAGTGGGTACCTGGCCTGCAACCCAGGCATGTGCCCTGACTGGGAATCGAACCAGCGACATTTTGGTCCACAAACCAGTGCTCAATCCACTGAACCACACCAGCCAGGGCTGGTCTTCACTAAATGACAATACTATAGCAAGTATTCTTATTTTAGATCTTTATGAACTTAGTTTTTCTTAAATTTGCCTTTAGGACTTTGGCAGTATATTGCCCTATGGCGCCTTAGGTAGGTTGTGGAGACCTGTCCTACCCCGTCGCCCTCCTGGTAAGAGGGCCCTTTCTTCCGCACAACACAGAGTAACTTTCAGGAAGGTGCTCTTAGATCCTCCAGGGACCTGTGTTTAACCCCCCTCTGAGGTGGTACCCTGAGAATGGGCTTGTGCGTGTGTCTCTCTGGGTGGGAAGGGGAGTTCTTTATTTGTGGTCTTTCCCGTCCTGATTCTGAACCTGTGCTTTGTCTCCCTTCCTTCATTCTCTCCTTCACTCCCTTTTGCCCTGTATTCTCATTTCTTGGTGTGCCTTTGTCATATTAAGAAAAACATCCGTGTTCCTTTTCTCACACTGACCTCTTCCCAGCCCCATTCTCATATTAGTCTTCCCTTCAGAAAAGTTACGTATGGACCTGCAACACCTTTTTCCTTTCCCTTATCTCATCCCTTGCTCTTTTTTTGCAGACTCGCGGGGAAATGAGAAAGAACCACCGGCTGGTAAGTTGGCTTTGGGAATTAGAGAATAAGAGTCTGAGAGAAGAAGTGGGACTTAGACTGACCACTTCTGTCTCCTCTGGGGCAGAAAATTGGCTTCTTCAACCAGCAGTATGCAGAACAGCTGCGCATGGAGGAGACACCCACTGATTACCTGCAACAAGGCTTCAACTTGCCCTACCAGGATGCCCGGAAGTGCCTGGGCCGTTTTGGCCTTGAGAGTCATGCCCACACCATCCAGATCTGCAAACTCTCTGGTACTACTGTAGGGGGCTGGGGAACGTCCTCCTCAGTATTCATATCCACAGACTGTATCTGGAGGCAGAAGGGAAGAGGAACCAAGGCTTGAGGGCCTCAACACACCCAGGCACATATTCAGGGTTGGCCTACAGAAATGCAAGGTGGTCAGAGGTGTGATGGACCTCCTTTTTCTCTTCTACAGGTGGGCAAAAAGCCCGAGTTGTGTTTGCAGAGCTGGCCTGTCGGGAGCCTGATGTCCTCATCTTGGTGAGTGAGCTGGACTGCAGAAAAAGGGTAAGTTACAGGTAGGAGTCCTAATGCTCAGTCATGGGATGCCTCTTCTACAGGATGAGCCCACCAACAACTTGGACATAGAGTCAATTGATGCTTTGGGAGAGGCCATCAACGAATACAAGGGCGGTGAGTAGCTCAGAATGCACCTCCTCCTCCTTCCTCTGGAGAGCAGGCTGCAGTGGCCTTCGGCTAGGGCTCACTCTCCTCTACCGCGCTCTGATTTCCTCCTCCTCCTTTCTCCCAACCCTCATTCTCACCATCTTTCTTCAAAGCTGTGATCGTCGTCAGCCACGATGCCCGACTCATCACAGAAACCAACTGCCAGCTGTGGGTGGTGGAGGAACAGAGTGTTAGCCAAATTGATGGTGACTTTGACGACTACAAGCGGGAAGTGTTGGAGGCCCTGGGTGAAGTGATGGTCAACCGCCCCCGGGAGTGATCTCCCTTCCCAGAAGACCAGCTTGTGTGGCCTGGATGTCCTCTGTTGTCTCTTTGTCTCCACTTAGAAGCCTGACTCTGGTCTGCAGCTGACAGGGAGGGGGAGGTGGTCTTGATATGAGCAGAATGCCACTTCGATTGCTTCCTTTCCTCTGAAAGATTTGTCTTTTCACTGTTCCTTATAAACTGGTCTGGCCTTTCTTTCAACACCCTTCTGTGCCAAAAGAGATGACCATCTTCATTATCGTGGGTTCCATCCAAACTTAGGTGACCAGTTGTCTTGAGTCTCTCTCATTGCTCTGCACCCTGCCTCTGGTCCACTTTAAAGCTTCAGGCCTAGTGGTCCCCTGGTCCTTGAGTGGTGCTGCTCTTCTTTTTGATGGATTTCATACTGACTTTGTGATACAAATGGCTGTGGCGGTTCAACCAAGGGAGACGTCTGTGGCCTGAGCTGTTACCCAGGATTTGGTGCATGCAGCCTCTTGTCTAGTTGGGGAATTGGGGGCAACAAAGGAATGCTGCTGAACTTGAATTTCCCTGTACAAGGGGAAGGAATAAAGGAAAGGAATTGCTGCCACCCTGTCTGTCTGGAGATTCATGGGAGCCGGAACTGTTTTTGATCTTGATTTGCTTTATGCAGTATTCTGGCAGCATTTAGTATCCTCACTTCCCCACTAATACAGATGGATCTAACCTGCACTCTTAACTGCACCTATAATGGTGCTTCCTCTTTAAGGAGCCTCCCTCCCTTCCCCTCACCTTTCAGACAAGAATAAGGGAGAATGGTTCATCCATTCCATCCAGGACACTCAGGTCTCTTACCGTACAAGGTCTGCCCTTGTACCGGGGGCCAGCTACTAAATCACCCGACATGTAGAATACTGTGGGTTATACATGAAGGGGAAAAACAGGGTCTGCCTTCATGAATAGTTAGAGAAGACTTAGCAGATAAGAAATGAATGTACATTGTGATAGGATAAATTGCCAATGCATGGTTCTCTAGATTCTTAAGTTGCTACATGCTCCTAGAAGGGAAGATTTTTCTGGAACTTGATTTTTGCCATGATCATTTGCCATGATCATTTGAAAAAGAATAAGGATTTGAATAATAAGCTAACCAGAAAGCCATTTTTGGAACCTCAAAAGAGCAGATCTCAGGCATGGAAGGAAGAAAACCAAAACTAGGAGTTAATGAGAGAATGTGGCTGGAATGGCCACTTCTTAGATTGAAGAGGTGGGTTTGGAAAGTAAAATACAAGTGATGGGTGGTGATTTTAGGTAGTGAGGGGCAAGCGAACTGTGAAGCACTGACTGGTATAGCTCAGTGGGCTGGGTATTGTCCTACAGGAGGAAAGGTCACCACTTCGATTCCCAGTCAGGGCACATGCCTCAGTTGTGGGCCAGATCCCCATTGGGGGCATGTGAGAAGCAACTGATTAGTGTTTCTCTCCATTCCCTTTCCATCTCTCTTAAATACGTAACATCTTTTTTTTTTTTTTTTAAGGTAAACTGTAGAAACTTAAAGGGATGGACCCCATAACTTCTGTGGGGATGGGGAAATCCTGAACTAGACAGAGTTGGAAAGGGCAGGAAAGATGGAAGGACCAGGTATGGGAGCTAAAGACAAGAGGGTGATCAGTGTAGCTATCCAGTTCCAGGGGGATATGAAGAGCTGTTTGTTTTAAGACTAAGGTTGGTCCCTGGCTGGTGTGGCTCAGTGGATTGAGCGCCAGCCTGCTAACCAAAGGGTCATCAGTTTGATTCCCAGTCTAGGGCACATGCCTGACTTGCCAGCCAGGTCCCCAGTAGGGGGCATGTGAGAGGCAACCACACATTGATGTTTCTCTCCCTTTCTTTCTCCCTTCCCATTTCTAAAAATGAATAAATATTTAAGAAAAAAAAATGAAGTTGAAATTCTTAATTTTGAGAAATTATTTTCTGACCAAGTGATTAAGTAATATGGGACCTCAAGTAAAAGGATTGTACTGCAAGAGTATGTTTGGTGTGGAGACTGTTGCAGAGGTGCCATAAGGGCACATGTCCAGTTTAGAGAAAAAGCAACCCCCTCCTAACATAATTGGTAAGATATTATGTGTAATTTCCACAACTCCCTGAAGCATCGTAGAACAGTAGAAGTCAGTCTTCAGTTCATTTACTAATGGTGTGACCTTGGACAAGCTTCCTGGTACCTGTTTTCTGTAAGAAGGTGATAAAAAGTGCCTATCTCACAAGTTTATTAAGGGATTCATATTGTAATTATTTATAAAGTGTTTTTTTTTTTACTTCTGTTACTTGTATTTCTTGTTAGATTCTGCATTTAAAATTTTCAGTTTACTGGTCTAGATGAGATGATACATAAAATAATAGAAATGTAATCTTCAAAATGAATGCCACATTTTTACATTGCAAGTTTTTGATCACTTACTGCATGTACTTCAGATGCTCCAAAGTAACTTCTATCCAAGGGCACAAATTGTATATCTTTCATCAATATACATAGTATATAATGTAATGAGATTAGTAATATACCTAAACATGGGCAAAAGGATGCTACTTCTCCGCAAGTATCAGCAACACTGAAATGGAACACAGGAGAAATAACAAATTTATATTGTACAGCATCTGGGTAACCCAAAGCCTGGAAAAACACAATTTCATTAACTGAATTAAATATTTTTTTCACCCTGGCTGGGATGGCTCAGTGGATTGAGTGCCAGACTGCAAACCAAAGGGTCACCAGTTCAATTCCCAGTCAGGGCACATGCCTGGGTTGCAGGCCGGGTCCCCAATGGGTGGTGTGTGAGAGGCAACCACACATTGATGTTCTCTCCCTCTCTCCCTTCCCCTCTCTAAAAGTAAATAAAATCTTTAAAATATTTTTTTTTCACAAATAGCTTTTAGTACCCACAAATCTTACACTAATGTACATAATGAGCAGCATGGATGTTTCCATAAAAGTAGTAATTCTGCACATTTCCCTAATGAGGAAATAGAGGACACTAACCTGCCAAGCCCTCTCTAGTCAGGGGGACTCTGTTCCTGGAATGATAGCCAGGTTACCTCACTCCAGTGTCCTGGACATTCTTCCTAACCTGTAGAATGTGGACAAGAGGACCTAAGCCCTAGAGGGGTGTGAGGGCCAGGGTGGGACTGTTTCAGGAGCTCTCAAGGCATTTTATGGAAAACTTGTAGGTGTTCCGATTGACGCCTGAAAGCTAGGGACAGTCCTGTGGCCACACAGGACTCCGAGACCTGGGAATGGAAGAAATTGCCTCAGAGTTTTAGACAAAGGCAAGGAAAGAAGGGATGTCACCTCTACATGGTGTGATGTAGGAGAGACTTCTTGAAAGAAGTATTCAAACCAAGGCCTGAGGAAAGTAAATCAATCAGATGAGTGGGAAAAAAGAGCCTTCAGGGAAGGCAACCGAATATGTGACGGTCCAGAAGCTGCAAAGACACTTGAAACCTATTTAATGTTATTAATGTCACCCAATAAATTCAATTAAAAAGTTAAAAAAAAAAAAAGCTGGGAAGACCTTGACATAAACAAAGAACATTGTTTGAGCTGGGGTCAGGACACATGGGACCTTATAAAAAGGAATTGGGATGTGGTCCTTGGAACAATGGATGGCCATTGGTGGTGGTCACACAGTAGCACAAATTGATCTGGTTTTCATTTGTACAATATTGCCCTATCTACTGGGTGGAGAACAGTGGGTGGAGCAGACAGGAGAGGAGATGCCAGAAGTTAGATATTGCCTTAGACAGGAAATAGCCTTCTGCTAAGAAAGGTAAGAAAATAATATAGATTCAGGTGTTTTCAGGTGAAGGACTGAGGCCCACCTCAGGAGTTTTGGTGCCAGAGAATCAGGAATAGTTAGGAAGTTTGCCCAGCAACAGTGAATGTTGAGTTAGTACAGTACTAATAATTTGTACTGGGCCAAGATAATAGGATTTTGTAATTTCTTAAAATTGATTTTAGAGGGAGAGACAGAGAAGGAAACATCACTTTGTTGTGCCACTTATTTAAGCATTCATTGGTTGCTTCTTGTATGTGCCCTGACTGGACATTGAACTTCCAACCTTGGCAAATGAGGACAATGTTACCTGAGCAGGGCGAATTTTGTTAATTTTTCATCATTAGATTCCCCAGGAACAGGAATAAGAGAAATATAATGATGATGACTCAGAATTGGAGATGAAATTGATGCACCCAGGGAAAGGCTGACAGATATTTGAAGTTGAATGGGTATTTGGGAGAGGGGGCATGGAAGCAGAAAGGAAGAACAAACCAACCTAAATGGAAGAGAAGTGCCTACAGGGCCTGATGGAAAAATAAATGGGCCAATGGGTTTGGTGAAATGGGTGAGATGCTCAGCCTCCCTCTACCTGAACCCCCCTATCAGAGGAAAATTTTTTAAGTAACAGGTTAGTTACTGTGGATTTCCATGGAGGATTTGAAAGAAAAATGACTAATTTTTAAATTAGAAAAAAAAAATCTTTAAGCTCTATTTCAGATTTCTTGCCCTGATGCTCCACTGGTTGGGCATCATCCTGCAGAGTGAAAGGTTGCAGATTCAGCTCCCCATCAGGGCACATGCGTAGGTCCATGGTCAGGTCAGGTCATGTACAAGAGGCAACCAGTTGATGTTTCTCCCCGCCTTCTCCATTCTAATAAATATATTTAAAGGTTCTCTTGTGGCCTCTTGCAGGAGATAGAGGGAAGAAGGTGAAAAGCAAGCAATAGACCAGAAGGAAAGAGATACAAGTTAAAGAATGACCTACTGGGTTGACATATTTCTTTTCTCACTTTTTAACTTCCTTGATATTTGACTTCTCACTTTGGCCTTTGGATTACGCCCTTTCAGATCCTCTCCTAAGTGCACAGAGCCACAGTAGGCTGACTGCCTGACCCTCACTCCTGAGACTGGGCAAAAGGAGAAATCTGCCCCACCTGCATTACTAGATGTAAATAAGGCCTGTTAAATTTAGGAAGTTGTTGCCCTCATGAGGCCTGTCTTGGAAATAACAGCCAAGAAACTTGTAGGGCAGTAACTTGTTCTCCAGATCAGCACCAGTCAGGGAGCTTCTGAGACATGCAAAATCTCAGGATCCATTCCAGACCTACTGAATCAGAAACCTTGCTGTCTCCCACCCCCAATCTGTCTTTTAACAGGCACCTCAGATGTTCTGACGAACGTTAAAAGGTTGAAACCATTATTCTCTTTCTTCCAAAATGTAGTATTATTCTAATTCCTAGTTTCAAGAATAGCAGATTTAAGTAACATCCTATTTAAAGCGAATCCTATTCCTTCAATGTTCTGGTCTCCAAAACCTCCTGTCTTCCCAGGAATCTTATTCCATCAGCTAGGCCCTCCATTTAATACCTATCCATAGCAACTAGAAATAATCTGTATCCTACATTTCTTTGCAACAGGTCTATTTTCCTCTAGCTCTGATGCCACTTTTTGGGGAAGAGCAGTCTACACTTTTCCCTTCCCTTACTTCTTTCTTTACTGGAACTGCTTTGAAGACACTACTCTTGGATTCCCCCTTCCTCCACCCTCAAAATCCTGCCCTGAGCAATTCCATGGGGCTGGCAGGTCCAACCACAACTGCTGTGCCCACACTGCCTTGCAGCTCCAGCACTGAGCTCTGCATTCAAGGCCCCATTTATTGCCCAAAGAATGCTGGTCCTGGGGTTTACTGTGCCTGTAAGGTTTTCGATTCAGAGTATTCCACTTCAGCAGTCTTTCACTTAGTATCATCTCTATGACATGAAGGTAGAACTTGTTAGCTCCATTCAAAGGACTGCAACACATTCCACCAAGGTTTATATTAAAGAGCTGATAATGGCTGGTTTTTGTTTCGTTTTTAACGAGTCCAAACACACCAAGGGTTAAATAAGCTGCTTCTCTTTCCACTGTTTATTATTAATGTACAAAATATACAAAACCAAAAGAAAAAATACTCATCCTCAAATCCATTGTGGCTCTAACACAAGACCCTGCACAAAACCCAACCAATCCACTGTTTTCATAGAAAACAACTGATGCCGAGATAGGTGAGGGAGAGGGCTGCGTAAGGACCAGTTGTGTTGTTCAATGCACCCAGGAAGGCGCTTGGCGGGGATTCAGAAGTGACCTCACTCCAACAAAGTCTCAGGTGAGGATAGGAAGCGTGTTAACTCCCAAGGCGGTGCATGTAGTGTGACTGTTGGGCCCAGCGTGCCAGGTTTCAGTTCATGAAAAGCTGGTCTCACGGAAGTGTTTAGGTTCCAGAACAAGCTAATATATGCAGGGTGGACTAACACCACCAGCCAAAACCTTCTTTGGATGCAAATATTAATTCTCCATCATTGAACCCAGCAGACCCACAATGCAGACTCCATGTTCACAGGTTGCAAAGTCTTACTTGAGAAAGGACTCAGAATGCGTCCAGCCTGTGTTGGGAGGGAGGAGTAGGGAGCTCTTTCAGTGCAGTGGGATATCCAATACCCCTTTTTACTATCTCCCCACCCCAATGAACTTGGCTTGCATGACTTCATAAGTGTAACTGATCCCACATGAGAGCTCTGTGCATGGGGAGGACTCAAAGTAGGAGAGTACACGTGTTCTCCAGGATAACCAACTTGGGTTCTCAGACATTAAAGGTAATACTGGGAAGGGGCTTGAGGCTACAAGGCGAATCTCCTCACAAAGTGAAGTCAACTGGGTCTCCTTTTGAGCAGTCAGGATACAGAATGCGTCCAGTTTCTCCTCCCCAGACTGGAGGAGAGCGTGTACATCAATCAATGCGCACCAGTGATCAGAAAACCCCCACGAACACGAGTGGGACTGAGGAGGCCTGCTCCTCCTCAGCTGGGGAAAGGAAAAACGGGCCTCACAGAAGCCATAACAGGGTGGAGAAGCAAGGCTAGAGCCCATGGGGGTGTGGGGAGGGCAGGCAGGTTTCTAGGGCAGGGGGGGCCCATTGACCCCCGGGTGGTAGAAGGCACAGCTGTTCTCATAGCGGCAGTTGCCCTTCATCATGAAGTGTCGGCAAACAGGGCGGTTTGACATGTCTGGAAAAGAAGGGAGATGGTTAGATAGGTCAATGCCACCCTCACCCACTTCCACGTCCATGGCTCCATGGCATCCTGAGACCTTTCAGAGACAGAGCCTTGGGGATTTGGGGGAAGGACATAGGGTAGGAATAGCTATGCATGCTAGGCACAGGCGACCTCATGTTCTGCCTGGCATACAGCATACCTGGGGTAGTGACACTCCCAGAATCTTTTTTTTTTTTTTTTAAAGACTTTTTAGATAAGAGGGAAGGGAGGGAGAGAGAGACATCAATGTGTAGTTGCCTCTCATGTGCCCCCCACATGAGACCTGGCCTGCAATCCAGGCATGTGCCCTGACTGGGAATTGAACCATCAACCCTTTGGTTTGTAGGCCAGTGCTCAATCCACTGAGCCACATCAACCAGGGCTCAGAATCTTGAATGAAACAAAAGCCACATAGGGAGCAGGGACCATCCTCACCTCCTCCATGGCTGTGGCCTCCATCATGCCCTCGGTGGCCCCCTCCTCCGTGGCCAGGGCCATCATGGCCGCGGTGCTCATGAGGTGGTAGCCCTCGATGGTCATGGCCCCGGTGACCAGGGACATCATGAAGCCGGTGGCCATGGGGTCCCCCATGTCCAGGACCTTCATGGGGGCGATGTCCACCATTTCCACCCATGCTCCCGCCAGGTCCTTCATGAGGACGATGACCACTGCCACTGCCCATGCCACCACCAGGGCCTTCATGGGGACGATGTCCTCCACCCATGCTACTGCTAGGGCCTTCATGGGGACGGTGCCCACCACCTCCAACCACACCCCCACCAGGGCCCCCTCGTCCATTTGGGGGTCCTCCTCCGGAACGACCTCCTCTGGCCCCCCGAAATGGCGGAGGAGGGGGAGGAGGAGGAGGTTCATTTCCTCCTCGGCCTCCACGACCTCTATGGTATGGTCCAGGACCAGGTCCTGGACCTCCCCGCATCGGGCCACCCCTCATGGGGTCACCAGGGCCATCCCAGAAGGGATCACCCCCCCGGGGAGGGGGTGGGGGACCCAGGAGGCGTGGACCCACTGGCCCACCAGGACCCCCAGGGCCTCCATGGGGACCTGTTAGGAAAAAAAGGGAGAGACACAATGTCAGCTGCCTGTTATATAATCAGGAACTCCTCCCTCCCAGCCCACACCACCTTCTACCTTTTGGTCCATGCTATACCATCACCAGACCCATTCCAACTATCACTCACCACCTACCTGGCATAGGTCCCCCAGGGCCTGAGGGGAAGTGCTGCATTCCCTTGGGGCCCCCTGGGCCTCCTTGTGGAAAACCATTGGCTAGTGGACCAGGGCCTAAGAGTCCATGAGGCACTGTTAAGGCAAAAAGGTGTCAGATAGTCAGAAAGAGGATTCTAGAAGAGTGACATGACATCTCCCTTAGGTGTGCCCAGCTGATGCTCCAAGACCAACCTGGCAGAGCAACGTTCTCTGGTCTAGTCTTCCCTTTCAATGTCTGGCACTGAGTGGGAATACTTCTGTTTCCCCAACCCTACTGCAGGCTTCCTCCCCCAGGCCTGGGCTCGCCCTGGTAATTACCCAGCATCTGCTTGATCTTGTCTGAGTAATCTGGCTGCTTCAGCAGTTCCTCTGAGGGATGACTATTTGGGCTACCCTGCGAGGCAAGATCAATAGAGATCAGCATCAAAAGAGAGCAGTAGTCCTCACCAGCAGAAAGAGAGCGCCAAAAGAGGAGGCACGTGGGAAGATGGGGAGGACAGGGGTAAAGAGAAGGGGTGTTCCAGACAAAGTGGAAAAGAAGAAGGAGGGCTCATACCATGATGGAGGTGAGGATCTCCTGGACATTGATGCCTCCTCCTCCAGGACCCTGGGGGCTCTTCCCAGCACCCATGCTTCCCATAAGATTGGCCAGAACAGGAGGCAACTTAGAGCCACCTGCCCCGTCAGGTGAGCCACTGGCCTCCCCAGGCTCCAGAGTCTCAGCATATGGGGTCTCATCCATGGAACATTCCTGAAAGCAGAATAGAACAATGAGGGCTAACTGCAGAATAGAGAGAAAAGCTCCGTAAAAGCTGAATTAACCTCAATCACAACCCCCATCACCACATCACACTCACTCACCTCATCTAGGGGGATGAGCTTTGGGGGTATAGGTTCATAGGACTCAGGATCAGGCTCATGAGGGCTAGCAGTAATGCCACGGGTGAAGCAAAAAAAGAATAATAGTCAAATTATTTATTCAGGCCCTGGAATTTATTCTTAACCCCCACCCTCTTCTTAATCACCCCAGAGCATACTCCCTTCAGGAGCCCATGTGCTCAATACCCCAGCGCACGAACCCCATACTGCTTACCTTTCCTTGTTCAGGAAAAGCTCCTGAAGGATTCCTTTCTCCCGCTCAGCCTGGATGTATCGCTCCTGGCTGCTGCTTCCAGGGGTCACAAGTGGGGAGGGCAGAACCAGGGGCCGGGGGCATACCCACGGCACCTTCTCCTCCATGTTGTCATGGCTCAGACGCCGGGCCGTCTCAAATGCATGTCGGTCTGACAGTATCTCTCGCTTAGCTGCCTCGCCAAAATCCTTGATCTTATTCACATTTACTATTGGCAGGGAAGAAAAAAGCAAGAGGGCAAGTAAGTATGACCACGTCCTTTTTAAACGGTCTATACCCACCTATTATATAGAAAACTTGACTTCTAACCTCGTTCAGTTTCATCTAGTTCAAAATAGAAATATTCTCGCAGTTTGCCCTCCTCAGGCCATGTCACAGTTTTCCGCTTTCTGCCTTTCCGGGTCAGCTGGCTGGCATCACCAGGACACTCTGCTGGCTTTGCATCCAGAGCTCCTGGCTCCAAAGAGACTATAAGCAGGAGAGGTTTCAGACCCAGGCCCTTCCTCTTAGAAAACCCCCAAATCTGTACCACTTTCTAGACTTACCTGTATCCAGGAGCTCTGGGACTTCCACAGGTGGAACTGGGGTCCCTGGACGGTCTATGTCCATAGCCTCAGAAGGAGGTGCTGGCTCTGGGGAAGAAGATTTGGCTGTGCTTGGTTCTGTGCTTGTTTTCCCTTCAAATGGGCTTGGCTATTGTGAAAAAAAAAAAAGTTAATGAGCTGACTGGAAAGCCAAGGTCAAGGCAAGGCAATTAGTTCACAGTTCTAGGCAGGATACCCCAATGGTTCATGTAAATGAAGATCTACATCAAATGCTGCCCACCACCAACATCTGAGACAAACAAACTCTTCTCGCCCTCCTGACTCCAAGCTGCTGAGTCCTTCCTTCGACTCTATCTTTACCTGTCACTGACACCTGCTACCCAGGACCCATACCTTGGCGGCTGTAGGCGACAGCACCTTCTTCTTCTTCTTAATTTTGATGCCTGGAACAGGTGCTGAATTAAGTGCATCCAGGAATCCCAGGCCCTCCATAGCTAAAAATGGAAAAAGTATAAATGGAATCATCATACCTACTTCACAATCCTATTCCTATAAAGTCTGGGCAGAAAAATGGGTCATTGGAGAACCTGCCTCAACTTGGGACACAATAAGCTCAAGGTGACCAGCAAGCATATGCACAAGAAATTCATGACATAATTCTCTTTCTATTAAAGGTGTGGAAGCCGTGGCTTTGGGTATAAATTAGAGCTCAGGTAGTAGACAAAGCTAGCTCTGTCAGCATGACAAATTCCTGCCAGCTGATAGTGCCCCTAACCAGTCACTGCAGAGCATACCTCCCACCTCATCTCTAAAGTTACTCCTAAGAACTCTTGTGAAAGGAAAGTTTCAGAAGTGCAAAAACTAAAGGACACCAAGAAATCAAAGGAAAACATTAGAGAGAAGGAACACTCCCTACATTCATTCTGATGAAGAGTTTGCTCCCAATTCAATACATTCCCCGACTTTGGACTCACGCTGTGGCGGGATGATCTTCACTTTGATCTCTTTGGTAGCATTGGGTGTTGTGTTGAGAGGCTTGTACTTCTTCTCTGCATGGGGTGCAGTGTCTCCTGGGGAGGCTGCAGAACTGTCAGAAGAGGAACTGTCAAGAACAATGCCCACTCGAGTCTTTTTTCTCTGTCCTCAGACCCAGCCCATTCAGAAGCCCAGCACACAATCCTTACCTCTGACGCTTGAGGGGGATGGGCTTAAGGTTGTACTTGTCAGAAACCACTACCGCACTGGCATTCTTCTTCACAGGCACCAAAGATGGGGTCTCCAGCTCTAATCCTGGGGAAGAGCCATAGTGTGGGGTTGAACTCACAGCCCACCCTCTTAGCTTTTCCTCTGAGTTCATCTGGCCTTGCATAACCCCCAGAGCTTCACCCACTAGTCTTCTCTCTTTCACACATCATTATGCAGCAACCCCGGGCATCTGACAGCCTCACCAGTGGAGCGGAACTTGGCATGGCTGGGTGCTGTGGTCCTAAGAGACTTGGGCTTCTCCTTCTTCTTCTCTGGGGCCTCCTCAGCCCGAGGCTCAGCCCTCACCTCAGTGAAAGGCCTCTCAGGAGGGGTGCTTCGACTCTTTCCCTCTTCTTTACGTTTTTTCTTATCTTTCTCTGTTGTGGGAAAACAAAGTAGAAAAAGATTTTATTTAGACAAAGGGGAAGACTGCCAGGCAGAGGTGAAGCAGGCTGAGGACACTGAAGGCCACATCTCAGTGGGATAAATGACTTCAGAGCTTACCAGCAGGCTGAGTACTACTCTGGGAGCGGATGACAGCCATCCAGTCGCTTACAAGGACTGAGGCCAATTTCCGGAGCTCTGTAGGTAACAGAAAGGGGAAATGCCTAAGTAACTTAAAATATTATTCCTCCAGTGACAAATATTACAGAGTATGTTGTAAAAACTACATTAGTGCTTCATATATACAGGGATGGGCAAAAGTAGGTTTACAGTTGTGAATGCATGGTATACAGTTTAGTCTTATATTACTTATTACTATATTATTTATTTGTATTATTTGTAAACTTGCTTTTTCCCATCTCTGTGTATCTCGTGGAATTTTAACAACAACCTGAAGATTTTTAATCTCCCTTCACAGGCACAGAAGCAGAGATTAGAGTCAAAAACTAGAAAGTAGCACAGTGACTCCAATACCTATGTTCTTCCCCTTCTGTTAAGAGAACAGAAACTAAAATCAGGAGAAAAGTAGGCAGAGTTCAAGTATCTGAAGGGCTACTAGATTTAAAAATAAACACCATTATTCTGTGTTGTCCTAAAGGCAACAAGGGAAAGTTTCAAGGAAGTGATTTAAATCCATCTTACAAAAGACTTTTAGGCAAAATTTTTTTCTAGAATGCCGTTAGTGATAATGGCTTTTTAATTAGGTACAGCATGGGTGAAAAAAGATCGTAAAAACAGACTAATTTAGGGTTGTGGTTTATCTAAAGAAAAAAAGAGATCAGAGAATTTTAAAATAGAGAACAGAATTTTTTTTGTAAATATATGAAAAATGTACCTTTGTAGCTTTTTCCTTTTGTATTTGGCAAGTAACATCTCTTATCTATGGCATTTCTCTTCTTGCCAACACTTTCACTTACAGACTCATTTATGAATGAGATTGCCATATAACATTAAAACCTAACTTTTCAAAACAGTCACATAACTGGCAATTTCTGTAGCCAAGGCAAGATGAATCCCAATGCATACCCAATGGAGGAATACCCTAAAATCTTTTTGGAGCAACTGATACTATGGTCCAATGAGACTTCTCTATAGTCAATAAATAGTGAACAAATTTCATTATCCAAAGGAAGTACAGAATAATAATTAAATCTACATTCAAGGAAGGCAGCACAATTGAGCCAGCTGGAAAACAGGGGACAGTATCCCTGAGAGTGAAGAAACAAAAGATGGCCAATAACTTATGAGGCTCTTCTGGGATATATGTAAATTATTAAACTACAAATTATTAAAGATACTCTGAGATGTCACAAAAATAGTGAAGTGCTCTATATCTAAAGGGGCCTAAAAATTGGGAATTAATACAACTAAAAGAACGAAAAATTATGGAATGTTTTTTACCTAAATAATACTATGAGTTAAACCCTTTACCTGAGAAAGGGTTCCCAGTGTTTTCTGTAACTACAGGAATTTTAGATAGGCTGACCCAGGCCTAGATGCTCCCTCCACACCAAATGGCCAAAGTTTCTTTTCAAAAAGGCTTAGTACACTATTCTCTTTAGACAAAAAGCAAACCTCAACTCTGACCAGGGGATCAAGCTCTGCTAGAATACTGCTCACATGTGAGATACTAGGGTCTTATATTCCTGACTTATGCAGTGGATGTAAAGTCTTTGAGTATTTAAGCCTTGGACACAAATTCTCTTCTTCTCTAAAGAAAAGGCTGTGACTTTATGGAGCCAGGTTCTATCTTCAACCCAGAATTGTATGGCCTTTGCCAGGAGCTCCAAAACCCTTTGTCTCAGAAAGACTCTGTTGCTATGAAGCTATGATATAATCCAGGAGTTGGGATTCTGCCCATTCCCTACAGGAAGATGTTTATTGGCAAAACTATATCTATTGTTAGGAAAATAGTCACTGAATGTCCCAGAGTATGCTATATTTATATAGAAGAACAGAAGTCAAGGATGATGAGACACTCTACGATGACACTTTTCTCCCCTAAAGAATTTTAAGTGTATGACTTTTATACCATGAGATCTTAAGAATCAGCTTCTAGTTAAAGTATGGTACTTTATCTTACACTTAATAATAGAGAAATGAACGAATCCCATTTAAAACTGAGACCAGGAGAGAGGGAACAGATTAGAGGAATGAAATTTCTAAAAGAAAGAGAAAAGCAAGGTGCAGTAAAAAGAGAAAGGAAGAAAGGTACAGTCCAAGGAAGGGGACAGACATGAAGGGAATTAAGAAGTGGAAGTAATGGAGGAAGGCCCAGACAGAGGAAGGACTGGCCCCTACCTTCATCCTCACTTGACTTGCTCAGTTGCTTCACCAGTTTAGCTGTGTTGTTCTATGAGAGATAGGGAGCAGCAGAAAGGTAAATGCCAGGAGGACACTAAGCCCACTCAGAGCTAATAACCCCCTAAACTAACAATCTCTCCATAGTCCCTTAACAGTGACTAACGCTGATATTGAATTTACCTTTTACAAAACCTTTATGGGCATAGTCTTACTTAATCTTTACAATAATCCAATTAGGTAGGTACAATTACTCCCATTTTATAGATGAAAAAAACTGAGGGTCAGATATATGGAGTACCCCAAACCACACACCTATTAAAGGAGATATATTTGAACCAAGTATTCTGATTCCAAATTCCTATTTTTCCTACCATTCTACCTCACAGGCCTAAGATCACAGCCACATCAGAGTCAGTTTAAGTTTTTCATCTGTCAGGCTAAACCAAAAAAGACACACTGGAGTGGTAAAAACCAAAGGTACCTGCTTGAGATGGTCCACGGTGAGTGGCAGGTGCTGCAAGGTCAGTAGAATTTGCTGCAACAGGGGAATGTTGTTGGTTGTCTTTGAATATGTCAACCAATTATTAAGAAGCTTGTAGCCACCAACGTCAATAAACCTGTAAGCAGGTAGGAGAAGAATCTAATGCCCTTCCTGAGTTTTGGAAGGACAACATCCCGTATTCCTAGTTCCCCATCAAAAACCCAAGAATCCCATGCCTCACCTCCCTCACCTTCTAACTACATCTTCCCACTTCAGCCACTCAGATCCCCACTTACTTGACCAATATTTCTGGTGACCGGGTCTGCAGGAGAATGTTCAAGTAAGTGCATCGACTCACCATCTTTCGTGCTTCCTTCATCAAACTGTAGGAGAGGATTGGGTTAGGAATGGAGCAGCCAGAGAGCACCGCTTCTTCCAGTAGCAGAACCTCTAATCTGTGAGACTGTCTGAAGATTCCTGATAACTTGGGACTTTGTTACAAAGTGGCAGAGTCACATGGGCCTCTAGGAGGATGGGATGGATCCAGAGTAAAATAAAAACCCAGGGCAGGATGGAAGACAACTGAGGAGACAGAGTCTCTGATCTGGGGGTGAGCATCACTGCTTCCCTAACACACAGGACACATCTGATTCTGCTTGCAGGTGAAGAATCCTATCCCTCAAAAATCAGCAAATTAGTAGTTTGTTCAGGACTGGCTTAGCCATTTGCTTGGCCTGGGAAATTTGATACTTGAAGGAAAATGACAGTTTGGGGATCTGAAATGTGACCCAAAACAGAACCAAGAATTCTGTCACCTGGTTCCCTGCTTCCTTCCTTCCAAAGGGTGACAAATATCTAATTCCATTATAGCCAGGAACCAAGGGATCGCCTTTTCCTATCACTTACTCTAAAATTATTGGATTTCAATCCTATCCCACTGACTTTTCCTTTCCTCTCCAAGAACATTCAGTCCTGTCTGCCTTAATTACAACATACAATATCCTCTATTCGCAATGAATCCAAAAAAGGAAGACTCACCTGAAGATCTTGGAAATTCCGTCCACATTCTTGACTTCCCCATCTCGGTTAAGGAAGCTATCCAGGCCCTTGAGAAGCTCTTTGGGATCTATGGGACCCGAACCCATGATCGAGGCTTCCAAGAAAGGACAAAACAAATCCACAGAATAAATGGGTGGCAAGGACAGTGCCAGTATACTCTCTAATAAATTCCATTTCTATGTTTGACAAAACATAGTGACTAATTATTCAATTTACATTCAACCACACTTACCATTTTCAAGGTAAAAATCAACACAGACCATTGTCAGCACTGAGAAAATAGCCCTGGCAAGTTAGGCATGGTGCTACCAGAGGATGAAATGGGAAAACAATCAGTTGGCAGACTAGGGGAAGCCACCTCTCTCCCCTTCCCAGAACTTCATTAGCTAGTATTAGAGCTAAGATTGACATTCCTGTAACAAAATGCTCAATTCTTCAAGGGATTTTTGCTTAATGTTCGGTTCTTGTCTCTCCTTGGTTGCTAGTAAATCTGGTTTGAAAAAAAACTGACTTGGTAAGAACTGGGCCAATCTTGTGTGTTGGGCTAAATGTCTTCTCAGATTTATTCCTTTTTACTATGGCTCACTAAGAGTCATAATCACAAGTGGCAGGATATGTACTGCTTGCAATAATAGACAATCAATTCAAGTGATAAGTAATAAAAAAATAAAACTTGAAAACAGAACCTTTCCCCAGGGGAGGTATGGGTAGCTCCCAGAAATGGAGACATATGGATGTGAAGGAAATCAAGCAGGTTCGCCTTAGCCTTAAATAGAATGTCACTCATTAACCAAACACAATTTCAAAGTTAAAAGCATGACTGGTTTGTGATTTCAGAAGGAAACATGCAAATCCAACCCCCTATTACCTCCCCACCCAAAATCACATCACTATCCAAGATCCCAAAAAAAGGCCTGAAATTGGAAACTATGGAGCCAAAAAGAATGGAATAAAAGTAGACACTAGAAAAATGCCTTTAAATTTTAAGTAGCTACTTTAGATCAGGTTAGAAAAGGAGTTAATTAAAAGTTAAATTATTTTTATGGGACAGAAAAGTGTGAAGCAATTTCTAGGCCAGAAACCAAGTTCCAGAGAGGAAATTGAGAATTGGTATGTTCAGATTGGTATTTTTGTCCACAATGCCTCGAATAACCTCTGAGAACCGAAAAAGAAAGCTACCTCAGTAATATTAACATTTGGGAAATCAGGTTAACACTGAGTAGGAAGGAGGCAAGGAGAAAACCACCTCATGCACCCTGCTTCTAGTAGTTAACAGACATGATCCCAGCAGAAATGTGGAAAAATCAGGATATTACAAAGATGACTACATTTTGTGCAGAAACGAGAACAGTTTTCTTATAAGGTAGTTCTCAGAGGAAAAACAATTTTCAACCTTTTCAGTCCTCCCAACAAAGAAGGTCAATAAATTTCTAAATGCAAAGGTCCTAACAACCTAAACAAGAAAAGGTAGAAGCAGGGAGGAGGTTGGTCCTTAAGATCATAAACTGTGGGCTGAATACAGGGAGAGGAAATGACCTAAGAAATGCCGAGAAGTGAGCAAATCAGTGTTAATTGTGCTGTGACTGCTGCCATGGGACCTCCACAAGTACAGGCAGAACCTGAAGTGAAAGGAAAAAACATTGAAGTAGAACACCAGATAAGATTAGAAATGTACAGGCCAAATCCACTAAACTGTGGTTATTCTTATGGAGACACAGGGTTAAAGGAATTTTTCCCATGTTGTAAAATATCTACGTAATATATAGACATAAAGAAATATATAGATATAATAAAGAGATAGAAATCAGGTTTCCCATCTATTGGAGATTGTAAAAGCAATGAGTGTTTCCAAATATATATCAGGAACCAAGATACACACAATTTGACAAAACACCTTCAATTAAACTAACATTACTTCAAACCAGTCCCCCTGAAACACAACTGATCCCACTGATTCAAAGCCAGAGTTGCATATACATCACCTTGAAGAACTCCCTTTTACATATCCCATTATCAGCTATGCGACCAGGAATGCTACTCCTACTTCCTTCAGAAACTCAAAAAGTATCATCAGAGCTCAAATGTTCCTTCACATAAGAGGGTGGGAGACGAAAGATCAAGTAGTATAAAACTAAATTGTCTAGTGCCTTCTGCTGGAAACAAGACCTAGGAACTTCTTCATTCTCATTTATAACAAGCAAGAATAGTTAAGTCAAGAGAAACTAGGAGACATGCAGAAGAAATGTTACTCAATTTCCATTGTTTTTTTCCTATTACATTTTGGAAATAATATTAAAACTAAATTTTGTCTCACAAGCACCAATCTTGTGATTAAAAGGTGAGTTTTCTTATTATAGCTTTCCTACAGGAAGATTAGCTTTCACTTATTTAAAATTTAAGGACCCCAAGTGTCTGACAACCTAATTTCCTTCTTTTAAAGTCAATACATTGAAAGAAATTCCAAGGCTCTCAAGTGGAAAGGAACAAAGCCTAAATTCCTGGCTCAGGCCTACAGTAGAAAAGGCAAATGAGCTGACCAGGGAGGAAGAGCAGTGACCAAATGTCATAACATTGCCAATGGAGCCTGCAATGAAAGTTTAAGGAAGATTTCTGGAACCAAAAATAATCCAGGGCATGATATACTTTAGTTTTCTTGAAGGCAGTACAGAAGGGGCGGGAGGTGGGGCAGGGCAGGGAACCAGGCCCTGGCCTATCTCCACCTTCTATGCTGTTTTCCTTAGAGGATGTTGCTGGCAGGAACAAGCACTACCAACATAAGACACTAGAGAGTTTTCTACTGTTCTTACCAGAGGTAAAATTTAAAAGTCCTTAAGTGACATTGACTTCTGCCTACAAAATGAATTTTACGTAAGGGTTATTCATTTAAATAGGGTGAAAAATATTTAGTTTAGCTAAAGTTATTCCATACCCATCACCAATGAAACAGAACTGGATTGGGTTCAGGACAAAAATTCTGTGCAAGTCAGAGCCCTTTTTAAAACAATCCCAACACTCTTCTGACAAAGGAGGAGCCTAAGTTTACCTTAACTTAGAGGATTTAGCACTTCTGGAAATGAAAATACTTTGTACCTAACCTCTTACATCCCCCTTCCTTTCTTCAGTGTTTGAGGCATTGCCTAGCTTGACTGAACAGTGGACTGCATTATGTATCTCAGGTGATTCCCAAGGTTATAGCTTTCTTCTAAGTATTAAACCCCTATCGCTCAGTCATTTTGAAAACCTGATACATGAGCTCCCGAAAAGCTTATTTGTGAAATCACTACCCCCATCCCATCCCAACAGGGAAGGATCCCAGAATAGAACTCTGGCCACAAACTACAAAGATCAGTTTCTCCGGATGGATTAAGTTTCCCTAGAAGACTTTGTTTCCCATCTCTCATGTTAATGAAGATTTTCTTTATTAATCCCCTGCCCACTAGAGATCAGGAACCCCAGTGGGCAGAATGTTCAGCTCCCAAGGAAGGTATGCTGCAGAGGCACATGGCAAACTGCTTAAAAAAACAAACAACAAAAAAAAACTTGTGGTCAATAGACATGAGGAAGAGTCCCTCCCATCCAATCCAGAAGCTTAATAATTTGAGAATTCATACACAATAGAAAATTGGCCCCGAAGTCTCACCCAACTCACCACATGGCATTTGTACAAAATGGCTTTCCAAATCTGCCTAGGACCTCCATGCTTCAATGCAGGACTTAAAAAAAAGTAAAGTATATGGATAATCCGATAAAGATTTGACTTTCAAAAAGTTGGAGGAAGAAAGGGACAGGGCACGAAATACCACACTCAGATAAGGGCATGGCTTTCCAACATGCACCAATTACTACAGCACTGCCAGTTGAAAAATGAAGACATTACTCTCCCATTGTTTAAGGAATTTCTGAGGGAAAAAGAAATTCAAAAAGATGGCTCTTGGGGAAAAAAGCGAAATGAAAGTTGTGAAATGTAATACCAGAAAGGTTTTGCTTACCAGAAACTGTAGCTTGATCCCCCCTGCCTTGAGTTTACAACTGCCGCCTCCTTTCCTAAGATTCACTTCTCATCCCAGTACCAAAGTACAGGAGCTAAGCAATTGGAGAGTGTGACACAGCACGGAATACAGTTTATCCCAAAACTCAAGTGGGAATAAGGGTGATTGAGAAGAAATTCCTCAAGTACCCACTCTTCTCAGATTCTCATTGTACAAAGCAACCAAATGCAGGAGGCCCAAGGAATGGTTACTGAGCAAAAACGGCATATTTCAGTGTTATTAGGCCCCATTTGTCTCGTTACGTCCACAAGCCCTTGTGTCTTCTCTGATATGCCCAAACACACATATATACATACATACAAGCTCACACACACCTCCCCCAAAAGGCTCCCAGTATTAAGAGTTTAACTGGTTTTCTACCCGTGGCAACTGAAATGGGGAAAACTTCCAAGCAGTTGCGATGAGTGAAAGGTGAAAATAAAAGCGTCAGGCTCTCACTGTAAAAAAACAAAAAACAAAAAAACTAGTTGCCCGACGAGATGAACAGCTTTAAGACCTAATTTCTATCAGCTTTTTTCCCTTTTAAGATAAAGGCTATTAAAGATAACACCCTGAAGAAATTAAGGAAGATGTCTTTCCTGGCTGCGTGCACAGGGAGTTCAGAAAGCATTTGCTCAGGGGTGGAGTTTCAGAGGGTGGAGAAAGAAAGAGGATTACATCACCTTTCAATGAAGCTCCTCCCCCTTGACCAAGTTTGTAGGGCGGCCCTAGGCTCTGGATGGTAAAAAGGGAAAACAACAAAGAAGCAGGGACGCCATTTTGTAATGGAGAAGAAAATTTTAAAAAGCTATTGCAGCTCTGCCGGTAGCTGGTTACAGTAAAAAAAAAAAAAAAAAAAAAAAAAAAATCGGGGGGAGGAGGGAATAAACAACAACAAACCAGTCCCACGTCCTGAAGTCTTTGGCCTATTTTTGAGTAAGAGCATTGTGAAAATACAAGTAATTAAAATATTAAAAGTAACAATTTTCTGCGGGGAAGAATTTAACTTCTAGTTGAGGTTCGACCTACGACCGACCACCCCCATCCTGCATACAAAGGGAAAGGGGGGGATCTGGACCCCTCTCAACAAATAGGGCTGAGGTAGGACAAGAGAAAAATGGGAGACACAACCTGCAACACCGCTTGGAAGACAAAAGGACTAGGAAAGTCGCCATATTGAAGCAGGGAAGAAAAAAATCCTTTTTAACGACACAACCTCTTAAAAATCTAGCATTCAATTGTACTAAATGGCTTTTTAAATGATACTCCTGAATTTCACATTTCCCAACCTTTCCACCCTCTAACTGTAGTCTCATCAGAAAGTACCAAAATGTTAAGTTGCTTTTAAATATCTTATGCAACCTGCAACAATTACAAAACATTTACGTCCCCAACTATCATATTGTATGTACTGGCACTAAAATTATATTGTCCTGAATTGTCTTGCAATCTTTATTCCTAGATTGCCACCTATTTTAACCACACAAATATACCCCAAGCATATTACATTAAAATTGAGAGGATTTACCATCTTAAGTCATAGCCAGCTAATATTTCTCTGCACATCTCCTTACCCTGCAATCTTTATGTACAGATTGCTTATTAATCTGGCAAATTGATAGGCGCCCTGCTTGTCTCACACACAAAGAAGTGGGACTTCTGGGCCACAAGATCCACCGTCTTTTGTATGTGAGCTCATTAACCCTTTTGAAGACTGCTGCTTAGGGAGGAAGGTAACCATCCCTCCTTATTAAAAGCAAACAGCGCTTTGGCAGTCTGGAAATTGGCTGGATTACGAAGGGTTAACCAAAGTTCTCACTTGCTGGCCCTCCCTCCACCCTCTCCTTGCCTGCAGCAGGGCAGGTTAGAGGTAGGTGGTAGGGGAGAGAACTAGACTGTTTAGAACCAAAGGCCCTTTTTAATGGAGATTAAGTGACCGATTTGGTCCTTTCTCCAGTTCTCCATTTTGTTCTATGGTCTCATTTCTTCCTCTCATTTTTGGTTTCACAAAGGGAAAGGTTGATTTCTTGTTGCAAGGCTCGTTTTTGAAAATTCGACACTTACTATCCAATTTTTTTGCGACGTCAGCACCTCGGGCTCAGGGGGGAGGGGGTTAAAATTTTGGAGAAAAAAAAATTAAACCACCAACCAGGACCCAAAACTCTTATTTGGGGGGCCTCATTGGATCAAAAAGTCTCTTAAAAAAACAAAGGCCAACTCAGTATTCATTCCCCCCCCACCCAACTCCATTCAGGGAGGGGGGGTCGTAGAAAAAAATCTGAGTGGATTCAAAAAAGTAAACGCTGGATAAGTGAATTTGGGTGGGTTTGGATGGGTTTGATTATTTTTGAAGTTATGTGGTGACAGTCCTTCGGCCACAGATCTCAAGTCCCAAGCAGCGTGGGCTGGTGGGGTGGGCAAGATAGGTGGGAAGGGGCAGAAGACACAAGTGGTTGGGCTGGTGGCTGCTGTTTTCCCTTTCCCCCCGCTCAGGATCCTTTCAAGGGTTTAGATGTTGCTGCCTCTTGTTTCTTTTTTCCTCGTGGCTGATCTTCCTCCGAGAAAATTCAAACCTAGGATTAAAAGAACACGAGAAAAAGATATAATCAGCATGGATAACTTTTAAACACCCCGAATTATCACTTTTGTTGTCCCACACAGCTCAATGTCCAACCCCGAACTTTTTATAAGTTGTGGCTCTCAAATAAATCAATGCCAAACCCATTTACAACTCCAACGCTTTCTAGTATTTTAACCTCTAACCGACAAACTACCGGAACTTACCTCTAAACGAACCCGACAATGGCGGCTGTCCGCTCGGGCGGTGTCTTTTATACCAGGACACCACCCAACGCGCCCAAACATGCTAGCGCGTTTCCCTGTCGCGAGACATTGTGCGCGAGGCGTAAATTCATTGGCCAACACGAAACACAACTCACTAGCTGATTGGCTATCCTTCTTTCGCCTTTGCTCAGCCCACTCTCCCCGCCACCTTCGGCGCCTTTTTCCACCTTCTTCCTGGAGAGGAGGCGCGTGCGCGTAACCGGAGAGCCTAGTACCGCCCCTTCCTCTGCCTCTACCACTTCCGCCCTCGAAAACCTAGCTTACCCTGGGTTGGTTGAACAGGGCCGGCGCATGCGTACTGCGGGAATTAGGGTAAAAATCTCCTTCAAAATTGCTTAAAAGGCAAACTCAAAGTATAAGATCTAAGAGTCATAGTGACTGGTTCATTAAAAACTTAATTTTGAGGCCGAATTCCACTGTGACGCAGTTGAAATTGGATTTTTCCTGAGGGCCCTCCCCCTTTCTCGCTTCCGTCCTGACGCGACGCAAGTACGTGGCTGCCTGCCGCAAACAAGCTTGTCCTTGGCCCTGCCCAAGTCAGTTTCCGGGAGCATGCGCAGTCGCCTTCTTGAGCATTCCTGTTTTGGGCGTACGTCAAGATGGCGGCCTCCGTGTTGAATATGCTGCTGAGGCACCCTTCTAGGCTTTCGTCCTTCAGGGGTGTCTGCGGAGTTCAGGTAACTCCTTGGAGCACGTTTTGTATAGCCACTACTTAGTTATACTTTCTCTAGGTCTCGCTCCACTTCTAGGAATCCGGGAGCAGAGACTTTCCCAAGTGCTTATGCCTCCGCTGCTGAGGCAACATTTTGCTCCCACCACGTCCCTCTTCCCCTCACCCTCCTTAAGTCTCCGTGCCGGATTTTAAAATCCCGCGCTGGGGGCAAAGACCCAGGTTTAGATTTTATTATCTTCCCCAGTTACTATCATGGGTAAATAACTAGGTGAGTGATGCTCCCCACCCCACCCCGTCATGCACAACAAATTTATCTATACAGTGGTGTCTAAATCTGTGATGCCCTGGAAAGTCCTTGGGTTCAGGGTCACTAACTTCTACTGGGAGAGTGTCCCCCAGTAAAGCAAGGATACATGCTCGACTTAGTGACCAGTTTCTCAGCTTTCCATCTCACTAAATTAGTTTATTGTCAGAGTATACATGAAAATTTAACTCATGTTCTTTGGATTTAAGTTTTTTGGATTGAGGTTTCCCTCCAGCCTCATGTACTCACCATCCCGGAGGTTCCTAGTAAGGCAGGGCAGGGTCTTGGTGGGGCAGGGGGAGATAGGAAGGCTTGCCCAGCTGCCACTCCCTAAAGTGGAACTGAAGTACGGTGGAGTGAAGAAGGGCTCACTGTGGAATTAATGACAGACCTGGTAGTTTGAAAGCTAGCGTTAGGACTCAGGTTTGTTCTTCCCTATGGAATGTTGACCTTCAACTTCTTATAATGCTGAGGAACTCTGATTCTGAATTGGATTGAATTGGAGACTACCTGTCCAATGCACCCGCTTCGTCCCACACATCTTACTGCCAAGGAGCTAAACATCCTCACTTTTCCTTTCTTCACCCTTTTCCCTCCACTAGACTCAGTTCATCCCAAAAAGCATGAATACCTTGTATGTGCCCAGTTTTAAGTCTTCACAAATAAGATCGCCTCTCAGTCACCTGTCCTAGTTTTCCTCCAACATCGGTTTCCTTCAGAATCCAGATGGAGGTATGATGAGTGGTTGATGATGTCAGTTTAACCCCAACAAATACGCCAGCTTCCATATATGTTCCTTCTGTATTCCATTGACACAGTGGGCATGCATTCCTCCCCTTCCTGAAGTGTCAGCAGCAAAACAATCAGGTTCCTTCTTCGAATTCATTTTTTAATTTTCACCTTTTTTTATAGGTCCCCCTCCAGGCTCTTTGCACCCAAGTACCCTTTGAGGAAGATTCTTTGCCTCCAGTGCCCATTTCCCCTTATAAGAATGAACCCTGGAAGTATCTGGACTCAGAAGGTACCTATAGGAGAAAGGAGGGCCATGTGGTGTCTGAAGTAAATATACAGAGACACATCCTCCACCCTAACTTGTGTGGTCTTTCATTTCAGAATACAGGTCCCGCTATGGTTCTCGTCCCATCTGGACTGACTATCGTCGCAACCACAAAGGTGGAATACCCCCACAGTGGACTCGAAAGACATGTATCGTGAGTTTCTGAGAGCATGGAGGGGATATGAAGTAGAGGTAGAGACCGTAAGTGGCAGTGGCAGCAGCACTTTTTCTGACGAGGCTTGGAACATTATTACCTGCCAATTTCTTCTCTCTGCAGCGTAAAAATAAAGTTGCTGGGAATCCCTGCCCTATCTGCCGGGATCACAAGCTGCACATCGACTTTAGGGTAAGGAGAATCTTTTCTCCAGAATGAAGATTTGGAGCCTTTTTGCAGTTCTAAGGAGATTGTCCCACTCTTCTTCAGATCCCAGCACCCCTACACTCCATTTTGCACTGACTTCCTGGCACTACAAAAACATTCTCTGTAGTCTTTTGTGCTGCACTGTGGATTGTAGTAAAAAGTTTCATCCTTTACCTATGATATTGACAGTCTAAATGGGCAGGCAAAAAAAATGCCCATTTCAAATTGGAGAGCAACGCCCAAAAGTTTGTTTTTATCCATCACAGTTATTTTTTATTTATTTTAGAGAAGGGGAGGGAGAAAGAAGAGAAACATCAATGTGTGGTTGTCTCCAGCATGCCCCCTGCTGGGGACCTGGCCTACAACCCAGCCATGTACCCTGACTGGGAATCAAACCAGTGACCCTTTGGTTCACAGGCCAGCACTCAGTCCACTGAGCCACACCAGCCAGGGCTCCATCACAATTATTAGCAAGTTGATTGGACTAATTTTTTTCCGAGATTTTCTCTCCTTGTCATGTTCACGTTTGGTGTCACCTGAGACTTGCACCTAAAGGGCAGAAATATGAAGCATGGTATAGAGACTAGTTACTTTTGTTAAAAGCCTTCAATTGTGAGAAGGATAACGAGTTCAAAAACTTTATTAAAAATGATAATGGGAAAATGCTTTTCTGAGCTTGCAGTGAAATAGATGAGAAGCTGAATGTCTGGTCATCAGGGAAGTTGGAGGGTATTTGTCTTATAAGTCAGCAGAGGAGAGTGTGTCTGTTCTCAGGCCCCTACTGACACAAGTTGTAAAGGAATCCAACAGGTAACTTCTCAATTTCAACTGTGTACAATTGGTTAATAAAAAGGTATTGTAAACAGTTTTATACAATTTATAATCACGTAACAAGGGAGAGAGGAAAATTACAAATTTAATAGTATGGATAATTCTGCCTGCCATTCCAGCTCCACAAGTGTACCTGCTCATTCCTTGGGTCTCACTTCCTGTGTTTAACTTGATACGTAGTCTCATGTGTATGTAATTAACCTCATATCTTCTATGTAATTAACTTTAAAACTGATCTGTATACATTATGTACAGCATGCTATTTATATGCTATACTCATTCATATATACACAGTACAACATACACTGTGTCCTGGGTGATTTCAGGGGTTGCCAGCTGACTCCCCGAGTTTTTGCATGAGGGCTGATTGTAGAACCTAACCCCTGGAGAAGAGAATTCTGTATGAGTCTCAGTGACAGAGTGAAGGATGTGCATGTGAAATGGTTGAAAGGCTAGGAAAGGGGACGTGTTTGCTGGAGTTTTCACAAATGTATGTAATAAAGGGATAGGGTTAAAACGGACATGAAGGAGGGCAGCATCTGGAGCAACATGGAAGGATTGAGGTCACCTGTGTGAATCTGTAGGGATTGTGCACTTTGCGTCTTTAAAGGTTTTTCTCCTGTCCCCCACTCCTTTCTCCACCATTTCCCCACAGAATGTGAAGCTCTTGGAACAGTTTGTCTGCACCCACACGGGTATCATCTTCCATGCACCATACACAGGTTAGCCCATCATCCATGTCCCCACCAGAATACCTTTTCCTGGGAGCACTTCTCTCTATTCAGTCAGACAATAGGTATTTGGTGGCTTCTACCACAGCATAAAAAGTGTGATTGAACCTTTTGGAAATCTTAGCTTAATGGGGATATTCACATGCTAAAACAGTTACACGTGAACAAAAAAATGTAGGCAAGTGTCAATTGTAGCTCTTGAAAGATAAATGATGGGGATTATTTTCTTTCTTTTGCACTCTTCACTTTTACAAAAGCGTTTCTCATTAATTAACCATTCTGTGAATTCTTTTTTTTCTCTTTTTTTATTGTTCAAATACATTTGTCTCCATTTTCCCACCACCATGTAAATTCTTTTATACTGTTGACAATTGTTAGATTTCCCAGATTTGGAATTTTATGTTTAACAACTCAAGATTACATCTATTCCCTAATTATAGCCACAGGCTAAATCTGGCTCACTGCTGTGTCCATTTGTCTTTATAGTGGCTACAGCTGCTTCCAGAGTACAGTGGCAGAGTTGAGTAGCTGAGACAAAGACTCTAGGACCTGCAACATGTAAAATATATGGCCCTATACAGAAAAATGTTGCCATTGCCTGCTAAAGCAAGATAAATTTGCAAACAATAATTTGAATTTAACAGTTTTGGGGGTGGCAGCATGATTAATGGAGTTGGTTTGTCAGGGAATTTTAAAGAGTAGTTTTAAACTTCTATCGGGTTGTAAAAAACTGAAGAGACTATTTTGCTACTCTCAGATTGTCTTCCTGTGACCTGAAATCCTTTCTTACTGAATTTTTCTCTGTGGACTGTCCTACCCAATTAAGCACACTTGCCCTTCAAATTGTTTTCTGTTCTCTGTTTTGGAGCCTTTTCCAGTGAATGGCTTCTCTATAGTAGCTAGACCCTCTTTAACTTTTCATTCTGGCTCTCAGAGAGGAGGGATTTTTTCCTTTGGGCATATGGGGAAACAGGCTTGAGAGAGGGGATCAGGAGAATGGGGAGCCAGGTCTTCCAAATCCAGCCCTCTCTCACCATGTAGAAGAGGTTTGTATTCTTTACTTACTGTGCTTTATAGAATAAGAGTTACCTTTCTTTGTTCCTGCAGGAGTCTGTATGAAGCAACACAAGAAGTTGACTCAGGCCATCCAGAAAGCCAGGGATCATGGTGAGTGTGAGAAGGGTCCTAGAGAAGTTTTGTTAGACATCAAGAAGGTGGTTTAGGGCTGGAAGATAGATAGAAATGCTCCTACCTATCTGAGAAGTTAGCACACAACATATTCTTCCTGAGAATCTCTTCTTTCATTGCTCCACAGTGCCTAATTCCCTCTCCTCAGTGTTACCTTGTTGTTGTTCCTCCTCTTTCCTCTTATTTAATAACTATCAGTCCCTATGACATAGCTACATCATAGGAGGATTTTTATATAAATTTCTGGCCCTGGGTTCCATATCTTTGTACAAATTAGAGAAAGTTACCTTTTTTTATTAGGGCAGATGCAGCTTCATAGTCCTAGTGCAGGGCTTCACAGCTTGGTAGGCAAGAGCCTAAATAGTATGTGAGCCCCCACTTGCCCCCTTGGCCAGTTGGACTTTGTGCAGTAGACAACATGCATAAATGTACTTAGTGGTTGTGACTGGTTCCCTCCTCTTATTTTCCTTCTGTCTCTTAATCTGAACTACCTCACCTTGCTTCCTCCCTTCACTCTATCTTTTGTTAATTTTCTAGGTCTCCTCAGTTACCATATTCCCCAGGTTGAACCTCGGGACCTTGACTACAGTAACTCTCATGGAGCTGTGAGTGCTACTCGACCAGCCCCCACTCTGGTTTCAGGTGATCCCTGGTACCCATGGTACAGCTGGAAGCAGCCACCAGAAAGAGAGCTGTCCCGCCTTCGTCGATTGTATCAAGGCCATCTCCAAAAAGAGAGTGGCCCCCCACCTGAGTCAATACCTGAGGTGCCGCTCACAACACATTCCCAGAGTTCTCTGTAGGAGCTGTAGACTGGGAAGGGTGCAGAGGGATTGGGAGATAACGCCTAGGAAAACATGATGGGATTCACCCTGAAGAATTTCATCTATTTTGTGGCCAATAGCAAGTCTAGGGTCAGTGAAAGGAAATGATTGTTGTTGAAGGGGATGACTACATCTCGGGTTGAGGGAGGGCAGTACAGATGTATGTGAGAAACCCTGATCCCCATGTAGTGTAAATAGATGGGTTCAGCCTTCTGTTGCTGTTTCAGACATGCCACCTTGGCTTTTCCACAATAAAGCTTTGTCTTCTGTCTCTGGACTGAGTCTTGAAGGAATGGATGCTGCTATGGGGAGAGGAATGGTCAGGCTGGAGCCAGTCCAACCAGTGACTCTCGAGAGGTCCCCTGGAATAAGCAGTTGTGCCATTCTGTATTGATCACTTTGTGGGGACCCCGTGCCTGAGGCAGTGTTCCATGGTCCGCTGCGCCGGCTGGTCACCAGGTCTAATGGGTTGGAGAAGAAGCAATTAGGCCGAAGGAAAATGCATTCATTGCTAGGCACCTACTGTCTTAGGAGGAGTTGGTGGGGAGCGGCATCACTAAGGGACTGTGGGCCTCAGGAGAAGGGTACGGTCTCCGGGGCAGCCTGGAGGGGGAAAAGGGCGGGGCGTCTGCTGTGGTGGATGCGGCCCCGCCCAGCGGAGAGGGAGAAATAGGGGCCTAGGGGCGGGGAGACAAGGGCGGAAATGACGTCGCGGGGGCGGGGCCAGTCCCACACAATGGGCCATGGAGTTCCCGTTCGATGTGGACTCGCTGCTCCCGGAGCGCATCACGGTCCTGGACCAGCACCTGCGGCCCCCTGCCCGCAGACCCGGAACCACAGTGCCGGCCCGGTGACATCTCAAACCCTCCTCGAGGCCCTTCTCTCCCAGTTCTAGAAACCTGGTCTAGGCACCACGCCCCTTTTAAATTGAGTAATAACACTCCTTTTGATGGCCTGGCTCGACCTGTTGGTGACCTTTGACCCTACACTTAGTGGGATTGATCTGCGCTTGGATCTTATGACATTCCACCCTTCGGCCAAATACGAGGTCCCAGCCAAAGCATGTGGCTGACCTGCCCTTCTTGCTTCCTCACAGTAACCTCAAGGGAGGAGGGAGTGTGTCACATTGGAAAAGAGGTGTGGTAAATGGGTTCCAGAGGATGGGGTGGAAAAATCAGATTGGAATACTCCAAGGTAAAGTCAGAGAGTCCTAAGTACTGAACCTGAATTGGAGTTGTGGTCCAGGTTCCTGGGAGTGATTGCTCAGAATCCTCATTAAGTGATTATATGACTCTTTATTTCCTCTCTTTTTACAGTATTGATGTGCAGCAGCAAATTATGACCATTGTAGATGAACTGGGCAAGGCTTCTGCCAAGGTACTGTGGACACCTCTCTAGGAACAGTAGATAACAGAGTGCTGGTTCCTTTGGAAAGGACCTGCAGAAAGTCTGTTTTCATCTCTCTGGCAGGCCCAGCATCTTCCCACACCCATCACCAGTGCATCGAGGATGCAGAGTAATCGCCACGTTATGTATGTGCTCAAAGACACTTCTGCTCGACCGTGAGTACTGAAGGCTTTTCCATCCTGTATCCCTTTCTCCCCAACCCCTTTCCCTTTTTGACTCTACCTCTCTCTCTGATAGCTGCTACTAGTTTCTTCATTATTTTCCCCATCCTGTAGGGCGGGAAAAGGAGCTATTATTGGTTTCCTCAAAGTTGGATACAAGAAACTCTTTGTACTGGTGAGTGCTATTGGAAGCTGAGAGATCATATGCCTTGATTCCTGAAAACAAAAGTGCTGAAGTTTGGGAGGTGGCAACAATGTCTTGGTCCTAAAAGATACTTGTTGTTCTTTGCCTCTTAGGATGATCGTGAGGCTCACAATGAGGTGGAACCACTTTGCATCCTGGATTTTTACATCCATGAGTCACTTCAGCGCCATGGCTATGGGCAAGAACTCTTCCAGTATATGTTGCAGGTATCACTTATCTCTTCACCATCAAAGGCCCCTTTGCCGTGAGCCCTATCAGAGCTTCTGTCTTCCCCTTCCCTATGCCCCCATGCTCCTTTCCCCTTCCCAGACTCCAGAGTTCTGTTGGCATGTTCCCCCCACACCTTCTCCTACCCTAAGTCTCCTGTTCCCTGCAGAAGGAGCGAGTTGAACCGCACCAGTTGGCCATTGACCGACCATCACAGAAGCTGCTCAAGTTCCTAAATAAACACTACAACCTGGAGACCACAGTCCCACAGGTTAGAGTAGATCTCCACTCTAAGCATTCACATTGAATTTATTATTTTGGGGTAAAGAATTGGCACTTTCTAAGCACTTCTTATTTACTATTATGTAGGATTCATTTTATACAACTAAGTGTTCTGTTTTTTGAGGAGACTTTATTTATTTATTTATTTATTTATTTATTTATTTTTCGACAGAGGGGGAGGGAGAAAGAGAGGGAGAGAAACATCAATGTGTGGTTGCCACTTGTGCACCCCGCTACTGGGGACCTGGCCCGCAACCTACAGGCGTGTGCCCTGACTGGGAATCAAACCAGCCACCCTTTGGGCAGGCTGGCACTCAGTCCGCTGAGCCACACCAGCCAGGGTACTAAGTGGTTTTTGGTTTTTTGTTTTTTGTTTTTACCATGTCTCATTCTACAGCTGTTTTACTGTCATCTATTTTGATTCTTCATCATGGTTGTTCTGTACATCCCTAGTAATATGTTTGTGCCCCAAACATAGCCACTAATTTTTACCTCCTTCTTTTCATACAGGCCATTACTTACTCAGTCAACATTTGTTAAGGCCCAGAATAATATACATTTCCTGTCCTTGGGAGCTTTGGTCTAAAATGGGGAAGGTGATTGGTTTTTAAGTAAATGCAATATAATGTTACTAATGCTATCCATTCATTCAACAAATATCTCTTGAGCACCTGACACTGTTCTGGGCACTAGGAATACTTTATTCAACAAAACATACAAATTTCTGCTCTTGTGGAGTTTATATATTAGTTGAGTATACAAAGATAATAAACAAGGATATCCTATGGTTGATTATAAGTGCTCTCATAAAATGAGAGCCAGTAAGAGGGCTTGGGAGTGCCATGGCGGGGATGGGAGTGTGTGGGATTGCAAGTTTAAATGGCATAGGCAGGGAAGGCCGCACTGAGAAAGTGTCATTTGAGCAATAAGTAAAAGGAGGTGAAAATAAGAACCAAGTAATATCTGGAGGGAAGGCATCCCAGGCTCAGGGAACGGCAAGTGCAAAGGCCCCAGAGGTTGGAGTGTGCCTGGAAGAATGAACCTGTTGGTATGACTAGAGGACTGTGGATGATGGAGGTGGTTGATGAGATCAGAGTTATAAGGCAGGAAGGACATTTTGGGCCTTAAAGGCTATTTCAAAGGCTTTGGTTATTACTCTCTGTGAAAAAAGGAAAACCATCATAGGGGTTGAACAGAGGGATGATATGATCTGACTTTTAACCAGACCACTTTGACTTAAAAATAAGCCAAAGGGGAGCAAAGGTGGAAATAAGCATATCTGTTAGGAAGCAACAATGCTCACAAAAAAAGGTGGTGGCTCAGACCAAGATAGTAGCAGTAGAGGTAGTAAGGAGTGGTCAAATTTTAAATATTGTGAAGTTAAAGCAAGTAAGATTTCCTGATAGATTCTCAGTGGAGAGGGGGAGAGTTAAGGATGATTCCCAAGTTGTTGGCCTGAGAAGCTGGAAAGAGTTATATTAACTGAGATGGTAGGTGGAGCAGCTTTAGTTAGGACCCATTTTTAATATGATAATTAGAGATGTCTGTGATAAGTCCAGGTTGAGTTGACAGTTTGGTATTTTCCTGGAGTTCAGAGAAGAGGTTTGGGATGGAGTGTTTTCAGCATACATATTGTATGGAAAGCAGTGAGACTGAATTACACCAGGGAGTAATAGAGAAGTGGTCCAAGGACTTTAGTCCATGGGCCCCCTTCTAAAAATCAGGGAGGAGAAAGAACCAGCACGTGTGACCAAGGAGTAACTAGTGAAGTAGATGAAAACTTGAAAGTTGACCTGGAAGGCTGGTAAGGAAAGTATTTCCCGGAGGAAGGAATGGCTTTCTGATTCGAATGGTGCTGATCAGTGAGGTAAGAAGAGGTCTGGGAAGTGACCATTTGATATATTTGCCTGAGGCCATTGGTGATCCTGCCTAGCTATTTTGGTGCAGTGGTGGGTGGAAGCCTAGATGGGGAGTGGGTTTAGGAGACAGAAGCTAGGAACTAGAGACAGCAAGTATAGGCCACTCTTATTTTATTATTTTTTAATTTTTATTTATCGATTTTAGAGAGAGAGAGAGACATCTACTTGTTGTTCCACATATTGAAGTTCTACTTACTGTTTGATTCTTGTATGTACTTTGACCTGACCAAAGATTGAACCAGCAACCCTGGCATATCAGGATGATGCTCTAAGTGAGCTACTTGGCCAGGGCCAAGGCCACTCTTTCAAATTCTGTTTTAGGAGAACAGAGAAGTACGGCAAGAGCTGGAGAAGGAAGTGGATCAAGAGCAGGTTCTTTACAGTTGAAAGAACAGACATTCTAAAAATGACTGTATAGAGAGAAAATATGTCAGAGCACGTGGGGAGAACTGTTGAAGCAGTGCTGTTGAATTGGTAGGAGAGGCTGGAATTGGGCTCCTTCAATAAGAGCATGGACAGTTAATCCATTGTAACATGATTTGATTGATATTCCTACAGAGGAGGTACAAGGACACGGTGGTGAGTGCTACCTAGGAGTTGAGGTTGGGTAAAGAAAGGGTGTTTAATCTTGACAGGTGTTTGTCAGGGGACACAAGTGGGTGGTTTAAAGTGCTTTTTATGTGTAAGAACCAGGATGAACGAAGTCAGAAAGGTATTAAACTACCTGTCAGGGCACTGCAAACAGTTTGGTGTGGCTGGAGTACTGATCATGTGCTTGGAGGGAAGATGAGTATGGGTTGGTAGACATTACAGCAGGATCAAGGCAGGAGATAGACAAGGCCTACTCAGCGTCCTCCCACGTACATTTTTCCATTAAGAAGCAGCAGAGAGCAGTGAAAGAACACAGTATTTGACTTCAAACACATTACCCAGGTGACATGTAATACCAGAGCAGGATAGAGTATAAATAATAATGGCTAAAATGTCATGAGCTGTGTGGTATTGTATTTACATGTATCATCTCAGCTGATCCTTGTAAATCTCTTTGAGGTAATGCTACTGTTGACTCCATTTTGGATTTATGCAGATGACCTATTTGACCAAGTTCACACAGCTAATAAACGGTAGAGCTCAAATTTGAACCTAAAACCCACTCTTCATGACCACACTGTATTCCTGGCTGAAATGCTGCAGCTAGAATCAAGAGTCTGGGGCTTGAGGCCCAGCTCTGACACTTGTAGCTACTTTGCTTTGGGCAACCATGTCTCCAAGTCCTTTTTTTTTTCTTTTTTTTTTAATGTTTGTTCTTATTTGTTACTCTAAGAAAACCTCATTTTTGACTGAACTCAGACTTGGAGGTAGAGGCTCTCAGAGAGGACTGCCTATGTCTCTTGGCAATCTGCCCCTGGCATTTTCTTTGGCCTCCTTCATCGTCTTAGCCAAAAGTTTAGCATATTCTGCAGCCTCATCCTTGTTTTCCTTAGTATGTTGTTTCTTTAGAGTTATAGGCCAACATTTATGTTGCAGAACACGTGGAGTAACAAGATACTGAAACTTAGGTGCTTTGGCCCTAGGTTCTTTGTTTAGGGGCTTTTGCACAACATATTGGCAGATGTCATCTTCTTTAGAGAGGTTGAAAAGTTTGCGAATTCTGCTAGCTCTTTTAGGCCCCAGGTGACAAGGCACAGTAGTATCAGTGAGACCAGGAATATCTTCCTTTTTTTACAATAACCAAGTTGAGAACACTGAGACTGGCATCTACAGTGCAACCCTGAACAGATTTGCACTTTCACTCTCCAGTCTTTCTTGGTCTATAATAGGAATGCCCCTTGCTCAGCAGCAGGTGGAAACGTGCATGGGCCAAGACACCCTACTTCATGGGGAAACCGTGTTTGTCGTTCCCACCACTGATTCAAAGCATACTTAGGGTATTGAAACCATACATAATTCTTCCATTCTTCACCCAGGCCATCCACAGCAACTTCTGTGGCCATACTCTTCTCATAAAAGGTATGAAGTTTGCATTCATCATCTGTGTAAATGAGTTTCTGGCCGCCAGTGGCTGGGAAAGAGATGTTCAGCTTCATCCTGAAGCAGCCAACTGCCTCTGAGGCACCACGCGAGAGTGTCCAAGTCTTTTTTTACTGTTTTTTATTTTTATTATTTTTAATGCCTTCTTTTTCTTTCCTTTTTTTTTAATTTTATTTTTTTAGAGAGAGGAAGTGGGGAGAGAGGCAGAAAATCGATGTAAGAGAGATATATCAGTCAGTTGTCTCTCACATGCCCCCAACTGGGGACCTGGCCCACAACCCAGGCATGTGCCCTGACCAGGAATCAAACTGGCAACATTTCAGTTCGCAGGCTGGCACTCAATCCACTGAGCCATACCAGCCAGGGCCTTTGTTACTGTTTTTTAAACTAGAATTGTTGTGAAGGCCAAATTGAATGTGATAACAATGAAATTACTTTAAAATGATCAATTATTAGGTATCAAAGTGGTACTGTCTTTCAACATCTCTTCCCTCAACAACCCCACCTCTCTGAACCCTATGTAAATCTTAGTTCTCAGTATTTATATCCTTAACCCATGTGGCCTTACCTGTGGGTCTTATTCGAACAGCTCTGTATGCCTTCCTTGACATTTTGTACACTATTTTCGTTAGAGTGGTTCTGGGAGAGCCTAAAAGGGTCCAGAGTTTTGATAAAATTAACTATTTTAACTATTTAAAATGTACAATTTGCCATGGATGGTGTGGCTCAGTGGGCTGCAAACCAAAGAGTCACTGGTTCAATTCCCCGGTCACATGCCTGGGTTGTGGGCCAGGTCCCCAGTAGGGAGTGTGCAAGAGGTAACTGCACATTGATCTTTCTCTCCCTCTCTTCCTGTCTAAAAATAAATAAGCAAATCTTTTTTAAAAAAATACACAATTCAATAGTTTTTAGTATATTCACACTGTTGTGCAATTACCACGAACTGTCCAATTCCAGAACATTTCATTAAGCAGTCACTCCCCATTCTTCCCCAGCCCCTCTTAACCACTAATCTGCTCTATGGAATTGCTTAGTTTGGACATTTTATGTAAATGGAATTACATAACATGTGGCTTTTGGGTTTTGCTTTCACTTTGCATGTTTTCAGGAGGTCGATCCATGTTGTAGCCTGTATCAGTACTTCATTCCCTTTTTTAAAAAAGATTTTATTTATTTATTTTTATAGAGAGGGGAAGGGAGGGAGAAGGAGAGAAACATTGATTGGTTGCCTCTCACACACACTCAGACCAGAGACCAAACTCGCAGCCTAGGCATGTGCCCTGCTGACCAGGAATCGAACCACCTTTGTAAGATGACACCCAACCAACTGAGCCACACTGATCGGGGCTGTACTTCATTTCTTTTTATGTCTGAATAATATTCCATTATATGAATGTATCATATTTTGTTTATCCATTTATCAGCTGATTATTTCCACTCCTGTCCATTATGAATATTGTGTATGAAGTTTTAGGGTTTTGTGGGGTTTTTTTTTAGACGGAGGAGGAAGGGAGAAAGAAAGGGAAACATCAATGTGTGGTTGTCTCTTGCGTGCCCCCTACTGGGGACCTGGCCTGCAACCCAAACACATGCCCTGACTGGGAACTGAACCAATGGCCCTTTGATTTATAGTCTGACGCTCAGTCCACTGAGCCACACCAGCCAGAATTATTGTGTATAAAATTTTATTTCCACTTGTATTTTCAGTTCTTTTGGGTGTATACCTAACAGTGGAACTGCTGGCCATATTGTAATTCTTTCTTTCTTCTTTTTATCCTCGTTTGAGGACAATTTTTCATTGCTTTTAGAGAGGGAGAGAAAAATCAATGCGAGAGAAAAGCATCAATTGGTTGCCTCCCATGTGCACAAGGACTGAGGATTTTATGTGACCCGACCAGTGGTTTAACCCGCAACCTACATGTGTGCCCTTACCGGGAATCAAACCTGCAACCATTTGGTCTATGGGACAATGCGCCAACCGAGTTATACCAGCCAGGGCCATAATATAATTCTGTTGCACTTTTTTAAGAACAAGCTGTTTTTTCCAATGATTACAACATTTTATATTTCCACCAGCAGTGGATGAGTGTTTCAATTTATCGACAGCCTCACAAACATGTTATTTTCCTTCTTTAAAAAATAATAATCATCCTGATGGGTATGGAGTAGTATTGTTTTGTGGTTTTGATTTGCATCTAATGATGTTGAGCATCTTTTCGGGTGCTTACTGGCCATTTAAGTATCTTCTTTAGAGAAATGTTTATTCGAGTTCCATGCCAATTTCTAAATTGTTCTTTCTTTTTGAGTTGTAGGAGTTCTTTATATATTCTAGATAAAACATCCTTATCAAATGTATGATTTGGAAATATTTAGTCCTATTTTGTTTGTGGGTCATCCTTTCATTTTCTTGATAGTGTCTTGATGAAGTCCAGTTTATCTATTTTTTCTTTTGGTGTTTGTGCTTTTGATGTCATATTTAAGAAGTTATTCTCTAATCCAAAGTCATAATTTTCCACAATTTCCCTCCAAGGGTTTCATAGTCTTAGCTCTTAGATCCATTTTTAATTGTTTTTCTGTCTGTGGTGTGAAATAGAGGTCCAAATTCATTATCTTGCATGTGGATTTTCAGGGGTCCAAGCACTGTTTGTTGAAGAGACTATTCTTTCCCCACTGAGTGGTCTTGGCATCATGTGTGTATTTCTGAGCTCTTCTTTCCATTGGTCTCTATAGCCTCTACCACACAGCTATGATTTGTTGAAGAGACTATTCTTTTCCCCATTGAATATTCGGTCTTGGCATCACGGGTGTATTTCTAGACTCTTCTTTCCATTGGTCTCTATGGCCGCTTCCACACTGTTATGATTTGGCCTTGCAGTATTGAAATCAGGAAGTGTGAATCGTCCAGCTTTGTTCTTTTTCAACATTGTTTTGGCTATTTGAGATCCTTCGCAACTCCGTATCAACTTTGTGTTCAGCTTGTCAGGGTCTGAGTGTTTGAGACTGTCTAGAGGACTAGGAAGGCTGGCTTTTGTTCCTCCCACAGTGGTTTTTCTAGCAGAGTTCTGTATCCAAGTATGTTGAGTGACTGAATGGACAACTATATTTTGCTTGTTTTGTCTTATAGGTGAACAACTTTGTGATCTTCGAGGGCTTCTTTGCCCATCAGCATCGTAAGTCTTCTCACATTGTGTGTGTTGGTCAGGTAGTCGGGGTGAGAGAAAGAGGTGGATTCTTGGTCCCACTGGTCCCCTCACTGAGGGGCACCACCGCTTCCTTCCTCACAGGGTCCCCTGCTCCCTCTCTGAGGGCAAGTCGACACTCCCGCGCTGCTGTGGTTGATCATACACCTGCTGGTAAAGCTACACTGAATTGGTGGAACTGTAGTGCCATGGTGGCTAGTTACTCTGGAGGCCACAGAGGAGGACAGTGTGATCTGTGGGCAACATGGAAAAATTCTAAAGCAACTCAAATCTCCCAGCAGTCATTACTCATTTGCCTTTACCATCATGGGAGCTCAGTGCATTTGAACTTATCAAGACTTTTAACTAAGCAAGCTTACTGGGAGCCTGTTTGACAATTAATGTTGATGGAGCCTCCTGTTGCATCAGGTCCATAAAAGTAGGTCAGAGTCACATTCCTTTGTGACAGTCAGCGAGGGACGGTCAAGTGCAGTCAGCCCTTCCATTTCCAGTCATAGAATATTGAGGTGAATGGAGACAAATGTATTTGAACAACAGATATGACTAAAATTTAAGAAAAAGAAAAAAGAAAAAAAGAATATTGATGTGAATGACCCAAAGATTATATATATCAGTTTTAAATGATGCTCAGAATTTATTTCCAACCAAATAATGACATTAATCTAGAGAAACCAGACCTAGGAGCTACTGAAATGCTGACCCAGTTCCTCATTTCAACTTCTTACACACATGCTGCCTACCAGTCTGAGCCCTACTCCTTCCTCACTGCCTCCCAAAGGTGGGAACGCACAGCTGTCTGCTAGGTATGCTACACATACTACACAGAAGGGCCACTCTTCTGAGCTGGCTCTGTGACTAGGTCTTACCTCCTCCATGGCCAGGAAAGGAACAATCAAAGAATAGTCAGCTTCAGCTGGTGTCATGCACTAAGAGGCGGTTCATTTCCATGACCTGCTTTAATTGCAAGGCTTCCCCCACGCACTCCTGCTGATGTACAGGCTATAAGAGAGACTGAGAGCCAATAAGGATAGTGAGGACTCAGGATCACAGTTGGGGGCTGTGGATAAAGCTTAAATGGATTCACTGAGGTCTCATTTGCTACACATGATGGAAAACCTCTTGGGAAGGGAACACATGATGAGAAATCTACTGAGAAATGAGGGGATGAAAGAGCCTTGGACAATACATTAGCCTCGCATTTACTCTGATAACTCCTTTCCAAACATGTTTTCTCCTCACCCTTTTTTTTCCCTAATAAAACTTAAATTTCTTCCCATCTTTGCACCAGGAGAGATTCTGCCCCACCCCAGCCTCTCCTAACCTCTCAAAAGCAACTCCTAATTAACCAAGGACTTTGTCAGTCTCATCTAGAGGGGACACGGGGTCTTTGTTGGCCCAGCTAGGACCATTTCACTGCCCCCAAATCCCAGCAGGGCCTGACAGCACCTACTGACAGTAAGTTTGCTTCTCTTGGCTACCCTTCTCCTGCACCTTCAAGGCCCCAGAGTCTCCCCCTGGATTATTTCCCCCTAACTCTGCATTCAGCTTACTCCTTCCAGCTCTCCTAAAAAGTACCCCAGCATTATTCCCAAACTCCTTTGCGATGTGATGGTATTGCCACAGAGCTGTTTCTATGGTGGGGCTGAACTCATATCCTTCCCCAAGAGAAACTATGGTGATAGGGAGCAGAGGTTTGGGGTCACAGGAGTAGTGACTGGGAGGATGGGTACAAAGTGTATCTCCAAATGCTTACCTTGCCTGTGTCTTCACCATCAGCTCCAGCCAGGAAGCTGCCACCCAAGAGAGCAGAGGGAGACATAAAGCCATACTCCTCTAGTGACCGAGAATGTAAGAGTGGGGTAGGGAGTCTGGGGTTGGGGTATCTTAACTTGGGAAGAATCCATTCTCTGATTTCTCAGACTCTGATTTATTTTTTCTACCCTAATCTTTGCTCTTTATTCTCCCTTCCCCAGTTCTGAAGGTAGCTGTGGAGCCTCCCTGGCCCCTAAACAGGGCCCCTCGCAGAGCTACACCTCCAGTCCACCCTCCTCCCCGCTCCAGCAGCCTGGGAAACTCACCAGAACGGGGTCCCCTCCGCCCCTTTGTGCCAGAGCAGGAGCTGCTGCGTTCCTTGCGCCTCTGCCCCCCACACCCTACTGCCCGCCTTCTGCTGGCTACTGACCCTACAGGCAGCTCAGCCCAGCGTCGCCGCACCAGGTAACAGAAGTTGGGTGGTTAGGGAGCCTCAAGACTGTCAAAGAGTATTGGAAACGGCAAAGGGCAATCTGAGTCAGAGATATAAAACAACAAGATAGGTGGATCAGAGAATATATTGGAAAATATTTGTGGGAGTGGTATGGAAATAAATGACAGTGGGGAAGCAGCATAGGACTTTATATAAAATCTAGGGACCCCAGTTTTACAGTGAGAGTTGGGAGGAAGGGTAGGAAGAACCCAGGTCCATGGGTGGGTGGAACTGTACTTCTAGGTTGGGGGAAATCTTGTGATACTTGCTGGGAAGGTGCCGTGTCTCTTGATACTGGGAAGCCACTGGCCCCATGTCAGTGCCTTGTGTGGCAGGAGCCCATCAAGCAGGCAGAGAATAGGCATCTCTTGTATTTTTCTCCCTTTCTCTTCATTTCTGACTTCTCTGTTTTTCTCTCTTCCCCCACTTTCCCTCTCCCTACCTCCTGTCTATAACGTCCTTCCGCAGCTCCCTTCCCCGCTCTGACGAGAGTCGATACTGACAGACAGCTAACCTGTTCTCCTATCTGGGAGACCTTGGGTGGGCAGAGACCCTCTCCCCAAGAACCCCAGACCTGTTCTTCCCAATGCCCCCTCCAGGATCCAGTGGAACCTGACAGAGCCCATAGCATTCACTCTTCCCCATTCCTGGACTACTGGGTTGTCAGGGTCCCAAATGGCCAAATACTTTGTAGCTTTTCTTGCCAGAGAAAGCATCCCTTCTCTCCTAACTTGGTCTCTGAACACTCCCAGACAGTCTGAATTGCTGAATTGCCAGACTCCTTGGTTGTGTGCTCATACTAATTATCCAGGTAAGCACACTCTAGCTTGCTGTCAGACTCTAGAACACCGTGGAAGGTTCAAGGGGCCTCCACTGCCAGAGAAACCTTTTAAAGAATCTTGTCCATGGAATAAATCCCATCTTCACTCTACAGTGTCTACTAGTGGCCCTAATACTGCTTTGTGCTACCTAATATACTTAACTTTCAGCCTGCTGATATCAGCGAATGAGGTCTGCTTCAGAGCAGTCCAGTTAGGTAGGACAGGGACTTACAACTCCATAAAGAGATCCACTCCATATTGCTGAGCTCTTCATTACATGTTTTGTTTATGTGTCAGGGAACCCCTTAGCTGATGTCTGTTTTGGGGCTCTCAAGACCCACCTTACTTCTAAAGACACCACTACGTCCCCCTGACCCAGATTCTGTGAGGGACTTTGTTTCTTGGCAGTAGACCCCAGCAAACACCCTGGAATCACTCTTTGCCATGTTTCAAAAGATAAGCTTGAGTCTCAAGGCTCTGTTAGCTCCTGAATCCGTCCCTTCCCAGTAGCTAGATGATGATATGTTCCTGTCTTGTGAGACTGTCTTGAGATGAAGGGTGAACTTCTCTCTGGCCTTCCTTTTTTTTCCCCTCTCCACAACAAAAGGCTTTTTTCCTGCTTTACACCCATGGTATAAAACACCCTCCTCCCTCCCTCCCTCCCCTCTGTGGTAGATCAGGTATCCCCACTGTGTTCCCCCAAATCCTTGGGAGCAGGATCTCCCTTTTTCCCTACTCATTCCTTTTTCTTCTCCCTCTCAGTGTTGTCTGAATAAAGTGTGAATTCCTTTGTGTTTTTTAAATGGACATTTTCAATGAAAAAAAAAAACTGAAGGTCTCAGTCTCATTTGTGTGTCACTTCTTATTTTCCCGGGTTCTAAGGGACCTCTGTCCCTCTTGTCTTCCTCACTGCTGAGATCTGCAGATCTTCTAGAAAGGAGTCTCAGAGCTCCCCTTGCAGGATCTGGTATCCCCCTTCCCCATCTTCATTGCTGGATCTTCTGTGGATTCTGTCTCCTCTCATGTAGTTGCTGGATCCTTCTGTGTAGGCTTCTAAGTCTACTTCCCCATTCCCTCCAGAAACTCTGGCTCTCCCCAATGACTTCTATCCTTCATCCCAGGCCAGCCATTGCTGAGATGTCAAGATTTACCAACATCCCTGGCATCCACTGAATGCATTCCCTATTCTTCCTAAATCAGCTTTGCCACTCCCTATAATTAAGGTAACCATCTTTTCCAAACCAAGCATCAGGGTACCTCGTCCAACAAGTTGGTTTTGCCTATGTATTTTTGTGAAGCTAAATGCACATTTAGCCTTACTTTTAACACATTCCAACTGGAAATAGTAAAGCAACGTATCAGGATTGCTCCAGAAAATCTTTGGAGTATAAAATGAATTCCCTCCCCTTTCCTGGAGCCCAGCTTAAGAGTAAAACCCCCTAGGAAGGATAATTACCTCTCTCTGTGCTCCTGTGCTGTCCCTTTCATTCCTCTCCTGATTCCTCTACACCCACTCATCTTTTACCCTGTAGCCTCTTCTCCATCATCTCCCATTTCTTCTACAGGGGGACTCCCCCAGGGCTGGTAGCCCAAAGCTTCTGCTATAGCCGCCATAGGGGGTTGAATTCCTCATCCCCCAACATAGGTAAGTATTCATCCCTTCTTACCCTCAAGTCAAGTAGGCCATATTCACTACCTTCTCCAGCCTTCCCATGCACATGCGTGGTATTTCCACAGGCAACCTAGAATGGAAGCAGGGGGAACAGGAAACAGAGAATAGGTGAGGCCTGATCACCTTCCCTTACCAGCGTCCCAGCACCTGTCTTCTTTCTTAACATCAGTCTCAGCTCCTTCCTCTGAAACCTTATTCTCCCATCTGGAAGCTCCCCCCTTCCCGTCTAAATCCTTCTACCTAACATCCTACAGTCCTGTTGCCCCTTTCCCCATAAGTTCAACTCTGGTACTTCCCTTTGGCACTATATGAGGGGTTTCATGTTAGGACATAGCACCAATGGTTCCAGCCTCACACCCCATCATTTGCCCTTCTCTATTTAAGAGCCAGACGTGCCCTGGGAGTCTGATCTTTCTTCTACTTCAGTGCCTCTGTAACCCACTCCCCATCGCCCTCCTACCTACCAGGTCTGCCAGTGAGGACCAGGTCTTGCCACAGCATGGGTATGGAGAGGACCCCTTGCACACAGTTCCTCCACAGGCCCAGGCCCCACCAGTCCAGTCCTGGACAATGGCTGGGGACTGGTTCAACCCCAGGTTCATTCGAAATTTGCAGGAACGTCGCAGCACCAGGCCTTGGTGACTGCAGCCCTGTCACACCTTCAAAGTCAGTATTATTTTTCTCACTGCAGGAGGCAGCCAAAGCCCGCCTTCATAATAGATGTATTCGTCCATTCAATCAACAGGCTTTCTTAGCAGTGTTAAATCACTTGTCTCTTATTTTAACGAGAGCAATAAAGTTTTTTTTTTTATCACGAGAGCTACTGAGAAACTTAACTGTCGTTATTTCACTATCACCCCACCCACTACACCCCGTTCAGCCCCATCCTCGCCCAGGATTTTGCGCAAGCGCCCCAGCTGAGTGAGCGGAACTCGCGGCCGCTATTTACTACGCAAGCACTCTAAGGAAACCTCCGATCTGCTAGCGCAGGCGCACTTAGAGGAGACAGGGCGCCTCACCGCTTGCCTGGAACCCGTCACAGTACGCAAGCGCACAACATCTCCGTTTCCCTCGCCAGTTCCGGATCCCCCCACCCCTCCTTTCCCCTTCAAGAAGCCGGCGTCGGGGCGCGCTCGCCCAGTGAGGAGGTCGGAGGCCGCACTGGTAGGCGCTCTCCGCTTCCGGAATATCATGTACCAGCCCAGCAGGGGGGCAACGCGGCATCTAGGCCCCTGCCTCCGCGCCTACCAGGCTCGCCCCCAGGTGAGCGGAGGGGAAGCAGCCGGAGTTGAGGGGGCGGGGAGAGACCCTCCTCCAAGCCCGCGCGAGGGGCGGAGCGCGCGTCTCGTTCGGCACGCAGGCGCAGTGACATCCCACCGCCCTGTCTTAACCACTTGCAGGGAGGTACAAGGAGGGCCCGGGGTCGCGGGCGCCTAGGAGGCGGTGCTGCTGTCACTGGCGCCCTTGGAACGTTGTTTTTGCTGTGTCTGGGGTTGGCAGGCGGGGTTGAAGGTGGAGTGGTGGGGTAGCGGCTTGCGTCCCACTTCACCTGCGTCTCTGCGATTATCTGTGCCTGGAGGTGATTTGAAGGGCAGAGGGCTGATAGGCTCGCAGCCCGCCTTACACGCCTTACACCGGGATTTCGGCCCGGCAGGAAGGCTGGCCCGGTGGACCCGGCCCGGGCCCCTGCTCCCGGGTGGGAAAGATGGCCACGCCTCCGGCAAAGACGGCGCCTCGGGGACAGAGGTACCCTTGCGGCCCGTTCGTCTCCTGGAGTGACCACTCCGGCTCCTGGGGAAGCGGAGGGACTCGGGTCAGGTCTGACTTTGGGTGACCTCCTGCTCATCGTGGTTTCAAAGTCGGTAAAGCAGGAGTGAAGTCCATCCTTTCATTCCCCTGGGCTTGTTTGTGTCATTAGTAAGGCTCGAAATGATAGCTTATATTTGTATAATACTTTATAAGTCACAGTTTACATTTATTATTTAATATACTACTCATAACTCAGTGTGACTTCATATAAGAGGGCACTTACTGGAAACAGGCATTGGGAATGCGAGTACCTAAGGGTTCGGAATAGTTGTGGTACTCAAAGAATTGTCTTGTGTTCCAGTTGGATTTTTTTTTTTTCTCTATGCAACATCTACCTCACACACGTAATTGTGGAGTTGTTACAGGCAACATCATTTCATCCACAGTACAGATAAAACGTGTTATTCATTTGTTCATTCTTCAAACATGTATGTGATCCTTGCTCTGAGAGGTGGAACTTCTCCCAAAAATACTGGAATCTTAAATGTAAAGGTATTTGCTGATGTTTTGGTGAGGTACTTGTCATAGGAAACTTTCCTCCTGGAGATGGAGGTGATTGCATCCCATTTTCTTCTAGTAATTCCATCGCTTCTGTCAGGAGAAGCAGGTAGGATTGGAAATGTTAATGAGCAGTTTTGACAAAGGGCCATTAAGTAGCTGGATTCTTATCTTTTTGCTTTTGGTTCTTCCTCCTTAGGACCAGCTTTCTCCATGGGCTCTGCCATTCCCACCACTGTGGCCCCACTCCACGACTTCCACTTCTCCATCTTCTCTTCTCTGGTCTCCCCCAATCCCACGCCCTCTCACTCGGCTGTTTCCTTGGGCTCCCCAACTACCTCTCCTTCAGGTCCAGGCCCTCAGCTCACCATGGGTGGTACTACCTCCAGGAAAGGGAGAGGAGGGACCAGGACCTGAATTGCATAGCGGCTGCCTGGATGGGCTTAGAAGCTTATTTGAGGGATGTTCCTGCCCCTATCCTGGGGCTTTGATATCTTTCCAAGCCCCTGTGACTGCCCGCCCTTCCCCTGCTACTCCATCAGGAGATCCAAGTATGGAGGAGCATCTGGCTGTCATGTATGAAAGACTGAGACAAGAGGTAAGTCCTTTCAAAAGTGACCTTCATCCACAGTGGGAAGGAATGCAAGTAACATTTGGAAATAGAGGATTAGTCAACTAGATTCTTGGAACCACAAGGCATGCATGGAAATACGTTAGACATTTCCTAAGGAAAAACTGATCCTAAGTGTGGATTAAAGAAAGTCAAACGTGGCAGAGAGATGACCTTTCACTCAGAGGGGAATAAGGAAGCACTAAAAATAGAAGACTGAGAAATAGGATCATCTTTTCTTTCCCACTGGGTTGATACCTCCTTCTTCCACCTAGCTTCCCAATCTCTTCCTTCACTCCCATGACTACACTCTCTACTCATCGGATGTGGAATTCATCAATGAGATCCTGAACATACGTACCAAGTGAGAATCCAGGCATGGGCATGGTGGTGGGAAGGAAAAAAGACTAGTGCTATGTATAACACTTGGCCTTTTCCAGTTACTGGAGAAGGTACTAGACTGCTTCCCTACAACTGTCCCCCATTCTTCAGAAGCCAGTTTGGTTTTCTGATTCTGCCATCATGAGGTTTCTTTCTCATCCCTTCTGCATAGAGGCCGGACATGGTATATTCTGTCACTGACCCTGTGCCGCTTCCTGGCCTGGAACTATTTTGCACAACTTCGGTTGGAGGTTCTACAGTTGACCCGCCACCCCGAGAACTGGACCCTGCAAGCCCGTTGGAGGCTCATGGGGCTGCCCGTCCACATGCTCTTTCTGCGTTTCTACAAGCGTGACAAGGAAGAGCTTTACCGGTAAGAGAAGTGAGGAAGGACCCATGCTACAGTCCATTTCCTAATCGTACCCTTTTAGGAATGATGGTTCCTAAATGATGGTCTAGTCTCCCAGAAAATCCTTCATCTGACTGACTTGGCTGGAGCCTCCTTGAGCACAGCAATCTTATTTTAGTCTACTTTAATATAACAAATAGGGACTGAGTACATTAGGAAATCTCTGAACTCAGCTTCTACATGTATATTACCTAGCACATAGTAGGTATTCAAATACTTACTGAACAAATGAAAATTTCTGCTGGTGATCTCTCCTTCCCAGGAGCAAGCTCGTGCCTTTTGCTTCCTTCTATTCTTCCCCTACAGGCACACATCTAAACTCTGAAGGACACCAGGAGACTTGCAGCCAGGGCAGCAATGGGCAGTAACAGCTCATCCCAGGCTAACCCCCTGACCCTGTCTGTCCCCAAGGCCCCCTTTCCCTGACTTCCCAGTGAGCTAACAGCAGCCCCACCTAGGCTTTCCTGTTGCTTATTCCATCCTAAGTCCTTCCTTGTTTCATACTCTGAAAATCAAAGTAAGGAAAAGAATCCTGTTTTTTAAGCTGAGCCTCATAACCTTAGGTAAAGTACTTGGTAAATTTCTGGCAAAGTAGAATCCCAAGGAATCTTTAGGCTTGCCCCAAACCAGTGGGTTTGTAAACTTTGCTGCACAGTGGAATCATATTGATGCCAGACATTCTGGTTTAATTGGGACAGGATACAACCTGGACATTGGGATTTTTCAGAGTCCCCCAGATGATCTAATATGTAGCACAGTTAAGGAACTACTAGTTTAGCTGTCTATCGCCTTTACCATTCAGCCACCTCGTCCCTGGAACTACTAGTTTAAACAAATGCTTGAATTAAAATTTGGGATCAGTCAGCTTACCCCTCAGTAAGCCTCTCTTCCTTCACCAGGACCTATGATGCCTATTCCACCTTCTACCTGAATTCCAACGGCCTCATTTGTCGCCACCACCTAGACAAAGTGAGTCCCAGGGCTGGATGTGGTAGGATGAAGGGGTAGCACATCTCACTAACTGGTATTAACCTTTCTCCCTGCAGCTGATGCCTTCACACTCACCCGCAACGTCCGTGAAGAAGCTGCTTGTGGGAGCTCTGGTGACTCTGGGGCTGTCAGAGCCAGAACCCAACTTACACCTGTGTCCCAAAGCCTGATCCAGAAATTGGGGTGGGGCAGCACTGAAAACTTTGCTAGGCACATTAAGAGGAGGTAGAGGCAGCCACCTTCTTTCCCTCTTCTCTCCTTCCTTCCATCCATCCATCTCATGCTGTGTAAAGCAGTTGTATAATTTAATTTGTAAATAATAAAGTCTAAATGCAAATAGGACATTGAATTTCCACGTCACTTTATCTGGATTCCAAAAGTTTCCACAAGCTTTATATTCCAAAACTATTTTTATTGCTAGGTATTAAATGTGTAGAAGGAAAAGGAGCTGGTGTTGGGTTCTGATTATGTCCCCTTTTCTTTACCCTAGTTCTTCACGTGTCTTGCCTGTTTTCTTAGGCATTTTCTTAGCATGGGGATCTTCTAGCTCCTTGGCCTTATAATAGTGGGGTGCCACCTCCAGAAGCCAACTGCTCTCAATCTCCAATACCTAGAAGGGGGGGGAAAAACAAGAGTTTCTGTCTTTCCAGCATAGATTCTAATGTGTGCGCGAGTCCAAAAAAATTCTTCTTCCCCTTTGACTGCAGGCTTAGGGGAAAGGGTTCAGGGCTCTCAAACTATATGAGGGGGAACCCCCACAAAAAACCGGAATTATCTCCTGCAGGGCGGGTCCCTTGTAGTATAGGCTTCCCCCACTAGGTGAGTGTTCTAGGAACCTATCTGTACCAGAGTACCAGCTGGCGTTGCTGTGAGAAGGCTGTGTTTGGCTTCAGCGAAGTTTTTTTGAGGTCAGTCCACTTGCCCGTTTCATGATAGGCGATTTATGAGGGCACCTGCCCATACTGCACTAAGTGTTCACTAGGTCATGACCCCAGTGCCCCACCCTCCCTATTCACCCCTCACCCCAAGCAACTTTTTTGTTTGCTTCCCCAGATGAAGAGAGTCAACTTTTTTGTTTGTCTGTTTCCCCGGATGAAAAAAAGTCCTCAAAGGGAAACATTTTGTTGATGTGAGAGAAAGGAACCAAAAAACAGCAGCAGCACTAAAAGGCATCAAAATCAGTGAATTCAAAAACTTCTAAGCAGTGGGAAAACATCTCGATAGGTGTACTGCAGCAAATGGAGAGTGCTTTGAAGATGACTGAAGTTTAAACATGTAAGAATATACAATTTTTTATAACTAGATTACAGGTCTTTTGGGTCCCTCCTTGCATACACCAAAGGCTGTCACATTTTTACGTCATTCAGGATCCCAAGTATACTAGTCCTAAAAAAAAAAAACCTTGAATGTAAAGACTGTAAAGTACACTCAGGTTATCACACCAACACCCGAACACCATTGACAACAGCCATTCAAATGTTCACTGACTAAAGATACAATTACTAGATCTTCGAAGATGTTGAGTCACCTGTTAGGATATCTTTCTCCAAGATGTTTTCCTGGTTCTCTGCCAGTCCCAGCAACTTGAACCTGGGATTTTAGCTTGCCAGAATACCACCTGTCCCTACAATCGCCACCTGCCTGGGCAGGGAGTGGTCCCCTCACCTGTCTCATGAACTCCTTGGTGGTCAAGACAAGTTCATGGTAAAGCAGCCAGCGAGGCTGTTCCTCAAAGAGGGAGGAGTTGGGGTGAATGAAGACTGTCTGCTGCTGCTTCACTGTGCGGTAGCCGCTGCGAGTCAACCGTGCTGTGTGGTAAAAGTAACCGGCAGTGATGGCCTAAGGAGCAAGCAGGAAAGAATATCGATGGGAAAGCCAGACACCCAGGGACCCTTAGCACTCACTATCTGTTTTTAGTTCAGGCTTCTGGAGAACTAGAAAGGTAAGGAATGCATGAAGAACTCACTGAGAAGAAACCTGCAGTGGTCTTAGAACAAAGCACAGGAGAGCACGCATTCCACAAGGAGAAGAGGACACAAGCTTAGACCAGAGGGGCTGCAAAGGCCCCGGAGGGAAGCTTGCTCCTTGGTAGACCCTGGGTGGACTAAAAATGCTGACATTATATTGGCTAGGTGACTAAGTTACAGCATCGTCCCATACACCAAAAGGTTGTGGGTTCGATTGCTGGTTGGGGTGTGTAAGGGAGGCAACCAGTCAATGTTTCTCTCTTTCTCCTCCTTCCTCTCTAAATTCAGTAAATATATCCTCAGGTAAGAATTTTTTTTTAAAAAAACACTAACCTTGCGTACACGGATATAGTCCCCCTGGCAGGAACTGAGACCAACTTCTACACGCTCTAAGAGTCCCTCCAGCTGTTCCCGCACATCCCGGGCTCGGCGCATAGATCTGAATTGGACAAAGTTCTCATAGCACCACTGGGAAGAGTAACCGCTCTCAGCCCACTGTGAAGAGGGTTAAAAAGAGGGGGTAAGTATAAGGTAGGACCAGAGCCCCCCATGTATTCCTCATCCCCATTCACCCAAGCCCAGTGACCTGTGTATAAACATTTAGCAGAACCAAGTGGTCCCCACCAGGGAGGAAGAAGTTGACACGGGCATTATCAGCATGGACGACTTTGTCCTTGGGTCGGTAGAAGATGGAGTTGTTGACAGACAGCATGGCAGCCACTGTCAGGATCTCCTCTGAACAGCTGTACCTGGGTCAGAAAGGGAAAAGGCATGAGGGATCAAAGCAAGCCATAAGAACAGACACACAATGGAGGAAAGGGACCACTGTGTGATGGATATGTCTTCATGTGTAGACTGCCGATTAGGCTAATGGCTACATATAAGAGACTAGGTAGATTTGGGGACAGCAACAATAGCATAGGGGTCAAGGAGGCGGGGCTCTGGATAACAGAGTTAACAGAGGAAAGGACTGGGACCTCTGAGCAGTCCACAGTAAGCAGGTGTGCATTAAGTGCTTCGGGGAAAGACCACTTCCTTTAAGTTCATGTGATACCATGGGACTTCAACTACGGAATTTAAAGGTGGTTCTTCCACATCTACATCTAAATGTTCCAGTCTGCAGCCTTAGGAATGAGTAAGTCCCCCTACCAGCCGTCACTTAGCCCTCCTCACAGATGGAAAGTCTACTACTTCCATTCACATCCCAAATTTCCTATGTGTTCCCCATTTGATATCATGATCAAGGATAGCATGTGTCTTACTGGCCCTAATAACTTGTTTGTTGAAGAGTAATATGGTACAGAGGAAAAGAGCAAGATAACAAAGATAGTCCCAGAGACAGAAGCAATAGCCACTTTGTGGGCTGCAGGCCCAGAAAGAGTGGGGGACTTACTTCTCAGAGGCCAGGATCATTTTAGACAGCATGGGGTCCACTGGCAGCTCTGCCATCTTTCGACCAGACTAAGGAGAGGAAAGAGAGGGTTAAAGCCAGTCCTCCCTCAAGTGTACTATCACTCAAGGGGATCACCCTGAGCCCTTCATCCTGCCCCAGTTCAGGGCCTTTCCACCTTACCGTGGTGAGCTCCCCAAGGTGGTTGAGGGCTCCCAGAGCATACAGCTGCTCCAAAGCCAGCAGCAGGGTCTCATACGGTGGAGGGTCCAGGAAATCAAAGTGCATGAGGTCATGGATCCCTGCAGAGAGAAGTGAGGGGTAGAACAGAGACCCTTTACAAGGACCAGTGACTCCAGCCCCACCTCCCTCTTCTCTCGGGAGAACTGGGGGACCCCACTCACCTAAGCTCTTGAGCAGCAAAACAACATTGCCTAGACTGGTCCTTTGGATCTCCGGTACCGTGGTCTCCTCCAGCTCATGCTGATAGGCCCACGCGGTATACAGGCGGAAACACTTCCCTGCAGCCACCCGGCCTGCCCGACCAGCTCGCTGATTGGCTGAGGCCTAGAAAGAAAGGAGAGGCAGGCTGGCTGACAGCTGGGTGAGGAAAAAGAGAAAGGGACATATTTATGCAAGAAATCTAGGAAGGTGTGGCTCCATCCTCTAACAAGCCCCCACAGGCTTCTGAGTGGTTCCTTCCTGTGGGCCTATTCCACCTCCCACTCCCCCATGGAGACCCCACTGAAGCCCAGGCTGACCTTGCTGCAGGGTGTGACTGTGAGTGATTCCATGCCTGTGCGGGGATTGTAGCTCTTCTGCTTACAGAACCCTGGATCCAGCACGTAAATGATGCCCTCGATGGTGAGTGAAGTCTCAGCAATGTTTGTTGCCACAACAACCTGAGTGAGCATATGGGGTCACTCAGAGAACCCAACCTCCTAGTTATGTAGAAAAAGTAATGCTGCAAGATTTGGAGCAGAGGCAGATAAGAAGCAGGAGCTGAGGGGATTAGTATCCAAAGCCAGAGAAGAGGATAGGCCAGAAGGGTGGAAAAAAAGAGGTTAAGTAGGAACACAATGTGGAAAGGAAATAAGAGAAGAGGGTTGATGGGTTTTTCAGAGACAGGATATGGTGCTATCTGGGTTCCTGCCCCCACCTTCCCCACCAGCACTTTATACTCATTTTCACTCACTACTGCCTGCAAAAGCTGCCTAACAAGCCTTCCTGCTTCTACTCCTGCCCAGGTTACATGGCATCCTAGAATGGTCCTTTTAAAATGTACACCCGTGCCCTGCTTGGTGTGGCTCAGTGGACTGGGCATTGTCCCACAAAGCAAAAGGTTGCTTGTTTGATTCCTTATCAGGACACATGCCTGGGTTTTGGGCCAGATCCCTAGTTGGGAGTGTACAGGAGATAACTAACTGATGTTTCTCTTTTTCCCTCCTTTCCCCTCTCTAAAAATAAATAAATGAAAATCTTTTAAAAAATAAAACAAAATGCACACCTGTCACGTTACTCCCCTATCCTCCAATGGCTCCGTATCCTACATGACAATTTTATTCAAGCCTGTTCAGGTGCTGGAGTCCTCTTGCCCTTGGCTGCCTTTCTGTATTAGAACCACACTCCCTGGCCAGGCCCAGCCCGCTCCTCAGGACATGCTCAGGTCCCTTACAAGAGCCCGTCCCTCTGCTGGGTGCACTCCTCTTCGGGATACCAGCCTGGCTCCCTCTCTCACCCAGTTAAGATCTCTGCTTCATTTTCACTTTATTGTAGAAGGAGAGGGCTTCCCTACACTCCCAGGAAAATCTCCCCCTGCTATTTTTCAGTCCCACCGAGAATCAGCCTTCCTCTTCCTATGCTGCATTGTATCTCTTCATAGCACTTGTCACAAATTGACATTATATATGGAAATCCCCATTGTGTGCTAATTTATACTAGACTGGAATGTCTGCAAGGCCAGGAACTTTATTTCGTTCATCACTGTATCACCATCCCCCAGAACAGTGCCTGGGAAGAACCTGATCAATATTTGCCGATGAAACTTACACCTTTGTTCAAAATCCTTTGATTGCCATTCAACTGTCTAAAGTCCAAATCCTTCGACCTGCCACCCAAGGCCCTTCCTAATCTAGTCCAAAACTGGTTTTAGCTTGTCTCCCACTGCTTTACCACATGAACCTTCCACTGAAGGTTCTGACCTCAGAGACATCTTAGGGTCTTCTCTGACATCCCTGCCCTTTTTCTTAAAGGTGCAGATCAAACCCCATCTCCCAGTTCACCGAAGGTACCCCTTTTCCTTCTGCATTTGGCTACCTCCCAGTCCATGCCATGTTCGTCCTCTCTTTCGAGAAGTGAGCGACTGACTGCTCCTCAGCCTGTGGCTGCAGCAGTGCCCAGAGTACACCTTGCACAGGGTAGGCACACCCTTCCTTTCTCACTGCTACTTGTAGAACTGTAGAGGTGAAGAATGTAGGTTTCTGCAACATACCTTCCGTGCCCCCAGCGGCGTGGGCTGGAAGATGCGAGCCTGCATGTCAGAAGGCAGGTTGGCATAAATGGGCAGCACCAGCAGCTCCCTAATTTTGGAGCCCAGGCGGCGGCAACGATCCTGAAGCATCTCGCAGGCAGCCTCAATCTCCTCCTGGATTTGGGGTGCAGAGAGCAGCATGGACCCAGAATCACAAAGTCCAATCTGCCAGCCTCATCTTCCCCTGGGACACAAACATCACCACCCCTCCCCCACCTCACTCACCTGCCCAGTCAGGAACACTAGGACATCCCCAGGGGGCTGGGTCACGTGAATCTGTAGCACAGACACTACACAGGCTTCCAGGTAGTCAGCCTCCGGAGCCTGGGTTGAAGGAGAGGGCACAGGAAGGCCACTTGCTCAGGCCAAGCCTCTTCCGCTCCTCCCAGCTCCACATACACTCTGTCTCAGGTCCCCTTTGGACTCTCCATTCAACCTTGCCCTCCTTGGGACAACATCCTCCAACTTCATGCCTCACACTTAAGCCCACCCTCCCTGAGGGGGACACCTTGGTATAGAAGATGTCAACTGGAAACCTGCGTCCAGGGATTCGGAAGACTGGGGCATCATCAAAGAAGGTGGAAAAACGGGCAGTGTCCAGTGTGGCTGAAGCCACCAGAACCTTGAGCTCAGGTCGGAAACGAGCAACATCTTTGATCAATCCAAAGAGAATGTCTGTGTGCAGGGTCCGTTCATGAGCCTCATCCACCATCACCACACTAGGGAAGGAACAGCAAGCAGTGAATGAGGAGAGCTGGGCAATGCAGTTCCCTGGATGAAAGGACAGATGGAGGCAAAGAGTCTAGGGTGAATGTGGGAGGAGGAGGATTTAAGAGAAGTCAACAGCCCCACTTAAATAAGACTGACAGAAAGTTGAAGAACAGGGCGGCATGGTGTACAGATCTCAGGATGGGCAAACAACAGCTACCAAGATTGGGAGGCTGGAAGTTGAAGCCAAGACAAATGAGACATCCCCTCTGGATCAGAGCCAAGAATCTTCTAGAGTCAGTTGAAGTAAAGTATCAATTTTAACAAATGAGTGAAAGGCTGGCCCCCCTAGACTGGCTAGGGATAGACAGATGGACCTCTGCCACCAGAACAGCCCAGAAGCCCCCAAGCTCCTGTGGGGCTGCTGCTGCACATTACTGTTGGGCCTGCCATCTTTTTATGGAGAGAGGACTAGTAAGCCTTTCTAGCCCAACCTTAGAAAACTCTGCAGGCTGGTCTCCTAAGTTAGTTAAATGTGTGCACCTTCTTTCTCCTTGTTTTAGTCTTTGGATTTTCAGTGGCAGCCCAACCTGTAGGACCTCACCCCCAACCTCAACCCTTTGTGCCTAACCCTGATCCTGATGGTGAAGCTCCCAGCTGTTTAAGGCTGGGGTTGATGGGAAAGTCCCACACCTCAAACACTCTTGCATTGGCTAGCCTTCCATGTGTTCTCAGAAATTTTTGGAAGGGCCGTGAAAGGTCAAATCACAGTTGTCCTATGGCTGCACTCTGATCTTCTAGGACCAGAAATTCACAGCCTCTTACTCAGCTGCCCTGACCCCTCAGCACAATGCTCATCTCCTCTCACAATGACTTGTCCCCTCAATACATGTTCATCATTCAACTTCTACTGGGTCAAGGTAGCACTGAGAATTCACCATTCACAGACCCTATAATCTCCACCACTCTATTCCTTCTTAGTATTGAGCTGAAATTCATCTCCCTGTAACATCAGTTCCTAGATGTGTCCTTTGTGGTCACATAAAACAAGTCTGGCCCTTTTCCATGTAACAGCCCTTCACATTTCTGGAGGGAACCAGGTGTCACCCTTGAGTTTTTCCCTGTAAGTTGAACATTCTAGGGAAGGAACATAGTCTTCACATGGCTTTTCAAGTTTCTGCTGCTCCACCCTACCATCCTGGTTGTTTTCTAAACTCTGGAAACAACTGGCAAGGGAAGGAGGGACTTTCTCTCTAGTAGCTTCTGCCCTCCAGCCCCACCTCTATGGTATCTGGAGGCCAGCTCTAGGACTGCCAGGATCATAAAGATGCAAGAACTGGTGGTTTCCTCTAAAGACAATGGCCAAACTGACGGAGCGGTGGGCAGAAAGGAGAGAAAGGTCAAAGCTAAGGACACACAGGAAGGCACAAAAGGGAAGAAGGGCAGCAGACTCAGGGAAGAGAAGGTGGATGGCTCTCCTATGGGAGATGAGACCCTGTATATACCTGTAACTTGCAAGGTCAGGCTCAGAGAGGAACTCCCGGAGAAGCATCCCATCTGTCATGTACCGAAGGACTGTTCGCTCTGATGTGCAGTCCTCAAAGCGGATGCTGTAGCCAACCTGTTGAGGGGGCCATTAGCAAAGGAAAGTGGGCTAGTGTTCGCTGAAGGGAATGCAGGGCTAGAGGATGAGGGCCCAATGCCTGGACCTGTTGTGGGGCCCTGAGGGCAGTGTGGGCAGAGTTCCAGACCCTTGGGGTTCCCCTCACCCTCAGTGACCCCAGACCTCACCTCATTCCCAAGCTTTACACCCATCTCCCGGGCCACTCGAGCGGCCACACTCATGGCTGCCACTCTCCTGGGCTGAGTGCAGGCAATCTTCTTACTGTTCTTAGTATAACCCTGAATGACAGGAGAAAGGTCTCCTAAAGGTCTCTTTGCTAAATACGGCCCTGGGGACCAGGAGAATTCAGAGAAAAAAAGTTGTAAATGCAGGGCAGGGCAAGGGAAAAAGAGGGAACAGGCTGAGGCTGAAATCCAGACGAGGGCAAATGGACTGGATGGTGGACCCAGGGCCCTCAAAAGGGCCCTCGCCCAGCCCTGGCAGTCCCAGCTCTTTGGGGAATCAAGTTCTGGGGTCAGCTTGATTTGAGCTGGGAAAGGACAGAACAGGTGGGGCAGACTCAGAAGCAATCGGGAACAAAGTAAGGTACAAAAGAAGGAAAACAAGTCCCTGCACTCCTCATGTCTGGACCCTGCAGAGGAGCAGAGGCCAAGCTGGACTGGAGTAAAGGTTCCATATTCACACACACCCCACCATCTAGTTGTCTACACCCCCTTCCAATAGGAACACAACGAAAAGGACAGTCCATATTCTCAAGAACCTCACCATTTAGTGGGAAATTACTAAAATGGAGAAGGTGAGCAACTCCTAAAATCATCAGGGAAAAGGAGCTCTGACAGGACTTTGCTTGCCAATGGGCAAGACCCCAGCAGCCTGGAGTGGTATGGGTGACGCACCTCCTCAAAGAGATACTGCGGGATTTGGGTGGTCTTTCCCGAGCCCGTCTCCCCCTCGATGATGAGGACTTGATGATTAGCAATAGCAGCCAGGAGCTCCTCACGGAATGGGAACACGGGAAGGCTCTGGCGGATGGCCTGGATGGACTCCTTCTGCTGGGCCTGGGTTGAAAGGGGTGGAGCTGATGGCTCCTGAGAAGCAGAAAGAGGGGCATGAGCTTCAAGTCCAGTGTCCTATCCTCTTCACAATGTTCCAGAGCTCTGCCTCACCTCATCACCCTGGAGCTGAGTGGCCTGGACAAACTCGATGGTCTCCTCTTCCTCTAGTATCAGCTGATACTTGGGTTCCTGGGAGGCAGCATCTCGGGCCCCAAACTTCAGGGAGGCAGCCCCTAGCCGGGCCTCTTCCCAGCGCCGCTGCTCCTCCCCGGGAGCACCAGATTCCTCTTCTACCAGATCCACAGTTCGTGCTGGCTGGGCAGAGAAGGGCATGTGAAGACACAGGCTGCCTTCTCTGCCCAGTCCTCTCCCTCCCCATCAGGACTCTTGCCCACTGGGAAAGTGAAGACAAGGAAGGGGCCATCCCAACTCCCTGACACCAAGGCACAGCCCAACACCCCAACACCTTCCTTCCCACAGCTTGGGGACCAGGGCTGAGGTGAATGCCTCTTCGCCTCACCTGTCCCCGGGTCTCCTCTGGCATGTGATAGCGATTAGTGGCCTCCAGCTTCTCCTGCTCCCCAGCTGCTCGGTACTCCCGGGCCAGATCCCGCACTCGCTGCTTGTATTTGAGCTCCTGCCGCTCATGTTGGCTCAACTCCACATCTCCAAAAAGGAACTCCTCATCCGCCAGTTCAGCCTCCAGGTCCTCAAGCTTCTCTCGCTCCCGCTTAGCTAGGTACTCTCGGCGAGATTTCTTCCGCAGCTCAGGGACCTGGGTCAGCACAGGGCAGTCAAATCCTCATCCTGCTGAAAGGCCAATCCCTTTTCCTACCACTCGTACTAGTGACAGACTCCCTGACAGACTGGAATGAGAACCTAAACATCAGTCCTGTATCTTTCTTCTGCAGTATGCAGCCTGACTAAAGGTATGCCCCAAGCTGGGCCTAAGAAGGCTGCATACAGACACCACACACTGCCTCCCAGCAACAGGATCCAGCCAGAAGTTCCTCTGAAGCTGCTTCCCCACCTTTGTCAATGTAAATGTATTAGAGCAACTATTAGAATATTTTACATTTTACTCTTACTATTTTATTCAAGTTAGTGAAAGGGGAGAAAACAAAAGGGCTGATATCAGCATTTAAAAGCACAGGTCTCAAAATGAAAACAAGTGAGACAAATGGAAACCACTGGAGGCACCTGCAGTAGGTTATTTTCACCCCAGTTAGACGCTACCTGATTGTAAACTCAAAGACTGTAGTTTGGGGAAGGGGAAGGACAGTATCAGAGAATGGCTCTGTGAGGCAAGGTGCAATTGGAATGCTGAGCTGTCTGGGACCAACCTCTCTTCATACCATGTGTCATTTGGCTTCTACCCATTTCCTTTCAGAGATGCTTTTCAGGACACACTGTAGATGACAGAAGACTGGCCATATCTTTAAGGCCTTTCTTGGCCCTCACCGTGTTTCTTTCCTGTGGTGGAGACAAGTTTTACTGCAGTGGCAAAAACCTGCCAAAGCTGCCCCCTGGGGGTTCCAGTTCTGTTTAATTGCTGGGCTTTTCTTGTTTGTTCTATGAAGAATTAAAATGGAGTTTATATTCATGACCTAATCTGAATACCACAATCAAATACTCCTTCAGCCTGATGGGTGTGGCAGATGGATGTCTTCTGAAAATACAGGCTTATGCTATGACCAGTGTGGCTCAGTTGGTTGGGCATCACCCCACAAAGTGAAAAGGCCCCTGGTTCAATTCCCAGCCAGGGCACATGCTGGGGTTGTGGGTTCAGACCCTTCTCAGGGCACATATGGGTCCTTGGTCAGGGTGCATACAACACAGGTGCATTGATGTCTCTCTCCCCCTCTTTCTCCCTCCCTTTCCCTCTCTCTAAAAATAAGTAAACAAAATCTTTTAAAAATAAAATATGGACAGAAAACTATGACAATTACGCACCAAAAAGAATAACGATACGCAATTGTAAAGTATTTAAAAATAAAAATTCATGAATGTGACACATGTACACACCAAGAATGGGGGGGAAAAAAATTCTGTCACCAGCGAGGTGACTGTTACATCTAACTTCTTACTCTGAAAATGTTATTAAAAGGAAACAAATATTTTGCCCTGCCTGTTAAGAAGGAACTGTAGCTTATTTCTAGTTCATGAGGAAAAGCTGTTGTTTACATAAAAAGGACCCAAAAAACACCATTTTATAACCCCCAATGAAGTAACTGATTCAGAAAAGGGTCAGCAGTGGTTGCTAGACCTATTAGATGAAAGGCTGCGGGAGAAAAGACATCTGCAGTGAGAGATGCACAGCTGGCTAGCATGTTCCCTGGACAGGACTCAAGTAGAGTGCACATCACCATCCAAGAGGTGTTGCTGCCACAACTGTTTAATCTGAGTCTGGACAAGCTTTAAACCCAATTTCAACTTTAAAGAAAGCACAGGGCACAGGAGAATTTAACACCACAAGATAAGGATGAGATAAACCCAGAACATAGGACACGGTACAAGATGAGACAGAAAGAGAGAAAATGAAACAAACTTATGGAGACCTAACCACCAAATGTAATGCATGACCTTTACTGGATTCTGGTTTGGAAAGGACAGTTATTAAAGACATTTTGGGGTGAGTGGGGGAATTTTATTGCAGACAGGTTCTTGGTTCATACACGAGAATTACTGTTCATCTTCTTGGGTGTGACAAAGGCACTATGATTTTAAGGAAGAATGTTTTTATTCTTAAAAGGTACATGACAATGGGATAAAATGCTATGATGTCTGAAACTCTTCTAAATGGTCCAAAAAGAAAAAAAAAAGCCCACATTTACACATACATTGCAAATATCACACAACTTTTTAATCCAAATAATCTGTATGAGCGTTCATTATACTATTCAACTTTTCTATTTTTTTTTCAAGTTTTTGAAATTGAAAAATAATAAAAATTTAAATTCAGGCAAATAAAAACACTACACCAGTACTAAGAGATGTCTCAGAAGTCCCTGACCAAGGTCATTTTGTGGTGTGGGACATGAGATGGGTTGGTCAGTTAGGAGAGACCTGAAGGCCACTAGGCGATTCTTAAGACACTAAGAGTCTCAAAATTCTTTTGCAAAATCCAACTGTGAGCTTCTTGGGAAGACCAGGCCTTTGAAAAATTGCCTGCTCTACCTAGAGTCATATGAGAACAAGTCCAATTCATCCATTACAAGGACTCTGTCCTTGTGTAGGGGAAGACCAACCCAGGAAACCAGAGTGGGGTCACAAGGCCACATGGGAGATGGAGGGTTAGGTAGCAGGAAGGTATACGGACATGGCATACACAAGCTGAATGGTCAGCATGTTCCTGGGCAGTGGGACAGCTGCCCTGTCCCACCTTCCAGCTGTCTTTTGATTATATCTTATTAAGTCTCACGTTTCTCACTAACATGCAATATGATCTGACGTAAGAGAGTCCTCAGCAAGCTCCTTTGAACTAAGCCCTCTCCTCCAGAGACCCAGCACACCACCAGCAATCCCACTGCACTTCCTTTGTATCTCTTCTCCATACCCTTAACCACGCCATTAGAAAGTCCTTCCTTCTGCCTTCTGATCTTGGCTTCCTGGGCACTGAGACTCACCATGGCTTTCCGGTCTTCCTCAGCCATCTTGAGGCGCTTCTGAGCCTCTTCATAAGCCTAGAAGAAACCAGGAGCAGAGGGGTGTGAGGCCAAAATTTCCCGCAGCCACAGCCATTCCTCTTTCCGAATCACAATGATCATTTGGATGTTTCCTAGCACAAAGAAACGTCCCCTTGTGCCCTGGCTGGGTGGCTCAGTTGGTTGGAGCATTGTCCGCATACACCAAAATATTGCAGGTTCGATTCCTGGTCAGGGCACACACCTAGGTTGCAGGTTTGCTCCCTGGTCAGGGCACATGCAGCAGGCAACTGATCAATGTTTTTTTTTTTTTCACATCAATGTTTCTCTCTCTCTCTAAAATCAATAAACACATTCCCGGTGAGTATCAGAAAAAAAAAAAAGACAAAAAGCAATGTCCCTTCTTAGTGAGGAATCTCTACCACTACAGGTTTAGCAGGGGATGGCCTCAGCTAGAGGACCCAGAGGGATCCTCCCACCACAGAGGTGAACATTCCAGTAGAGACATCCCTTTGTCTTCCCAGATATCACCACCTCTGCAATCACATCACCTTCAGATTTTACCCAGGGATCTTCCTGGGGATTACAGAATATACTGTTCCTGTGCACCTTCTTGTCTGACCGCTCCAGGACATTGCGAGTCCGATCCTTATCCCGCTGCCGAACCCGCTCAGCGAAGGCATCACGTTCCTCCAGATCCTGAAGGCGTTCTCGCTCAGTCCGCTCCCATTCATCCTCGGACTCAGGCTTCTCTGTCTGCTGTTTGCCTCCCCTGCAACCCAGAGGACTGCAGCCCAGAGGATTAAATAAGGGCATCCAGAAGCTTTATCATCCTATCAGCTACCTACCCATCCTCTCTCACCCTACTTCTGACTTACCTTGTCTTCTTCCCTTTCTCAGAAACCTCTTCCTCTTCCTCCTCTTCTTCCTCCTGGTGTTTCTTCCTGAGGTGTTTACGTTTTTTACGCTTCTTCTGGAGACTGCTCCCAGACCTACCCACAGTGTCCTCACTGCTCTCCTCACTGTCTTCCAGCAACTTATAAGATTGGTTCTTCTCTAGCAGGGCCCGAGCCTCTCGCTCAGCTGCCCGAGCTGGCTTTTCTACCATCGTCTTCCGTGGTACCTGTCAACAGAGAAGGGGATGTGAACTCCTGAACTCTACTCACTTTGCCCTGTTCCTAATTTAAGGAATGATTTGATAGTAAACTAACCTTCCTTCACACCATGTTCATCAGCCTGAATGGGAACTCCCTGCTTCTAAACTTCCTCTCAGTCACTCATTTAACAAACATTTATTGAAACCTTTCCCAGTATATCTGTTAGGTACTTAAGTAGAGGAATAAACAAACAAGACAAAAATCCCTGGCCTCATGGACTTTACATTTTCAAACCCAATTTTTAATTGCTCAGCCTCTGTTATTCCCCCATGAAGTCAGTCCTAAACAAGATCTGACATGCTACAAGGACTGTTTTGCAGAGGACTGTCACAGGCCTGGCACTGTACCTGACTGCAGAGATAAACTGGTAAAGGGATTAATGTAAAGTTCCTACCTCATATCACATACATTCTAACCTCATCTCTCACTAAACACCACATGGAACAGCCACCTAGGCTATCTGCCATTCTCTGAACATGCTGAACACTTCCACTCTTACTATATACTGAGTACCTGTTCTGTAAGGTGCTCTATTATGTGGTAGGAATACAAAGACAAGAAATACACAGCCCTGTCCTCGAGGATCTCATCTTTTACACCTTTACTCCTCCCCCTTTTTCTACCTGACAATTCCAGGGAATCTTTGGGCCTGCTTTTCCTGATCACTACGCCCACCTTCCGTGGTCCCACAGAACTTTCCACACCTCTCTTCTATAGCCTCACTATTCAAAGTGTGGTCCTTGGACCACAAGCATCATCTAGAAAACGTGTTAGATCTCTTAGAAATATGGAAACTAAGACCCCATCCCAGACCTACGGAGTCGGAATCCGCACTTTAACAAGGGCGTGGACGAATGTACTGCACGTGAAAGTTAGAGAAATGATGCTATTTAACACTTAACCCAACACACTTGGCCCTCCTCGATCTTCACTGAGGGGGTCGTCCAACACCTAGCACAGTACCCAGGCGACAGCGGACAAAGGCTCAGTGCCTGTGAACTGAACTAATTACTTAATTCCCGGACGCACCGTTAGCCTCGCCACACCTGGACAAATAACCTAGGGCCCGTCCCCTGCTCCACCTCCTCTCCCGCCTCTCCCACGTCGACGCGACCCAGCCGCGTCCCCCCCCTCCGGACACCTTGTTCCATAGTCTCAGCGCGAAGTCCCGGGCCGGCCCGCTAAGGTCGAGGGTATCGGTGTCTCGCAAGCGCTGCACAAACTCCTCCGCCGAGCCGCAACGCTGCGCAGTACCGATCAGGAACTGAGCCACGTGCCGCTCGCTTAGCCCCAGCACTGAGTGTAGCTCGTCCTGCACCCAGCGCTCCAGCCCCGCCGGCGTCGCCATGGCGACTCACGCTCCCTGGGCCTAACTGGAAAGGGTCTAGAGCAGCCGCGCTGTCGGCCGGGCGGACCGGAGGCCTGGAGCCCGAGAACCGAGCCTCAGCTCCGAAAAGGACCTCTCTTCGGTCTTTTAGAGTTCGGTTTCCAACTGCACAAAACCGGCTTCCGGGGCGGGGGGACCGGAAGCGCCCGCCCTTTTCCGGCCTGAGTACTACGGTGGCCGAGTCAGTTCAAAATTCACGGAACCGTACCGTTCGGGTAAAACGTTTTCATTTCCGTCCTACAGAATCTCTGTCGCCCCCTGATGGTCAGCCCGTGAATGCTTCACGCACCTATTAATTCAACGAACGCGGAGCGCCTAATGTGTGCTAGATACAATTTTAGTCGCTGGGAATAGAGCGACTAAAGAGAAATCAAGAAAAAATCCCAGCCCTGGCTGGTGTGGCTCAGTGGATTGAGCACCAGCTGCAGACCAGAAGTTTCCCTTTGGATTGCCAGTCAGAGCATATGCCTGGGTTACGGGCCTTGTCCCTAGGTGAGGACATGAGAGAGGCAACCGATCGCTGTTTCCCTTGCACATCATGATTCTCTCCCTCTGTTTCTCCCTCCTGTCCCCTCTCTCTAAAAATAAATAATAAAACATTTTAAACATATTTTATGTTTACTTTTTTATTTTTAAAAAGATTTTATTTATTTTTTAGGTAGAGAAGGGAGGAAAAGGAGAGAAACATCAAAGTGTGGTTGCCCCTCGCGCGCTTGCCCCCCACTGAGGACCTGGTCCCTAACCCAGGCAAGTTCCCTGACTGGGAATCCAATCTGAAACCTTTTGGTTCGCAAGCCAGCACTCAGTCCACTGAGCCACACCAACCAGGGCAAAAAATAAATAAAAAACTCTTTTTTTTAAAATCCCTTACTGAACTTTTATTTGAGTGGGAAAATAAAACACACAGTAAATAAGACTTGTAGCTCTGTAAGTTCTGTGGAGCCGCCAACCCTCCCAAAATGCAAGGTATATGCAAATCAGATTATGTCCACGCTTGTTAAAGATTAGCTCATAGTGATTAGGAGTGACTTTTTCTAGGACCCGTCCGTTCAGCGGGAGTAAATACAGGTTAGGTGTAAGCGAGGACCTCCCCGCAGGAAGAAAGTTGGGGTAGGAAGAAAGTTGGGATCTGGGGTAAAAAAACAAAGGTACTTTGCTTTTCTTAATGCTATCTCAGAAAGTAATTTTAAAAGATCTCCAAACTAAGGAATGTGTAAATTGTGTTCTGCATTTTTGCTAACAGCTAGAGAAACGCACGCGTGGCTGCTTATTTAGAAATAAGCGTCTTCTTTTTTCCCAGGAAACACCAAATGGTGAATGATGCCGGTGCTGGGGAAGGGCCCAGAGGCTCCAAGGGCCTTGGAATGGGAAGCTGTGGCAGCTCTGGTGGAGGATTTGACAGCGGCAGCCAGGGCCAAGGTAGGAGTGGAGGCCGTGGAGCTTGAAGAGGCAAGGCCGAAGACAAGGAGTGTTTCCCCGTCACCATGCTCAGCCGCCTGGTCCCGGAGATGAAAATCAAGTTCCTGGAAGAGATCAATCTCTTTTCTCCACCCCTGGAAGAATCTGAGATTAGAGAGCCAGCCTGTAAACCAAAGGGTCATGGGTTTGAGTCCCAGTCAAGGAAAATGCCTGGGTTGCAAGCCAGGTCTCCGGGGCAGGGTGTGCGAGAGGCAACCACACAATGATGTTTCTCTCCCTCTCTTTCCCCCTCCCTTCCTCTCTTATCTAAAAATAAATAAATAAAATCTTTTTTATTTAAAAGGAATCTGAGATCATTGACTTTTTCTTGGGGGCATCCCTCAAGGATGAGGTTTTGAAGATTATGCCCAGCACAAAAGCAGACATATGCAGGCCAGAGGACTAGGTTCAAGGCATGTGTCGCCATTAGGGACTACAATGGTCATGTTGGTCTGGGTGTTAAGTGTACAAAGGAAGTAGCCCCTGCCATCCGTGGGGCCATCATCCTGGCCAAGCTCTCTATTGTCCCTGTGCAGGGAGGCTACTTGGGGAACAAGATCAGCAAGCCCCACACTGTCCCTTGTAAGGTCACTGGGTGCTGTGGCTCTGTGCTGTTGTGCATCATCCCTGTATCCAGGGGCAATGGCATCATCTCAGCACCTATGTCCAAGAAGCTGCTGATGATGGCTGGCATTGATGACTGCTACACCTCAGCCAGGGGATGCACTGCCACCCTGGGTAACTTCACCAAGGCCACTTTTGATGCCATCTCTAAGACCTACAGCTATCTCACCACTGGCCTCTGGAAAGAAACTGGGTTCACCAAGTCTCCCTATCAGGAATTCACAAGCCATCTTGTAAGGACCCACACTAGAGTTTCTGTGCAGAGGACCTAGGCTCCTGCTGTGGCCACCACATAATTTTATACAAAGAAAATAAAGTGAATTTAGCCTGTTAAAAAAAAAAGAAGAAGCAGCAGCAAAACACCCTAGACATATAGCTCAGTTGCTTAGAATGTAGTTCAGATACGCCAAGGTTGTGGGTTCGATCTCCAATCAGGGTACATACAAGGGTCAACCAATGAATGCATAGATAAGTGAAACAATAGATCAATGTTTCTCTCACACTCTCAAATCAATACATAAAAATATTTTTTTAATCTATAAAAAATAAAAATTAAACTAAGCAGAACTTGCTAACTGGCTCTCTGCTGTCTGAACTCTGTTTGACCCTGCTTCATACTTTTATGATTAATAGGACTTACCAGACACTACTGTTGAGAAATGAAACATTGTTATTCCAATTAACAGCGACTGCTAACTCCATATCATTGACTTCTTGCATACATCTTTTGTTTGTTTCTGAGATGGACTGTGGTCACCCCTAGCATCTCTGGGTTTCCTATTTCTACTTTCTTGGGTTGAAACAGATTAGGATCTTACCTAGCTACTAACATAAGGATTCTGTTACCTTCCATACCCATACCCCCTGTGAACTGGCTTATTCTTTTGACACCAAGCTTGTTCCCCTGCTAGTAAATTAAAGAGCTCTGGCATATGTTTAGATCAATATGTCTAACATGTTTTGTTTTTAGTAAAGGAGAGTCTACTCTGACTAGGCTGAGAGAAGCCTCTAGTGACAGGACTGTAAGTATTCAACCATATCTTTACTAACCTGGAGAATGAAAAAAATTGACCTGATAAGTAAAAGATACATCATCCACATTTGTAGAATATAGAAATTCTTTGAAATGGGAAAATCTCTCAGTATCAACTACACTTGGGAAACAAAGCAATGGCTCATAAACCTTTAAGAAAACCTTTTGTCTGCCAGAGACCCTTTACCAAGATTCTGCACTTCTGTAAATACACTATATTTTTCAGATTTATTATTGAGTGGTCCTGAGTCTTGGAGTAAATGATCCTGGATTAGCTAGTGTCACATACTACCTGGCTGCTTGCATTGCAGTAGGCCTCTTGACTACTGGAATCCGTCGATTCAGAGTATCCTCTGCTTCCCATTTCTTAGCTCTTTTCATCTACTGGTTTATTTTTTGAATCATTCATTCTAGAAATAATATTTTTATCTACTAAGTGCCAGGTGTAGGCTTAAACCCAACAAAGTCTACCCTCATGGCACTTCCCATGTCTAGGTGGATACTTCAACTGCCTTTCCTCAAATCAGCCCTTTGAGAAACCAGTGCAGGGCTCTGTCAAAGCCCTTTCTACATGTCAGTGCTGACTTCCTGGTTCATCCCCATTGTTCTCCTCTCCCACAGCCATGCCAATTCTTCTTCTTGGCCAATAGGAGATGGCAAAGGCTTGGGAAGGGGGAACCTAGAATATCCCCCACATACACTTTTTTTCCCTAAAGGAGAAGCAGCAGGAGAGTTGGAAAGAGCTCCACTTTATTATGAAAGGTTGTTTTTGTCTTTTTTTAAACAGGCAATTGATAAGGAAGAAATAGGGGAGGAGAGTTGAGGTACTTCATTAGTCACTCTACACCCTTGCAATTTAATTCATTTTTGAACCACTTAAATAACCAGACATGGTTATAGAGTTAAGATTCCCTGACTTTCCTCTTGGGGAAAACTGAGGCCTAGTAACACTGAGTAAAGGTAGAGGAAGCCACACCCAGTGAGGTGACTGGGGACACTGGGAGACAAAGAAGAGGATTTCATATGGACATAGAAAATAGATGTGGCCTGTAAACCTGGGACTTTTTTGTGGGGGGATGGAGCTGGGGGTGTTTGTAAACCAGGCTGTGATCAAGAGGGGAGACAGGAGCTGTAAACAAAAGATCAGTGACCTAAGGAGCAGGAGAAAGATGTGCCTATAAAAGGACTGGGGGCCAGCCTCCCAGGGAGATGAGTGCTTAAATCCTGAGAGCCCAAGAGGGGCTGTGGGAAGAACAGGGTTCTCCACCTCCACCCCCCATGAGCTCTGTCCACCACCCTTGGGACTTGGGTCACCTAGGGTACATGAGCATGCATGATGCACTCACTCTGGGGACTTTGAGTGAGGGTGGAATTTGGGCTCTGTCTCCAGAAACAGGATGAGGAAAGCAAGTTGGAAGATGCTGGTTGCCCTTCCCTGTCAGGCTTATTTCCAGGGTTGTCTGCACTGAATCTTCTGGAATTCAGGATCTTCAGTTCCGAGGAGGGAGGTACAACCCTGTGTTGGAAGAGGGTCACCTTCGGCAGGATTCATCTGTGAGAGAGGAGGCAATAATGATAGAGAATGAGTGAGGGCCTCTGCCTCCTGCCTTCCTCACCCACTCCCCTTACTGAAGGCCGGTTAGCATAGGGAAGTCACCTAATACAGTAGCTTCCACATTTGGAGTGCTTGTTACTACCAGTAACAGCAGCCACACTGATTTAGCTCATATTCTGGGCCAGCTATCTTATAACTTGTTTAATCTCACAATAACCCCAGGTGCAGTTAAGTAATTTGATGTCCGGTCATGGTTCTAGGTGCTTCATAAAAATTACTTAACCCTCTGAACAACTCCAGGAGGTAGTTATGATTAACCTCATTTCATAAATAACAAACTGAGGCCAACAGTTCAGTTATTTCCCTAAGGTCACAACCATAGGAGAAGGTAGAATTCAAACTCAGGCCTCACTGACCCAAGCCCTGTTTTAAACCACACTAGAGTGCTCACAAAGAGCCCTGGTTTTAAAATCTGGAGACCCGATCTACACTTTGCTTCCCAGGACCTCGATTTCCCCATTTATTGAAGAGAGTTGAACCAAAGGAATTGGCAGCCCTTCAAGCGCCATTGTCCTCCCCGTTCCTTCGGGGCCGCAGTGCCAACTGTGAACACCGGGCGGCGCCCTCGTGCCTCCGCTCACCCACGATCAGCGCCTTGGTGCGCAGCCCGCCCCGGAGCTCCGGCTGCAGCTCCTCCTCCTCCACCTCCTCCTCCTCCTCCTCGTCGTCATCTTCGTCTGGCTGGGCCGCTGGGGCCCTGGGAGCATTGGGGGCCTCGGGATCCGGGCCCAGCTCCTCCAGCACCGAGCTCTCGGAGGGGTATTGGTACGTGGTCTCTAGGGCTGTCTCGCTGAAGGATATCTTGAGCTACGGATGGGAGGGCGGGGCAGGTCAGCCGGCCCTCAGCCCCGCAGGTTCAACGTGGGGCGCAGGGCTGGATTTGGGCACCCCGCTGACTTTGCCCTCCCATCCGCTCTGGGTCCCAGTTTTCTGTTTCATGCTGGTCCTGCAATCCCAGATATTCCCTCTTCAATAACTTCGTTTCAAAAGATGAGACTTCGGCCGGAGCTTTGGCAGAGGCCTGCCTGGGCGGCAGAGGCGAGTAATACAGGACCAAGTTTCCTAGCTCAAGGCAGAAGGGTGAGTAGAAACTAAAAACATGGAAACAAGTCCTGTGATCAGATCTGAGTCTCTGGTACCCAGGGGAGGTGAGATTTGAGATGGCTGGGGAAGGAGTCCTAGGCAAAAATAAGGGTAGACCAATAGAAGGGCCCAGAGGAAACTGAGACTCTTCCCCCAACACATAGGGGAAAACATAAGCCCTTGAGTCCCCGAAAGGTGCAACTGGGAAGGGTGACAAGGACAGAGAGGAAAGTCCATGAAAACATAGAGTGGGGGTAGAGCATACACCAGATGGGACATGCAGAGATGGAGGCAAAACACCAGACAGGGGATCTGGAAATGACATGTGGATCCTTCCCCAACACAATGAGCTCAGCTGTTCTCACTGCTGTTCTACCCTTCCCTTTTGCCCTCCTAAGAAGCTCAAGGGGAAAGGGGTAAGGTGGGATTAATGCTGGAGCCAAAGCGATAACGGAGATAAATAGAATTCCATGTGAATTACTTGAAAAGGTCCAGATGATCTACTCAGGCCTTCCCTGGCATCTGTTTTGAGAAACTTGGGGCTGGTTCCTTGCCTCCTCATCTCAGAACGGACTGGGATGTGAGAAGAGAAGTCTGGAGGGTGGCTGGAGAGGTGGTTGCTAATATATGCATCCACATGGTAGGCTGGAACTGACAGACTGTGTCACTCCTTGGCTCCAAACCCTGCATCAGCTCCCCATCTCACTGGGGGCAAAAGCCAGAGCCTGACCAAATCCTATAGGATGCTGCCCAGGTGCAACCCACTCACCTCTTGGGCATCCTCCACTCCAGCCACACAGGCCCTCTGTGGGCACTCCCACCTCAGGGCCTTTGCACTGGCTGTTTCCCCTCTGCCTGGAACGCTCTTCTCCCAAATACCCCATGGCTCCTTCTCTCCCAGTCACCCTATTAGGAAGTTATCACATTCATTCCCTCATACCCTGGCCCTCTAGTTTCATCTTACCCCTTGTCTGTTTCCCCTCCCCCCCTAATAACTACCTCCTAACCTATCAGAGAACTTACTACCCTTGTGTCTGTGTATGGGAGATGCTTTACTGGGTAAGGAAGGGTTCATCCAGACCCCACATGAGTTCTCTATAGAGGATCAAAGCTGGGGGAACAATGTGGGGGGAGCCCAGACTGTACACAATTGATCCCAGTCTGTCTGTAAAACAGCTGATAGAATAAAGTGACAGCAACCAGACCCTTTACATCCCAACTTCTCAAAAGGGACCACTTCTGGTTCTGTTACTGATAGATTTACCCACACTTCTGAGAACCCATTTCTGTTTTCTTTTCATATCCCCTTTCAGGATAACAAGCTCCATAGTTTATTAGCCACTCTGAAAAAGGGCTCATTTTATTTGCTTTCAGTCCATGTTTGACTCTCCCCTCACCCTGCGTCTATACTGCCCCTGCCATCCCCACCCCAGCAACTTCTGACTGGGTTCCCAGGAATGTACAGCCTGCATGGTGGGAGGGGGATGGGTACAGAGTGGGTGACTCACTGGCTCCTCTCATCAGCTATATAAGGTCACAAGGGGGCTGGAGAAGGGAGGAGCTGATGTCTCAGCTGAGAGGCCTCTGGGGAAGGGCACTGGCCACAGCCCATCCTCTGGGCTCCAGTGCCAGGTCTGGGATTTCTCTGAATAAAGCTGATGGAATTAGCCTGCAAATGAGTTATTTAGGGAAGGCAGGGGAGGGGGAGGGGGTCCTCTTATCCCTGAGCCAGGGAGTTGGGCAGAGCTGGGACAGAGCATGCCAGCCCTTCAAGAGCTGATGCTGATAGAGGGCAGAGGGGGAGGCATGTACGTCTAGAGAAGTCTGCTGCTGCTTTCCCACCCCCACCCCGAGCACTGCTTCCTTCTTCTCACCACATCCTGAGCAGCTCTGGAAGGCCAGAGCCCAGTGTTCCCCACTCGGCCCCACCAGCCTTCCGGCCCCCACCCCAGGCTTCCTGTTTGGGTGAGCTGCTTCCGGCTCCCCAACTCCCTGACCTAGGTATGCTCCATCACAGGTCCTGTCCTGCACCCGGATAGCCCCCAGGCTTTGGATCCCAAACTTTATGCCTCCCTCTTCTCTTTCTACCCAAAAAGCCAACTAACTCAGTAGGAAGTGACTTTTCTGAATACTTTATCCTGGCAGTTCCTGACCTACCTCCTTGCATGGTCAGAGGGCTTGGGATGGACTCAGGTGCTCAAGATTCTTGTGACGATGAATGGGGGGGGGGGGATCAAATGACCCCCAAGCTTAATCTAGGTGTTTTGTCCCTGTGGTTTCCCAATGACACTGAGGACACAGAAACCAGATCTGAGGATGTCACATGTGGGATGAGGACTGGAGATTAGGAAAGGCTTCCCTGTCTCTGGACACATGTGAGGTGCATGGGGTTCTCTTTCCTTTTCAAGCTAGAAAAGGACTGGCGTGAAGGAAAGAGGTGGGGTGGGACAAGGCCAGGGGAGCTGTCAGCCTAGCGTCTCCCACTTTCCTGCACATCCTGATTCCAGTTTAACCTCTGACTCTTTGCTGGCCTCAGTTCCTGTCCCTGTCCTCAACTCCCATTGGACTCCCTGCTTTCAGTAATACCTCCAAATTCAGTTCTTTCTTTTTCTACCCCCAAGGCAGGGGAGAGTCCCGGGATGCAGGAGGAGGGGAAAATGGAATGCTGAGCCAGTCCTGAGGAGGGAGGGGAAGGCCAGGGAGAAAGTCAGGGAAGGGGTATATTGGAAGAGGAGAAGGCTTTTCTTGTCCCGAAAGAAGGGAGCACTGTCTGAAGCAGTGGCCGAGCTGGTGGTGTGCAACCCCAAGGTCACCTATTTTAAATGGCCTCTGTGTGGGACTCTCCCGTGGGGCAGACTTGCTCTTTGGCCAGCCCTGCTCCATTCCCCATCCCCTCTTCATCCTAGGATGTCCCCACTCAACTCTGTCCCCTACTTCCTTGGACTGTGAGACCTTCCTCCACTCATATCTTCCTTCCATTTCTCTCCAGGCTTCCTGCCCCCACATTCCTTTCCTAGAAGGCTGTAAAGGCTTTCACCCTGGTGACCTTACTGTTATAGATTTAAGGTTGCTGGCCTGTCTCCCACCAGATGGACTGAGTTGGGTCACAGACTCAGAGGAAAAGAAGGAAAGAAATGGGGTGGGGGACCTCAGAGCCTGATGGAGTGAAGAGTAAGCAGCCTGGGCACACCCTGAGAGAGACACACCCAGGGACAGCACTGGGTTATAGGCAGGATCCTTAGGGCTTGGAAATAAGTGAAAAAGGAGGACTACAAGAAGGAAGGGTGTGTTTTAGAGTAGAAGTGGTGGCAGCACAAATTAAGAGAAAGACCAGAATACAGGAGTATAAAGAAAGATGAGTTCAAAGCCCAGAAGGAACAGAGAAGTGGGCTTCTAAGAAGTCTGGCTTGGCTGCTCCATACCTGTTTGTGGTGCCTTTCAGGGGACCCCTTGACAAGGCAGCTGCGGCTGAGGCGGAGGTAGCCCCCCAGAACCAAGATTTCCTCAGCAGTCGGGTACCGCTTCTTCCCAGCACCAGGGACTGCAGCATCAGTGGTGCCTGGAGTGGCAGGGGCTGCAGGGGGGACAGACCGCCTTGGGTTGACTGTGAAGGTGTGTCCACTGCGGCGGGGGGCCCCCACCCCTGGCCCTGCCTTCACCCCATAGAACAGCCGGCTCATGAGGGGATCCCCAGGGAGCTGGGGGGCAGGTGAGGCTGGGGATGGAGACAGAGGGGCTGCGGGTGGGGGCTGGAGTTCCCCAGCTTCCTCTTCCTGCTGTCTAGAGCCTCCAGTCCCAGCATCCTCTGGTGGGAGGGGGCAGGGCACAGAGCAGCGGTTCTGCAGGGTGCTAAGAGGCTTGTCCTTAGCTCCCACCTCCTTTTCAGCCTCCACTTCTCCAGTCTCTGCACCAAGAGGACCCAGATGCTTCTCAGCAGACTCTGGAGGGGCTGGCTTCTGAGTTTGAGTCTCTGTGTCCCTGGGTGTCCATTCTCGAACCTTTCCAGAGTACAGGGTCCATCTCCACCCTTCTGTCAGACTCAAGTCCCCCTTGCCATCCTCCACAGGGCTGGGTCTCTGCTCTGCTGCCTGCACTCCTCCAGAGCTGCTGGCTGGAGCCCTCCGTGTCAGGGTCTCAGAGAGCCCTGTAATCTCTTCTGGAGCCATTCTTGGAGCTGGCCTGTCTTCTCTTCTTCCACACTCCTCTGAGCAGCCTTTTCTTTCTTCTCCTGAGCTCGGCCTCCATTCTGATGACTCCAGTTGTATCAAACTTTGTTCCTGAGACTCTCTGGAGTCAGGCCTCCATTTATGGGCCTCTGTCAGGCCCGGCTGCTGGCTGTCAGACTCTGGTGGGCTCAGCCTACTTTCCACCAGCTCTTTTCTTCTAGGACTTTGTTCTTGAGGCTCTGCCAGTCTCAGACTCCGCTCCGGTGTTTCTGCAGGACTCAGCCTCCATTTCTGCGTCTCTGACAGCCTGTAGATCCTGTCTCCAGCCTGCCTCCCGTCACGAACCCCCAAAGGCCTGAGGCTTGACTCTTCAGCTCCCCCTACTTCCAGCCTCCTCTCTCTGGCTTCCTTGGGACTGAGCTGCTCTTCCCTGGACTCTCTTTCCTTGGGGCTTGGATCTCTCATCTCCCCAGGGCTGAGTCTCCACTCCCTGGCCTCCAAAGTCCCAGGCCTTCTTTCTGCAAATAGCTCATCACTCCGGTGCTGCTGCTGCTGCTGCTGCTGGCGCTCCTGTTGAATGAATCGGTTCTGGTGCACTGGGCCAATGGCCTCCAGGAGGACCGCAGACTTGTCTGGGTCTGGAGGTCCAACTGCTGTAGTCCCAGATGCAGGGTTAGGCTCCCCAGGAGACAGACCAAGTTTGGCTCGGCGACGCTCCAGGAGCCCCCGCTTCCAAGCTGGCATCTGGGACAGACGCTCCCTCTCTACCTTCTCCCGGCCACGAACGGCTGCCTCCTCCTGCCGGCGCCGGGCCAGCAGCTGTAGCTTCCAGTCTGGGATGGTGGCCATGGTCGTCTTAGGTGAGGGTGGGGAGTACTAGGAGCAGAGAACAGGAAGGAGATGCTACTGAGAGGCTCAGCAGGTGAGGCTGGGGATGGGAGGACAGGAAGTGAATGGGAGAGGTGGGATAGAGAAGGGCAGAGGAGCTGAGAGGGAGAGGGCAGAGGGAAAGAGGGAGACGAGGTAGGACACAGAAAGGAGAAAACCGAGAAAATGAAGAAAAGGTTATGGGCCAAGTTGATGGGGGAAAGGGGAAGAAGCAAAGGAAGAGTGGAGATTCAGATCTGGCAGCTCAAGGTCAATGAGTCAGAGACGGTACCAACGATATGAGAAGAGAGAAGGGCGAAAAGAGAAGTTGGTGTGAGGGGGAAGAGAGGAAAGTAAGGCTCTGGGTGAGGGGGACAGGGTTCGGGCAAGGAGGCCTCACCGCTACCTCGGGGGCGGTGAGAGTGGGGACGCCAGTCAGGGAATCCCGCGGGAGAGGGGGACAACGGGACCTGAACGGATGTTCAGTGAGGGGTGGAGAGTGAAAAGGGCTAGGGGAGCAGGGGAAAAGAGGGTCAGAGGGTAAAGGAAGCTCCGTGGATGCAGCCGGGCGCCTCTCTGCTCCGGATCCAGAGGTCCAGGCTCCCCTTCCAGCGGTGCTTGGGCCCCGCCTCCCGCCCCTCTTCCGCCCCAGGGCGGGCCAAGGAAATACCCTCCCCCGGGGACTTTCAGAACCCGGGCGCCGGGGCTGCCAAAGCGTTCCCTGAAACCTGACGTCCACCCCGAACCCGGCCCATCACCACGGCTTGCCTCCCCGACCTGCTGTGCCTGGGACGGAGCAGCACGGAGGGCCGGCTCCGCGCCTCTTCTCTCGGGAGCCTTCGCGTCCTGTGCCCGGGTCTCGGCTCTCAAGGAGCCTTGACATTGCCAGCCATCCCCGCCCCACACTGGCCGCACAGACAGACAACCTCAGCTCAAAGAGGAGTCAGCCCAAGGTCCCGGGCCGAGGATTGAGGACTGAGCGAGGAGAAAGCCCTCCTCAACTCACCCTGAAGCCCCTCAGTCAACTCACTCGCTTCTGGGGCTCCCGGGGCGGGGCGCGGAGGAGCCTGGCGTCCGGAGAGGGGAAGCAAGAGGAAAAGGACGAGAGAGGGATCAAGGGAGATCCAGAGGCAGGAGGGACGGGCGGAGGAGTAAAAGTGGGAACCCTAAACAGGAGACCAAGACAGAGACCTTGGGGCTGGGCGGGGCGAAGGGGGGCGACCGCTTTGTCTGAGGACAATGCGGAAAGGAGAGGGGGCGCGGGGCGGGGCCCGAGGAGGGGGCGGGGCCTCGCTCCAGCTTACCACGCGTGAGACTTCTCTCCCAGCTCCCCTTTTCCGACCGTCACCCTTGACCCTCCGCTCTGAGTCCCCCGGGGCCCCTCACCTCGCTCCTGCCCAGTAGCCTTGGAAAACCCACGTGCCCAGACACCGGCCACCCCCATCCCGCCGACCCAGGGCGGCGGCTGGTGACTCAGGCCCCTCAAGGGACGTGGGGAGGAAACAGCAGCTGCTCCGGGCCAGACCCGCCCTTCCCATCTTCTGCCCCTCCTCCCCTCGCTGTGGCCTCGGGGGCGAGACTTTGTCGCTGTGGGGTCCCGGGCCGCAGCCAGGCAGTAGGAGGTCTTAGGGGCGCAGGAGAGGCGCTCAGAAGCCAACAGCTTTGGAAGCTCGCTCCCCTTCTGGATCTACCGCCCAATTTTTTTTTAGCTCCAGTCTCCCATGAATTCCAAGGCCTCCGGTGGGCTGCTCCAGGAACGGGAACGTAGGGGTGGGTTCGCAGGGGAGTGGCCACCGCCCAGCAGTAGCCTGAGGGGGTGGTGGCTGCTCAGGCTTTGAGTTCCGCGAGCCCCGCCTCAGCTAGCTTCCTTCCCAAACTCTCTCGTCCTGAAGCTTAAGACACACTGATAGGCTGCGCACCATGTGTAGAAAAACCAGGCTGAAATTTATTTTCCAGCTGCGTGTGTTCTTCGGGAGAGCAGGGAGCCCTTAATCATTCAAATAAAGAGCTGGAGAATCCTCTCAACTAAGTTCAAGGACCGAATCCAGGCGCGGGGCCTAAAGAGGTGAAGAGGCCAGCCAGTGGGAATGGCGGAGGTATGGAACCTGGAAGGGCTGCCACTACTGTCAAACTTACAGACCCCAGTACAGCTCCTCAAAGCGCAAGTTAGACCTGGAGAAGGGGATCCTTGGGGTGCAGAGACGAGTAACTGTCACGGGAGTGATCAGGCTGGACCCTTCTCTGTTTGAGGTGGTTGGAGAAGGGATGTCAGCCCGACACTGTGAGAAGACCTATAAATTCCCCACCCTCTCTTCCTGGTTGGTAAGCAGTGGACCTTGAAGTCCTGAAACTCAGAATTTAGAGTATGGAGACAGACCCAGGGAGTGGAGTGGATGGGACTGTCCCTTTGGTCCATAGATTTGGGCCTCTGGTCTGAAGCAGCCAAGACCTGGATGTCAAGGGATTTGAATTCTGAGGGGAAGAAGTACAGGGCTTGAAACCATGGTTAGCTCCTTACTAGGCCTCACCCTCCTGGGGCCGAGAGAGCAGGTGCAGTTTTCTTTGCAGTTGGGCCCGGAGGTAGCTTAGGTCTTGCTGATCAAGTCCATGAGCCAGGCCCAGGTACAGGGTAAGGAGGAGAGCAAGGAGAAGCCGATCAGTGCCCAAGGTGGGCACCACCCACAGCACTGTCAGCAGCTCCACACACACTGGGTGGCGCAGGTGGGAGAAGAGTCTCAGAGCCCGGGGAGACTTCAGGGCCAGAGGTTCCCCTAGCCCCAGCACATGGTAGTACACCTAGGAGTGGGAGAACAGCTTAGAAATGGAGTCAAGCCCTTTTCATAACTTAGCCACCTTTTCTTCCCCTTCCAGGCACCCTCCTGCTATAACTCAGGCCCAGGAACCACCCTTCTAAGTCTTGAGCCCCTGACCCTCATCTTCAGGCCATGAACCTTCCACAGGCTTAGGAGGCCCATGGTTTTTGGCCTTTGAGGAAGGGCTGAGGGGAGGCTCATACCAGGAAGACAGCCCTGGTTGGTGTGGCTCAGTGGATTGAGTGCCAGCCTGTGAACCAAAGGGTTGCCAGTTCAATTCCCAGTCAGGGCACATGCCTGGGTTGCGGGCCAAGTCCCCAGTAGGGGTGCACGACAGGCAACCATACATTGATGCTTCTCTTCCTCTCTTTCTCCCTCCCTTTCCCTCTGTCTAAAAATAAATTAATAAAAAATCTTTTAAAAAGTTAAAAAAAAAAAAGGACAGGTAAGGGAGCTGAAAGCAAGAGGAAGGTAGAAGAGCATGGGAGGGGGAGGGAGAAAATCCTTTGAAAGCAAAGAGGTGTTCTAGAAAGGATCAATGGTAGGGATCTGGGAGCCTCACCTGTTTGAGGCCCATGAGCTCTGCGTAGTCAAAGACGAGAAGGATGCTGAAGATGAGGAGCCAGGAAATGACGTGAAGCACAAAGCACAGGAGGGGCACCCAGGTGGCCCATGGCTCCGCTCGAACTTCCCACAACACAGGGCCTCTGGGAACAGGCTCCCAGCATCGCATCACTAGCTGGGGAAGGATGAGGGGCTGGGAGACCTAGACCCAGAAGCTGCTCCCACCCGAGACTGGCATGCAGCTCTCCCACCTTTACCATGAACATCACCAAAAAATATTTAACATGTGGAGGGTGCTGGGTGGGGTCTGAAGCATGTAAGGATGATCCGTCTCTACCCAGAGGACTTACAAAATGGATGAGGGTGACTGAAGAGGTGCACAGTAGCCCTTGCCAAGCCCCCACTGAGAAGACAGGTGAATACTAACGAAGAAGCCTTCTCTTGGTTTTGATAAAAGGGAAGGGCTGAGGAAGAGTTAAGGAGAAAATCTCAAATGGTACATGAACAAAGTGCAGAGGTGAGAATGCACAAGGCATGCATGCTTGGGGAATGACAAGCAGTGCACTCTTCTTTATATAAAGTAGGGTGTGTGCTGTGGGGGAAAGGAGGCTGAGATTAGAGTCATGAACACCCTCAGGTCTCCAAAACCCACACTTTTATCAGAAACCTAAGGTCCTTGCTTCTGCTATCTAGGGCATCCTCCCCAGACTCCCTTTCTCTTAGGGACTTAGCTTCCAGGGCCTCATACCTGCAAGGCCAGGGCAGTGCATGCCACGTACAGCGACCTCTGAAGAACCCCAAAGCACTGGGACATCCACACCTTCATTGTCTCAGTTGCCATGAGGCTGTGCTGCCCCACAAATAGTAACAGGAGCCCCAGATCCCAAGCCAGAGGAGCAAGAATGCTGCGGTCCTGAAAGGCAGCCAGCCATCCCTGGTAGGCATCTACGGGAGTTGGAGAGTGAAAAGAACAGGACACCCTACGCTTATCTCTTAGGGTCCCAGGCCATGTCCCTTAATGCTTTCAAGAATCTTAACTTCCTCTGTAGTCTTTGCCCACCTCACCTCCCCATCCTCAGTTTCTTCTTTCTTTCCCAGACCCTCTTTAGAGCTGGGGAAGATGATTCCTTGTTGGGTGGTGACAAAGGCATGGCAGGAGAGTCCACCATTGCCCCTCTTACTTCACTTCCCCAAATGTTCCCTTTTTTAACAATCTCCTCTCTATAGTCTCGTCTACAAAGCACTTTCCTTAACATGCTCTGCTTATCGCCCATTCCCTGGATCTCAGTCCTAACTCTCCTGCCTCTCCAAAGGGCTAATCCCTGACTTCCTAATAATTTAGTCTCCCCTGCAGGTTCTCAGAATCTTTCTTGGCTGTAGTTCCCTCTCCAGGACTTTCCCTGCCGTTCGTCTACAAGCCCCGCCCCTCTCCCTCTCCTCTGGCTCCACCTCCCTACCCCAGAGCTCATCCTCGACCCCTCCATCTCACCTGGACGACCAGACTCCGGAATCCCTCCAAGAAGAGGCTGAAGGGAGGTAAAGCGCACGAACTCCACTCCGGTGCCAAAGGCCAGGATGAAAGAGGCGAGGGCAGCAGAGACCAGGAGCAGTGCAGGGGCCATGGCGAGAAACAGAGGGGTGGGGAAGAGGCGGGCTCAGGATTCCCGCGGCCGGAGACCCAACCCCCTGGCCCCACCTCCCGGCCAGGATCCTGCCCAGGGAGGGTGGGGCTACTGCGCGCCGTAGCCCGGGTTCCCGCCCGCGCCGCGCCTGGGACTCCTGGCCAGCCGTGGCAGGGCCTAGTCCCGAGTTCCTCTTCACAGCCTTCGTCCCCTTGTCGCAGAGAGAATGTTAGAATCCCAAGTTAGAGGTGAAAGGGCAGTTGCTCTGCAACCACTCATGTCGGTTCAATCCTACCTTGGCTCTTTTTCCCTTCTAAAATAGAGCTCCTCTTTTAGTATTCTCTAGGGAACAGCGATAGGAAACCCCTTCCTTTAACATTCCTGGCTGGAAAACTTCATACCCACAGTTAAAGGTTCTAAAGCCTCAGTTAACACAATAATGAAGGGCTGAGAACCCAAAGCTCTGAGTCACCTACTACATCTTGTTAGATTGAAAAAAATTAGTGACTATTTTACTAAAAAATAACTTAATGGTCATTCTGTAACTTATTAAAAGTTGAGTTCTTGCTTCTCTACTTGCTAAAAAGGGCAGAGAACTCTGTGACCTAGAAAATCTGTTCTTTTTAAATTTTATTGACTTGAAAGAGAGCGAGAGGAAGGGGGGAGGAAAAAGAAACATTGATTTGTTGTTCCACTTATTTATGCACCGATTGGTTGATTCTTTTATGTGCCCTGACAGGAGATTGAACCCTTGACCTTGAGGTGTCAGGATGATGCTCTAACCAGCTTCTCTACCTGGCCAGGGCAAGATTCAGCCAAAGGCTGTTGATTTGTAACCATGAAAATAAAAGTGTGAAAATATTTGTGGTAGAAAGCTTTGTTGATTACAGTTGAAATATTGCAGTAAGAAAATTTTATCCAAGCTTCTAATTAACTATATGACTTCTCTGCAACCTCATTAGTTGGACTCCACTTACTAGTCAGAAACCACTAAGATCTTTTGTGTTAACATATTTTCCCTTACAGACCTGTTTGTGATACAGACCAACATTCATATCTAAAAAGCAAAGTAAAAGTAAGGTTTTCTCCATCAGATTTATTTTTAAATTATATATATATATATATATTTTTTTTTAAAGATTTTATTTATTTATTTTTAGACAGAGGGGTAGGGAAAAATTAATGTGTGATTGATTGCCTCTCTTGGGCCCCCGACTGGAGACCTGACCCACAGCTCAGGCTTGTGCCCTGACTGGGAATCAAACCACTGACCCTTAGGTTCACAGGCTGGTGCTCAATCCAAGGGCTATTTTTTAATTATATTTTTGTTTATGCTATTAGAGTTGTCCTGATATTTCCCCCTTCATCTCCCTCCACCCAGCAACCCCTATTCCCTCAGGCAATCCGTACACCATTGTTCATGTCCATGGATCATGTGTATAAGATCTTTGGTTACTCCATTTCATATACTGTATTTTACATCTCCATGGCTATTCTGTAACTACCTACTTGTACTTCTTAATCCCCTCACCTCTTCACCCATTCCCCTACACCCCCTCCCATCTGGCAACCCTCAAAATGATCTCCATATCCATGATTCTGTCTCTGTTATTCCTATTTGCTTAGTTTGTTTTTTAGACTCAACTGTTGATTGATATGTATTTATTGTTATTTTATTGTTCATAGTTTTGATCTTTTTCTTAAATAAGTCCCTGTAACATTTCATATAATAATGGTTTGGTGACAACAAACTCCTTTAGCTTTCACTTGCCTGGGAAGCTCTTTATCTGCCCTTCTATTCTAAATGATATCTTTGCTGGGTAGAGTAATCTTGGCTGTAGATCCCTGCTTTTTCATGACTTTGAATATTTCTTGCCAATCCCTTCTAGCCTGTGGTTTCTTTGAGAAACCAGCTGACAGTCTTATAGGAACTCCCCTGTATGTAACTACCTGCTTTTCTCCTGCCACTTTTAAGATTCCCTCTTTATTTTTAACCTTTGGCATTTTAACTATGATGGGTCTTGAAGTGGACCTCTTTGCATCCATCTTGCTTGGGACTCTCTGTCTCCTGGGCTTGCATGTGTATTTCCTTCACCAAATCAGAGGTTTTCTTTCATTATTTTTTTGAATAGACTTCCAATTTCTTGCTCTTTCTTGTCTTCTTCTGGCACCCCTATGATGTGAATGTTTGAACACTTGAAGTCATCCCAGAGGCTGCATATACTATTCTCATTTTTTTAATATTCTTTTTTCTTCTTGTTGTTTTGATTGGTTGTTTTTTGCTTACTTATGTTCCAAATCATTGATTTGATTCTTGGCTTCATCACTCTACTGTTGTTTCCCTGTAAATTGTTCTTTCTTTCAATTAATGCATCCTTCGTTTCTGACTGGATCTTTTTTATGCTGCTGAGGTCCTCACTAAGGTCCTTGAGAATCCTGATAACCAGTGTTTTGAACTCTGCATCTGACAGATTGCTTATCTCTCTTTTGTTTAGTTCTTTTTCCAAAGTTTTGATCTGTTCTTTCATTTGGGCTGTTTTTCCATCTCCTTATTTTGGCAGCCTGTCTGTGTTTGTTTCTATGTGTTAGGTAAAGCTGCTATGACTCCCTGTCTTGGTTGTGTGGCCTACTGTAGTAGACATCCTGTAGGGTCCAGTGGCACAGACTCCCCTATCACCCAAGCAGGGTACTCAAGATGCACCCTCCTCTTATAGTTGAGACTTGATTGCTGTTGGCATGTCAATGGGAGAGATTTACCCAGGCCAGTCAGCTTCAAGGACTGGGTGTGAGCACTGACCACGAACCTCCACCATCCGTGGAGGATTAGCTGTGCAGGGGCAGGGCGGTGGTGCTCCAGCGAGCTCTGTAGCTGTCCACTGGGTACAGAGGCCCTGGGGTTTCCCCAGGGTGGTGCAGGCCAAGATCAGCCCCCACCTATGTTTTTCCCAGGGCCACCCTCCCTGAACTATAACGCAGTCTAAGATGGCTGCTACTTGTGCTGGGCTTGGAGATTCCCAGGTGAAGCCAAGCTGTGAATCTAAGCTGGCTGCTGCTAAGGTCTGACCTAGGGCCACTTAGCAAGTGTACAGCAGCTGGTGGCTCAGTGAGGCTGGCTCTTGCTTAGTTGAGAGGATTTAGGAAGTTGTAAAGCATAATGGAAAAGCCACTGTTAACAGCTTGGGTGGGCCAGTAAAGTTGGGATTTCCAGGGTGGGGCAGTGTTTGCCAGGTGATGGAGTCTCAGATATGGCACCCCCCTGCCAGCTCTGTGGCTCTGTGAGGGGAGAGTTCAGAAAAGAGAGGATGGCATCTGCCCACCTTTCTGTCTGGGAGAAAGCTGTCCCCCAGCTCTGACCTTGATGCAGACACTTCAATTCCTCCCCATATGCTATTGGTGCCTTTCAAGCTGCTACCCTGGTGCTGGAGCTCAGAGAGAGCATGTCTGAGTAAGTCTGTGTGTGGGTTCTTTAAGAGTAACTACTTGGGAACAGTTTCTTCCACCTACTTAATTCCCCCTGCTTTATGCAGCTGGAAGTTATGGGGACTTACCTTCCTAGCACTGGAACTCCCTAGTTGGGGGGCCTGGTGTGGGGCTGAGACTCCTCACTCCCAAGATATACCTCCCAAATTTTTATCCACCATATATGGATGTGGGATCAGCCCATTCCACATCTCTGCCCCTCCTACCAGTCTGGATATATGTGGTTTCTTTAATACTGTCATTGTCAGACTTCCATTCAACTCAATTTCTGATGGTTCTGAGTGATGGTTGTTCCATAGTTTAGGTGTAATTCTGATGTGGTTGTGCAAGGTGGCGAGCTGTGTTTACCTATGCCACCATCTTGATCAGAAGTCTCTCTCCATCAGATTTAAAAATTGTGTAGTTAAGAACCTACTCACACCCTTTTGGCTCTCTGAGCAGTGGGCAAGAATGTGGACCTTATGAAAGGCAACAAAAAGGAACCAAGAAAGTGGCTGATCAATTTTCCTAAGGAAGATTAGGGTGATGTGAAAGCATCAGCTATGTTCAATATAAGAAATGTGGGGAAACATTAGTCACGAGAACTCAAGGAACCAAAATCACATCGGATAGTCTCAAGAGTCGTATTTTTGAAGTGAGCCTAGCCTCACTGATCTGCTGAATGATGAAATGCATTTGGAAAATTCAAGCTTATTACTGAGGATATTCAATGCAAAAGCTGTCTAATTTCCACAGCATGGATCTTACCTGTGATAAAATGTGCTCCACAGTCAAAAAATAGCCCTTACCTCTCTGGCTGGTGTGGCTCAGTGGGTTGAGCACCAGCCTGTGAACTGAAAGATTACCCATTCGATTCCTCAACAGGGCACATGCGTTGGTTGTGGGCCAAGTCTCTGCTTGGGGCATGTGAGAGGCTACTAATCAATGTTTTTTTCCTTTTCTTTCTCCCTCCCTTCCCCCCTCTCTAAAAAATTTTTTTAAGTCTTAAAAAAAAAGTATCCCTTACCAATGTGGCTCCATTGGTTGAGTGCCATCCCATACACCAAAAGGTTGGGGGCTGAATCCCCAGCCAGGGCACATACCTTCATTGTGGGATCAATCCCTAGTTGGAGGGAGGCAATTGATTGATGTTTCCCACATCAGTTTCTCTAAAACCGATAAATATATGGCAGACTATGGCTGAAGCTGATATTGGTTTCAAGGTTACCAATGGTTATTTATCTAGTCTGTGTTAGTTTAAAAAAATTAGATTTGAAAGAAGTTCTTATGCTTATCACCAGGTGCACCAAATGCAGACTATGGAAGTCATGACCTGAGAGGTGGAAATGACTTGAAAGAGCAGTCAATAAATTGATTCCATATAGCTTTAGAAAAGGCTTACCAGTCTATTTATCAGCTCCATGATATCTTTGTTAGAGAGGTCAAAATGCTGAAGAAGCCCAAATTTCAGTTGAGAAAACCATGGAGCTTCACGGTGAAGGTAGCCATTCTGGAAAAGCTACTGGGGATCAAATGGGTGCCAAGATTGAATGAGCTGATGGATATGGGCCCCTAGTCCAAGAATCTGTTTATTTCAAGACTTTTAATGGTGACAAAAAAATTCCTATTTGTGGGTCCTTGCCATGTAGCTCCATTGGTTAGAGTGTTGTCCCAGTGTACCAAGGTTGCAGGTTTGATCTCTGGTAGGGCACATTCCAGAAACAACCAATGAATACATCAAGAAGTGGAACAACAAATAGATGTTTCTGTCTCTCATAAAAAAAATAAAGAAGTAAAACATTTTTAAAAATCCTATTTGTGATTTATAAAAAAAGAAACCTAGTCACAGCAGCTATCCACATAGGAAAGACCTTAGACATCATTAAGCTAATTCGCTTAACTTACAGAAGAAACAGGCCCAAATTCCCCAAGATGAGAATTAAGGAGCTGCTAGTCCTGTGGGCTAAGGGACAAGAAAATTGCCAAGCAGCATCTCATGTACTCTACACATTCCTTTTTCCTGCTCAACGCTCAGATCTCGCATCTTCTGGATCAACACTATTGTATACTGTAACAGACATCTTCTCTTTTCCTTCTAGATTCACTTTCCATTTCTGCTTCAGGAAGTTGTCCTGAATGGACTATATCAATGCAAATCAGTTTTTACAGAGGAGCTCTCCCTATAGAGCTGCTTCCTCATCTAATCTTTTTGGGCTTAGAGGTAATCACCACAGATCTATGCACACTGGGGTACTGCAACATTGTGATTAATCTCTGCCTACTTGTTATTTTTACTCTATTAAACTCTCCCCAAGTTATCATAATTTGTGCCATTGTTTCTTGCCGGGACCCTGACTGATACATGACACAACTTGCTACAAGCAAGTGGGAGTCATTGGAAAGAAAAAAATCAGTTCTCTAGAAGTCTACATTGGGGCACTTAAATGATATGCATGAAGTGGGAATGCTAAATGAGGCTATAGAGACATCAGGCACTATAAGGGATTCCACAACCTCAAGAATGTGGACAGTTTCACACAGTATAAGGCTTTAAGTTGTGCAACGGGACTAACATTTACTTGGGTCCTACCATGTGCCAACACCCACAATGGCTATGCTTAATATATTATATTAAGAGATCAGGTATATTTAAAAGCCAGCACAGTGTTTGGCAAAGCTCATGCTATTTCTACTATACCAAAGTTCTTAAAACTTAGTTATAATTTATCTCAGAAAAATGCACAAAATTAATCAAAGTTTTTCTTATTGAAGTGAAATTCACATCACATAAAATTAAGCATTTCAGAGAACAATTCAGTGGCATTTAGTACATTCATGTGTGCAACCACCACCTCTACCTAGTTCCAAAATATTTTCATCTTCTCAAAATAAAATCCTACCCATTTCCCTCAACTCAAGCCACTGCAACCACCAATCTGCTCTTTACCTCTATCGATTTACCTATTCTGGGTTATTTTATAAGTGGAATTAGACAATGTGACCTTTTGTGCCTGGCTTCTTTTACTTAGCATAATGCTTTTAAGGTTCAGCCTCAAAGCACTGTAGCATAAATCAGTAGCGTTTCATGTCTTTTTATGGCTGAATAATAATCACTTGTATGGGTATGTCACAATTTGAAACACGTTTCTCTTTTGACTCCTGTGAAAATATTTATATGAATATTTGTCTACAAGTGTTAGTGAACATCTGTTTTAATTCTTTCAGGTGTATACCTACAAGTGGAACTGCTAGGTCATTTAGTAATTATGTTTAACTTTTTGAGAAACCACAAAACTGTTTACCACAATGGCTGAACCATTCTACGTTCCTACCAGCAACGTATAAGGGTTCCAATTTCCAATTTTTCCATATCCTTGTGTCAACCAATCTTTAAAACTTAAGTTTTAAAAAAGCTTAAACTTAAGAAATGTTGTATTTTAAAAAATGCACTACACCATGAGGCATGGAGTGAATATTTATTTATCATAAAGGTTAATCCTAAACTCTAATATTATAAATACCAGAAAAGCAGATCAAGAAAGTGCAGAGACTTGCTCCAAGTCAAAACTAAAGGATGCTTCTAACAAGATGGGGCCAGGAGAAAAGAAAATATTTTAGTAGCATTTTATAACTACACCCTCAAATTTACCCACTCCAGCATCCCTTCAAGTTTCTGACATTAAAATTATTTCCACTATGTTTTGGAGGATAAACAAGAATCCCAGTAGAAAAAGAAAAGAGAGATGGTTTCCAAATGAGAGGCCAGACACCAAGCAATAAGTGAATCATTCTGACTAAAGATGAGAGCCACTTAAGATATCTGAGCATGAGAGTAGCCAAGTAAATGGCCATTTTAGAAAATCTGCTCCCAATATCCCTTTGATTTCCCATAAGCCTTTTCAGCCTCACCTGTGTTTCAAGACAAATCAGATCGTACAACCCCAATCCTTTTAAAGCCCTAAGTTCTTCCTCCCAAATATTTTCTAAGTATTTATTATTGGTCTGGGAGGGAAAAGGGTACTGGGGTGGGTTTTCAGGTACATGACATTTCCAAAGTGGAGAGAACAAAAGCCTCTGGCTTGGCTTCCTGCTTCAGCACTCCTGTGAGCAGGAACTCAGGTGAGAGGATGGGCAGCCCAACCCGAATTGGCATGTTGCATCGAGGAATGTCCTGGGAGCAAGTGATCACAACTCTCTGAGGCTGGGGAAGACAGACAGCAAAGTCAGGTGGAAAAAGAACCCTAGAAATAGGTTTAGACACACTCATCAGTCTAAGCATCACTAAAATAGTACCTCCTGATATAATGCCACATGAACCATATTGCATGGTCTTTGAAGTACTCTTACCAGAAAAGTTGAACCAGAATTTATTCAAGCTCTTAAAATTAACTATAATTTATAGGAAATACAGAAGAAAGAAGAATAAGATAAATGATACAGCCAGGGACCACATAGAAAAGTCCAGACTGAGCAACATTCTAAAGGACAATTGACCTAGTTTCAGTAGGAAGTCAGTGGCTTAAAAAAGGCTGGGTGGGTAGGGGGCCGTGATTTTTGCCCAGGTGTGCCCCAAGAATTTTAAAACATGAAATATCCAACTATTTAGTCAGGGGCACTGATCTTTTGTCCCTTAGACTATGGAGGAAAAAAAAAAGACATCAGCCAACAACAATACCAGTTCGGTATGAATACTCTGTCTTGAACCATAAATGTATGTAAATAAATAAATATAAATATATATATTTATATGTATTATATAAATATATAATTGGTCACATCTGGCTAATTTTCTTTTTAAAGATCTTTAACTTTAGAGAGGGGGTAGGGAGAGAGAAAAAGACAGAGGAATATCAATCAGTTGCCTCTCACAACACCCCTGCCAACTGGGGACCTGGCCCGCAACCCAGGCATGTGCCCTGACCGGGAATCAAACCAGTGACCTTTTGTTTCACAAGCCAGTGCTCAACACACAGAGCCACACTAGCAGGGCCTGACTGGTTAATTCTTAGTACCAGAAATCCTAATACACAAGTATGGACACTTGACTTTTAAAAAAGTTACTTTGGAACAAAAAGGATAGGTAATTACTGTTGTTGTTATTATTATTGTAAATCAATCAAAATTATATCTACTTTTTTGTCAGATCAGCAAATATATATTTTTTGGTGTGCCACAAAATTTTGGTAATTAGTTTATGTGTGCCATGAGATGAAAAAGGATGAAAACCTCTATCAAATAGAATTAAGAATTACAAAAATTGTGGCAATACATAGACCTGGTTTGAATCCTACACTGAACTGTAAAAAGATATTTTCAGACAACTGGAGAAATTTGATTAATGAAGTATGAGAAAATGACTGAGAAATTATTGTTAATTTTGTTATGGATCAATAATGACATTATGGTGATAAGAAAATGTACATATTTGCCCTGGCTGGTGTGGCTTAGTGGGTTGAGCGCTGGCCTGCAAACTGAGAGGTTGCTGGTTCAGTTCCTAGTCAGGGCACATGGCTGGGTCGCAGGCCAGATCCCCAGTTGGGGGCATGTGATAGGCAACTAACTGACTGATATTTCTCTCTCACATTTATGTTTATCTCCCTCTTTCCCCCTGCTCTCTAAAAATAAATAAAATTTTAAAAACCTATCATATTAAAAAAAAAAAAGGAAAAAAAGAAAGTGTACCTATTTCTTAGAGATGTGTACTTTAAGTATCCAAGTAGAAATAATGTTTGCAGTTTTCTTCAAAATACTACAAATAGTATAGAAAATTTTTTCAAAAAGGGATAGAGCAAATGTAGCAATGTCTGAATTAACCAAAGCAATTGGCATATGGAGGCTCACTGCATTATTCTCTCTCCTTTTGTGTATATTTGAAATTCTTTAAAGTACAAAATAAAACTAAGCCTAATTGGTATCAGCAGAGCTCCTCTCTCACTCCTATCCCTTTCTATGCCATTCTTCCCGAACCCTCTCACTAATGCATTCCCATCTGTACTTCCCCAGATCTAGAACACTCCTCACCCACCCATACCTTGTAGGACCGGGGCATGCTGGGTAGGACAGTGCCTCCACAGCAACTGATGATCTCTGCCATCTGAGGTGGAGGTGGCTGGACTCCAGGAGTCACATGAACCTCATAGCCCTAAGAGGAAAAAAAGTGGTGGAGACAGTGAAGGGTGCACCAAGCCATACACTGCTGGGAGAAGACAGTCTCTCACCTCTAGCAGCCTTCGCTCACGAGCCCGGCTCAGGGAGTCACGGAGGCTGAAGCCAAAGTTCTTTTCCTGCTCAGAATCAGTCACCAAATATTCATCCGGGGGCAAGAAGCAACCAGCCTTGCGGGACTAAGGGTGGCAGCAGTCAGTATCAAAGCCCAGGCCAGGCTGTCACCCAGTCCTGCTGCCTAGCATTTACAAGGAGCTCACACAGTGTTTCTGAATGAAGTCTTCCCCCTACTCACACTTGTGTTCCAGCACCCCCTCCCTCAAGTGCCATATGAGTCTTTAATTGTCACTTTCTCTATTAGTCTGTCATCATCTCCTGGCCTCTCACCTGGTGCAGCCAGTCCAGGGAGAGGATAGGGATCCCCCGCCCCAGGGCACACAGGAACTTGACTGTCCGGCAGATTCGATCAGTCACCAGGTGGGAAGCTTCTGCTACTGAGCTTGCCAGACTTCCCCCCAGGGCCAGCACTGCCTGCTCTCCACGGGCATCTACCACTCCTGTGAAGAGCACCTGTAAAAGGGATTAGCCTAAATTGGTCACAGCAACCCATGAATCAGTGCCTCTCTCAAATCCCGTAGGTCTCCTCCCATCCCCCCACATCTTTTCCCACAAAGCCTGACGCCCCTTCTCTCCTACTTTGGGGGCTGTGGACTCATATTTATTTCTCATCCGACGGAGGCTGCGGCTTAGCACTCCCTTGGGCTCCTCAGCCTGGTCTTTCTTTCTCTTGCCTGGTCCTGGAATCACTACATCCTGGGATTGAGAAGGATCTTCGTAAGGATTTCTGAGCCCCCCAGCCCTTTCCCAGCTCTGTGGCCCCAGCCCTCTCCTCACCTCTTCCTTCTCTGTGGGGTCTCCCTCTTCCTTGAGGAACAGAGTCTTCTGGGGAACTTCCCCTCTTTGGAGCCATTTTTGAAGCTGGGGTGAATCCACTGTACTGAAAGGCCTCTTGCGGTTTTGAAAGGCATTAGGCTGGGTTTCTGGAGTGAACTCATATCTACCTGTTGCCTCTACCTTTTGGATCTGGGAAGCATGAGTGGGTGCCTCATGAAGCTGGGCAAAGGCAGGCTTAGGAATGGTCCTAAGGGACTTGGCTACTCTCACTGCTCCTCGCCTTTGGTTCCTTGAGGATGGGAAGTTAGGTTCAAGGGGTGCAGAACAGGGTTCACAGATGATGGGAGTTGTGAGGGTCCCCTTCTCCCTAGTGGCCCTTGGCCTCCTGCTGCAATTGGCTTGAGGGATGGGCTCAGGGGAAACAGGCTGGTCTGTGTCGACAGGAGACTGAAATTCAGGGGTGGTAGGAGCTGGCACAGCACTTCTTGTAGACCTCAGTGTCCTGCTCCTACCACCCTGAGCTATGGCCTTGGGGGTGACAGGCTGGTCTGTAGGGGTGGGAGGTTCAAGGTTAACAGCTGTGGGTACAGTTGTTTGATGAGTCTTGACAGAGGACCTGAGTGTCCTGCCCCGTGTGGCCCAAGATGTGGGCTCAGGGGTGACAGGCTGGTCTTTGGAGGTGGAAGGTTGGAGCTCAGGGGCTGTGGGGACAATTGGTTCAGGGGTCCTGGCAGAGGACCTGTGTGTCCTGCCCCAAGTAGCCCGAGATGTGGGCTCAGAGGTGACAGGCTGGTTTTTAGAGGTGGAAGGCTGGAGCACAGGGGCTGTGGGGATAATCGGCTCAGGGGTCTTCCTGTGTGTCCTGCCCCGAGTGGCCCGAGATGTGGGCTCAGGGGCAACACACTGGTCTTTGGAGGTAGAAGGGTAGGACTCCAAGACTATAGAAGCACCTGGAGTGGATGTCATCCTGGAGCACCCCCGGGGCCTGACTTTGGGTTTTGCATGAAAGGGGTCCAACTCTGAGGACAAGGGATTCTCCACAATTTCCTGACTCCCATTTTGCCTGGTTCTGGGAATGGGTGGCTCTACAAAAGGTAGAGAAGGAGCAAAGAGGGGCTGAGGAGCAGGATGTTTTTGGCTCTGACAGATGAGGGGGGTTTGGACAGGGGCTGAGGCTTCAGGTACTGTCGGAGGCACACAAACATCTAGGGATTCTGGATCACCCTGGGGAGAAATAGAAGCAAGTGAGAAAGCAAGAGGAAGAGGGAAGAGACATAGGACTGGACCCTGTCCTTGATATTTGTTACAGTGAGAGTACACTCACTGGCATCTCTCTTTCTGTTTCTGACCATCTTCCATTAGTCTGGAGACTTCCCAGGGAGAAAGCACTCTTCTTTCTCATATACCTCTCCCATAAGGCCAACACAATGTTGTCAGTATATGGATGATGGATAGTTGGGAAAAGAGGAAAGGGACCTGAAGGGATGTTCTGAGTCAGGTTGAGGGAGACAGAACTGGTAAACAGATACATGGAAAATAACAGGTGCCAAGCTAAAGAGACAGAAGCCAACTAAGGAGTGGTGAAAATGACAACAATGGAGAAGCCAGGAAAGAACAGATGAAAGCAACGTGGAGGGGAGGTAGAAAAAGCAACTCTCACCTTAGAAACCCTCTTAGTGGGTGGAGCCTTGCAATTCAAGTGGCCTAGACAGAAAGTAAAGACAACCCTGGCTGAGGTCCAAGCAGACAGTTACTTAGGGTTTACCATGAGGGCTGCGTGATACCTTGGGCTCCACCCCCCACCTTCACTTACCTCTCTGCCACCTCCTGGGGCTCACAGGGGCTCCCCTTCTTTCACCAGACTGGCTCCCAGAAGCTATCAGGGCTGCAGAGAGTCCCACATGTTCCTCTGCCCCTCCTTCAGGCTCCACTGTTGGGCTGGAGGCCTGTCCTTTCTGGTCCCTGCTCCCTCTCTTTGTCCCCAGTCTCTGTGCACCTCCCTCCAGTATTACTTTGCTGACTTCTAACCTACCTGGCTCATACTGTCTCTCTGGTGCTAGTTTTTCTGCTTCTCTCTCAAATACTTCTTTTGCAAGAGTCTGCTTTACTACCTCTTTTAATTTCTTGGGTATCTCAATTTCTACCTTCAAATTCTCCGTATCCCTTTCCATACTTGCACTTTTCACCATTTTACTGGACTTTTGTCTCTTAGTGTCTCTAGCTAACACCTGTTTTTGTTCTCTGTCCTTCATCACCCTGGTTAATTTTTCCTCTCCCGTTACATTTTCTCTCGATCGTTCTGGTGGCAGTTGTTTGGTTTCCTTCCCTAATGGTCTTTCCTCCACGGCCACCCTCTCTGCTGATTCTCTTGGTGTACCCATGCCTTCCTCCGCAGTTTGCATCCCTCTGCCTTGAATCCCCAGTGGCTCTGCATGAAGTGAGCTTTCTGGTTGTTGGTTGTGAGGTGTTATCCTAGGTGAAAAAGGGCAAGAGCCATGGGCCTTAATGTGGGCAGCAATAGGCTGGGTGTCTGAAGCCTCAGATTCTCTTAAACAGAATGGCTGTGTAGCCAAGACCTCCCATGGTTCATCCAGGGAACCTGTAAGTAGAGTAGGAGAGACAGAGAAAAAGAGGTTCAGAAGGTTAACAGGTTGAGAAAGGATTAAGATAAATTCATGAACAATAAATCTATATGAGTTATTTAAAAAAAAAAAGCTGGGAATAAGGATAGTTGTAACATTTAATGTTTGTTTCAAAAAGTAAGACCAGCTTTGGCTGGTGTGGCTCAGTGGATTGAGTACCGGCCTGCAAACTAAAGGGTTGCTGGTTCAATTCCCAGTGAGGGCACATGCCTGGGATGGGGGCCAGCAGCTGGCAACCCAGTTGTGAGAGGCAACCACACACTGATGTTTCTCTCCTTCCCTTCCCCTCTCTCTAAAAATAAAATCTTAAAAAAAACCAAAAAGGACCATACCTTCATATAAAAGTGCTCACAGCAGCCTCTTAAAAATTATGCTAGACAAGTTGTTCTATGGGTCTCTAAATATGACTTTTTCCCCCTAGTAAGACGGAGGAACATCAGCCAAATAAAGAATATGAAAGAACAGTAGAGGAAGACACAATGATGCAAAGTTAGGGGCACAGAGGAGGGGAGTTTCTTATACCGGGGGCCTGGAAGTGGCCACGGGAAGAGCCAGGCTTCTGGGGTAGAGTAAATGAGAAGGCTTGGGTGGGTTCACCCTCCATGCTCTGGGCTGCTGAGCAAGGAAAGATGGCCTGAACACAGTTCCTCCAGAGAACTCCAGGGGCCCATCCTCAGTCCCTTGCCCGTATCAGCTTCCACACCCTTCTAGAGCCACCAGTCTAATCTCCCAGCTCCTGCTTATGTACTAGCATCCCCACAACACAGATGTCCTCACCTTCCATGCTCTGATTCTCTCTCTCCACAAAGCACTGGGTAGCTTGTAGGTCCAGATTTTCAAAATCTGGTGGGGGAGGAATACAGGATAATAAAAAATTGTATGTGACCCATAACACTTTACCTTTTCTCTAGTTTTCTCTCCCCGACCCAAACCCCTATGCAATGGACTGAATGTCTATGTCCTACTCCACATTCCTTTGTAAAAATTTTTAAAACTTTTTTTAGATTTTTTTTAATGCTGAATTTACTCCCGGGCCATAGGTTTTTGTTTCTTCAGTTTCTTCTGGGATACTCTTTTCTTCTGTGCAAACTCCTCTCTGGTTTAGGAATAATTTGCTCTTTTTCAGCAGGATCATGTCAGTGTGACAGGGAGAGCTCATGTGTGAGTTATTCTGACCATGAGCTCTCTAAGTTCTACGCTGTATCTTGGGAGCTTCGTACACCAGATTGTGCTCAATGACTAGAAAATCTATATCTAAACCCTTAAGTTCAGCAATACTCTCTGTATTTTTAAGCAAGTGCAGCAAAAATTCAGCACTCTTTGGGCCACTGACCCTGTGTCAATCCCCATTGTTTGGCCTGGGCACACCTACCAACTCCACCATTGTAATGACAGAATGGCACACATTGCTTCTGTCAGGTGACATCCTTCAGATACGTGGTGGCTTTTTGAATATGCATGCCGTTGATGGCCTGCCAGTTTCATGAGTGTTCTTAAAGTGAACGTGAAGAGTTGAACCTCTTTTTTTTTTTTTAAGATTTTATTTATTTAGTTCTTTTTAGAGAGAAGGGAAAGGAAGGAGAAAGAGAGGGAGAAAAACATCTATGTGTGGTTGCCTCTTGCATGCCCCCGCACTGGGGACCTGGCCAACAACTCAGGCATGTGGGAATTGAACCAATCACCCTTTGGTTTGCAGGCTGGCATTCAATCCACTGAGTCACACAAGCCAGGGCTAAACCTCTTGATTTGCATGATTTTGTGGGGTTTTCTGGGTTAAGTGAATAGTATACCACTTTTTAGAGGTCACTTCTGGCTGCTTTCAAGAAGATTCCATTCCACATTCTTATTCTAATACCACAATGCAATGGTATTAGGAGGTAGGGCACTTGGGAAGAGATTAGGTCCTTGGGGTGGAGCCCTCATGAATGGGATTAGTGCCCTTATAAAAGAGACCCCAAAGAGCACCCATGTGTTCCTCTGGCATTTAAGGATACAGTGAGAAGCAGGCTGCCTATGAACAAGGAAGTGAGCCCTCACCAGATGAATCTGCTGTTGCCTTGATCTTGCACTTCCCAGCCTTTAAAACCATGAGAAATAAATATTTATTGTTTATAAGCCATCTACTCTGTGGTATTGTTTATAGTAGCTTGAATGGATTAAGTCACCCTGTAAGTGTTCTTTATCTTAGGGGTCAAGTGAGGAGGGCAGGCCAGCACTTACCATCATGGTTGTCTCCAGAATCCTTGGTCATGTCCTCATGTGATTCTCTCCTGCTTTCTCTGGTGGGCTGGGCTCCCTTTCTCTGTGGCTGGGGGGGTTCTCCTGGAGGACCTGTGTCTACCAAGAGATTCGTTAGGTTCTCCCTTGACACAATAAGATGATCCTGCTCCACTTGTGCTATAGGTGGCTCACCCTGGTACCCAACATCAAGAGCTTTCTCTTGCTGAAGAACAGATACAACCCACTCTGCTCCAGTACCCACTTCTGCTGGAAGCTGGCTCTTTCTTGTACCAGCATCTGTTTCACAGTCCCCACCTGGAGGAGACCAGGCTTCCTCTAGATGCATCACAGGTAGCTTTGCTGGACCCCCTTCTCCTTCCACATTTGTTTGATTTGTCCATTCCACAGGCACCTGATGCTTCTCTGGAAGTGTAACAACTGGTCCTGGGGGGACTTCCTTTTCCACTAGTGTGCTGATGCCCACTTTGGCAGAGGCTTCGCTTCTCTCCAGGTGGACTCCAAGTGAACTCTTATCTTCTTCTACTTCTATATCACTGGCTCCGAACGGAGGTTGGCTCTCTTCTGAATGTGCTTTCTCTGTGTGACCCTTGGGGACGTAGTCTCTCTTTTCCACTGAAAACTTCTCCTTTTCCATATCTGTGTCACTGTCTCTCCCAGAAGAGGTTTGGCTTTGCTCAAGCAAAGCCAGAGGTTGGGCCTGGTCCTCTTCCATATCTGTATCTCTGTCCCACATAGTGACGTGGCTTTCTTTCAGATATGCCAAAGTGAGTGCTACTGACACTTCCTCCTTGTCATCTGTATTGTTTTTGATCACCATGGAGGCTTGGCTGCGCTCCAGAGGGACTGTGAGTGGGGTCTCAGTCTCCACATCTGTGTCACTACCAGCCAGGCTCTCTTGAAAATGTGCTAGGTCAGGTCCCCCATGACTTTCTGTACTAACTGCATCAAAGATTTGCCTCTTCTTCACAGAAACTACAGCTTGGGTTGCGGAAATCCCCTCTTCTTCCACATCAGTATCACTGTCTATGAAGCCAGAAGTCTGGGCCCTTTCCAGATGGACCTCAGCTGTCCTTCCGGGAGGCCTGCTCTCATCATCCACATCTGTCTCACTGTCCTCTCTAGAAGATAGTCTCCTCTCAAGAATCACCCCAACTGGAACCACCACATTGGTTGTATCCTTCTTGGCTCTTGCATCATTGTTCCTTTCCTTCCCTGAATACTGATCCATTTCACACTGGATTTCGGTTGCAACAACTTTAGGCTGTTCTGTCTCTGCAGTGGCATCTCTTGTGGCACCTGAGCAGGCCTCCCCTACTGTTGGTTGTGAACTTTCTTCCTCCTCTGTGTCACTGTCAAAGTTGAAGGCACAAGGTGGCCCAGGGCCATCTGGGGCAGAAGAAGGCCCCTCTTCATCACTATGAAGGGAAGAGAAGAGAAAGAGTTTATCGAATCTATTTCCCAGGAAGGGATACCTCACTGAACTGTGACCTCCTTGAGTGCAGAGACAAAGTAGTATTTATTTTTCTATTCCCAGCAATTTGTTCCCCATTTGGCACATCAGAGGTTCTCAATAAAAATTCAGCCAGTGAAAGAGTATGTGTAGTTCCCCAGCCCTCACTTCCATAATAATCATCTCTTAGAGATGGATCCTTTAGTCAGGGGTTCCTCCTCTTTCTGAAGATTCATGTATCTGGCTCTTTAGCAGTTACCTCTCTGGAACAACTGTTGCCAAAAGGGAGGATGTGGTCCTTGGTTCTTTCATCATGCATGTTTCAGAAAGAGGATCTGCCAAGAGTAGAAAGGAGTAAGTTGACAGTTTTACATTCACCATCCCCATCTCCTCACCCGCCCTCCCAATACACACACTTACCTACTTCCTCTTCTGAGTCCTCAGCCAACAGGATCCCCCAAGGCTGAGTTCCTCCCTGTACCCTGGGTGTCTCCTCTACAGTTAGGGGGCCCAGAGAGATAAAGGGCAGGGAGACATCCAGGCGATGGTACTGGCAGGGCAAGTCAGCAAAGACAACCAACTCCTGGTCCCTCAGACGATGACTCACCCCAGGGCTCAGGAACTTTGGAGGCCTCAGGATTTGCGTACCATTGAGGCTCCCACAATCCCGGAGAACAGGTGCCTTGTTCCAGGCCAAGATTTCAATCACTGCATGTTGTTTGGAGATGGATGGAAAGGGCAGGGCCACAGAGCAATCAGGCATTCGTCCTACTATATTCTTCCCAAGGTAGAGTGGGAAATCTAAGAATAGAGAGGCAGATAGGTTTCGAAGCCATATTGCTGGCCCATTATTGGGAAAATTTCTGGTTAAGTACCCAACTACTCACTCAAGGTCCCCACAGGCATAAGAAAAATAAAAGGCTGCAGGACATTTAAGTATTAAGGAATGTATGTGATGCATTATTCATAGTTAACGCCCACCCATCCATACTAGATTTTTTCTATTGTGATAAAATATACATAAAATATAGCATTCTAACCATTTTTAAGTGTACAGTAAAATCACCCCCAATGAGTCCAGAGCCCTTGCCTGGAACAGTCAAGTCAATGAGCCCCTTCTTCTCTATTCCCAATAAAAAGATTTTTTAGATACCCATGAAAAATAAACTTCTTACAAACTCCAACTACCTCCCCACAAAAATAAGACGCCTATAGCAGTGCTTCAGTATCCATACCCCCTGACCTTTTTCTGGTCCATGGATGCTACTGAAGATATGCAGTCGCCCTAATGGCTCCAAGCTACCTCCCGAGGAGTCACCGGGTCTCTCTGTCTCCTCCTCTTCTTCAACCTCCCAGTTAATAGCCTGAGTGTCCTCCATGATCTGGGAAGGAAACACATTGCCATCATCTCTATCACTAGTTCACATAGTCTCAAAGAGGTGATTCACAACTGGGAGTAAACCTGGATAGTTACAGAGTTTAATGCTTCTCTTTATGCCAAGCATTGTTGTTAACCTTCCAAAGCACTGAAAAAATATTTTTGACCATGATACAGAATAATAAATATCATAAGGTCCCAAGTTTACAAGTAGATGTTCCACAGTTACATTCCAATAAACCCGTAAGCTGAAATTACACTTAATATACCTAACCTACCCAACCTCATAGCTTAGCCTAGCCTACCTTAAACGTGATCAAAAGACTTACATTAGTCTATAGTTGAGCAAAATCATCTAACACAAAGCCTATTTTATAAGAAAGGGTTGACTATCTCATGTAATTTATTATGTATATCACTTTTGCAATATTGTAAAGTCAAAAAATCATAGCTTAGAGAATATCTGTATATAAAAACATACATATTGGGGTTCTGGCCAAGATGGAGGTGTAGGTAGATATGCTTCACTTCCTCACACAACTAAAAGAAAGATAACAACCAATTTTTTTTTTTTTTTAAAAGAGAACTGCCAGAAAATCAAACTGTATGGAAGTCCAACAACCAAGGAGTTAAAGAAGAAACATTCATCCAGACTGGTGGGAGGGGCTGAGACAGGTAGCTGGGGCAGAGAGGACTTGAGGAAAGGCGGAGGCTGGTGGACCAGACACAGGAGGTGGTGGCTGGTGGATTGGGGTTCCCACATTCATGTGCGGATACGCTGGGAAGAACAAATGGAAAGCAAAACATATCGCACAACCCAGGGTTCCAGCACTGGAAACTAAAGCCTCAAAACCTCTGACTAAAAATCTATGGGGGTTGCAGTGGTGAGAGAAACTCCCAGACTCATGGGAGAGTCCACTGGAGAGCCCCAGGGGTCCTTGAAAGTACATAAACGCACCCACCTGGGAATCAGCACCAGGGCATTACCTTGAAGGGCACAATTCGAAGGGCCTGTGGGGTAGTGGGGGAGGTGACTGAAAGCAGGGGGAGAGCTGAGCAAGTGGTATTGTTCCCTCTTTGACTCCTCCCCCACATACAGTGCCACAAAGCAGCGAAGAGGGTTGCACCGCCCTGGCGAATATCCAAGGCTCCTCCTCTTATATTATAACCAGTATGCTGAGACAAAGACATTTGGCCCAAATGAGAGATCAAAACTCCAGCCCTAGCTGGTATGGCTTAGTGGATTGAGCACCGGCCTGTGAACCAAAGGGTTGCTGGTCCAATTCACAGTATAGGGCACATGCCTGGGTTACAGGCCACCCCAGCAGGAGGCACGTGAAATGCAACCACACATTGATGTTTCTTTCCCTCTCTAAAAATATATAAATAAATTCTTAAAAAAAGAAAAAAAAAAGCAAGCAAGGTCAAAACTCAGAAAAAGAACTAAGTGACAAGGAGATAGCTAATCTATCAGATGCAGAGTTCAAAACATTGGTAATCAGGATGCTTATGGAAATGACTGAGTATGGTCAAAAAATAAAGGAAGAAGTGAAAGTTATACAAAGTGAAATAAAGAAAAATATAAAGGGAATCAACAGTGAAGGGTAGGAAGCTGATACTCAAATCAATTTGGAACAAAAGGAAGAAATAAACATTCAACCAGAACAGAATGAAGAAACAAGAATTCAAAAAGATGAGGAGAGGCTTAGGAACCTCTGGGACAACTTTTAACGTTCCAACATCCAAATCATAGGGGTGCCAAAAGGAGAACAGGAAGAGCAAGAAATAGACAACTTATTTGAAAAAATAATGAAGGAAAACTTCCCCAGTCTGGCGAAAGCAATACACATACAAGTCCAGGAAGCTCAGAGAGTCCCAAAGAAGTTGGACCCAAAAAACGAACACAGCAAGACACATCATAATTAAATTACCCAAGATTAAAGGAGAGAAAAGATGAGAGTTATCTACAAAGGAATTCCCATAAAACTCTCAGCTGATTTCTCAAAAGAAACCTTACAGGAAAGAAGGGGCTGGATAGGAGTATTCAAGTCACAAAAGGCAAGGACCTATATCCAAGATTACTCTATCCATCAAAGCTATCACTTAGAATAGAAGGGCAGATAAAGTGCTTCCCACAATAAGGTCAAGTTAGAGGAGTTCATCATCACCAAGCCCTTATTATATGAAATGTTAAAGGGACTTATCTAAGAAAAAGGTCAAAACTATGAACAGTAAAATGGTGAAAAACTCTCAACTATCAACAACTGAACCTAAAAAAAACCAAACAAAATAAAAACAGAAACTAAGCAAACAACTAGAACAGGAACAGAATCATAGAAATGGAGATCACATGAGGGTCATCAGCAGGGAAGGAGAGGGAGGAGAATGGGGAAAAAGGTACAGGGAATAAGAAACACAACTGGTAGGTACAAAATTGACAGGGGGAGGTTAAGAATAGTATAGGAAATGGAGCAGCCAAATAACTTATATGTATGACCCACGGACATAAATGGGGAGAGGGATGATGGTGGGAATGACGGTACCAGACAGAGGGAGAAAAGTGGGAGAAAAAAAATGGGACAACAGTATTAGTATAATCAATAAAACATACTTGAAAAACCCACATATGTATATAGACAAACATTTTCAGAAACAATGGTTAGCCTTACTATATATTTTTCTTTTTTTTTCTATTTTCACATGCTGATTTTCAACCCACTAAATAATTTCAATATCCACTATTGGGTTGCAATTCATAGTTTGAAAGACCCCATTTTAAAGGGAGGTAACTTTTGCCAAGCATCAGCTATGTGTTGGGAATTGTGTTATGTGACAGGCATAGTAGCCATATGAAGCAGGCATTTAGGAAACTAAGGCTAAAAATATTAAATTATTTGCTCAGGGTAACACAGCAGGTAATTGTAAAGGGTAGAAATAAATATGCGTCTGGCCTCAAAATTCATGCTTTTTACTTTACCAAGCCATCTCAGTGTGATTAGAATAAACAGACTCATTTAATGATCTAAAGAACTCTGTGAAGTATTATTATATTGTATTTATTTGAAAAAGAAGCTGCAACAAAGATAGATTAAGGAACTTGCCCAAGATCATCCAGATAATGTCTCTCCCCTGTTTAATATTCTTTGATGGCTTTCCATGCTCACAGAATAAAATAAAATGTAAACTTCTTAGCAAGAGCCAACATGATCTGAACTTGGTGTTCTGCAATGCATTCCTCGCCTCCCCCCCCCCCCGCCCCCCCAAAAAAGCCACCTGGGCCTTCTCATTCTCTGAACACACCGTACCCAATGCCCCATATCTGCATGCCTTAGGCCAGCTCCTTGGCCTTTGCTTTCCTAGTTTTCTAGTCTAACTCCTACCTATCTTTTCCTTTTCAATTCAAAGGCCACTTCCTCAGCAAAGCCTTTCCTGGAGTCTTCCCTGCTTTTTGGTGTTCCTAATGCATTCACATGTTCCACCGTGCTCAGTGGATTTCTACCTATCCTGACACTTCTCACCATATTGTAACCATTTCTGCCTTCACACACCCCCTCAAGAACTGGACCAGCAGAACTGTGTCTCTTCCTCTAGCGTCCATCATGTTTGCTCAACAGTAGTTATTACGCACCTGGTACCGTTCAAAGTATTAAAGGCACATTCAAGAACCAAACATATAATTAACCCTGCCCTCCTGGAGGTTACGTCACCGAGTCTATTCATGAAAGAACCAATGGAAGTAGATGAAAGCTCTTAATAGCATGGGTGGAATTATAAAGATGCCACCCTACGGAGAAACTGTTGACAGGGAAAGGAGTCCTCCCATGCAGATAGTGCTAACTCTGCCCTTACGACTGGCGAACTCCGCAGGTGCCCAAGACCCTTGGCTCCAACCCAATAGGCCACCACCTTTGATCCCCAACATAGTGAGTTCCCTCTGGGCCCAACGGTCTCCCAAGTGTTCTCATACCTAAACTCGGGGAGGGGCGTCAAGTAAGGATGAGTATTATAATCCAAAAAGCAACTTCCAAGTCTCCTCTGCCCAGTCGCGCCCAAAGCACGCCCCTCCCACCACCCCAGAGAAACAAGATGGCACCCGAGCAGCGTGGGCGCGGCCCCCCAGAAGTCACCTACTTAGAGCCTCCGCGCGCGCCACCAGTAACGGACACAACCCGTCGGCGCGAATGCTCCAGCCTTGGACGGAGTTGATTCGCTGATTGGTTTCAGCCGCTGTCTTTCACAGTTCCGCGGCAAGCCGTTGGACGTAGCCCCCAGGGTGGAGGCACAGCCAACGCCCATCCCCGCCCCGCCCCCTACAGCTCAAAGGGTCCACTCTTCGCACCGACTGAGAGAGGCCGCGGTCGCCGTGCGCGCACACAATGGCTCAATTCGATTGGGCAGCTTCAAGGATCCATCCACGACCCACCGCCCACTTCCCGCGCAGATATCTAATCCGCGACCAGAGAGTCTCGCTGCTGGTGGCGCCTAGAGGGGCTTACCATAGTTGTCACCAGATGCTTGTGGTGCGGCCAGAGCGCCCTTCCTAGGTCTTCCCAGACATGGTGGTTGCTGACTCACGGAAGTGAAAATGGTTTGTGGGTTGCTGTCGTGGCCGGAGGCTTCATTTTGGAGAACAGCCCGCAGGCGTGGCGTTGGAGGACTCCTCACTGCCCTGGAAGTTCATTTCCTTTTGAGTTGCTTTCCATGTCATTTCCTCCCTGAGAATATGGACATTTTGATGTCGTTTTCCTAAAGCAAAGATCCCTAGGCCAACAGAGAAAATCGTGTTTCCTAACTATCTTAAGGCTGACCGAGTTCTTTCAAGGAGTGAAGAAAGGATAAAATAATTTATTTCATTATGTCATACTAAGACAAGAAAGGGATAGTAACTATTTGACTTGTATAATGTAGATTCCTTTTTCATTCGCTACCTCACTTCATTCTGACCAAATAACCCAATAGGGAGAAGTAGATTTTTACAGGGGTAATTGAAACTGCTGTTGGCTGGGTTCGGTAGAGACAAATTGAAACAAGTCCTTTGATTCTTAATTCTAAGCTCCACTGCCAAAGAATAACTTGCATTGTGATCATACCCTAAAACATTTTTAAAAATACGTTTTATAGTGGGGAGAGGGGTCTTCTTACACAACTTAATGTTTTTTTTTTAAAAAATTATTATTATTTATACATTTTTAGAGAGGGGGAAGGAAGAAAGTGGGAGAGAAACATCTATTAGTAACCTTGCATGTCCCCAACTGGGGACCTGGGCTGCAACCCATGTGTGTGTCCTGGCCGGAACAGAACCAGCAACCTTTTTGGTTTGCAGGCCCGCGCTCAATCCACTGAGCCACACCAGCCAGGGCCTACTGTTCTTTTATAAGATGACTGAGAAATGTATATTGAATCCACTGTGAACTAACAATGAAGATCTCTATATGTCCTCTATTGTAGTGCTTTCCACACTCCGTTGTTCATATAGTTTTCACCAAACTGCAAGGTCCTGGAGGCCAGGGAGCTAATTCATAATCATTTCTGTATCCCTAGTTCCTGTTTGAAGGACACTGAGTATCTATCAAGTGAATTAATCCCGGAGAAAAGCATGCCACTTTGATTTGAGCCCATCCCCTTTTCTCCCATGAATACCCCCTCTCCCATTTTAACTAAATGAGGCTCTTGAAAGGCTGCAATTGCCAGCCACTAAGTCAGTGAAATCAGCGAACTGAAAAACTACTAACTTTATCAAAGTGTCTGAAGGCAGGTTGGAAAGGCAATGAAATTCTAGCAGGCACCTCATTCCATAGTTTTCAGTTTGACAAAACCACAGATTCTTCAACGCTGCTCTAAGACCCAGATCTCCTACAGGGACCGAGACTTCTGGCTTCGGAGATCCCAGATACCAACTTCTCTAAACCATTCCGTCTATTCTTTGAACATACCTTCCAGACAATTACATCTCTATCCTGCAAAGCCCTTGCTGCAATTTTATTTCTTTCTAAATATTATCATTAGAAAACTCTCAAGGAAATAGCAGGAAGGCAATCCCCTCCTTCTTCCTAGGTATCCGGGGAAGCAGCGGCTTCCGTCACCAAAGGGCCAGCTGTTAGATAGCAAAAGTGGGTGCCGCGTTTCTCCCCAGTTTTCGTTGAGCTAAGTAGTCCAGTGTTCCCAAGAGCTACCGGAGCGGGGAGCTTTCAGGGTGTGGCCACCTCACCTTCCAACGCCTGGCACCCTAGGGTTCCCAATTACTGTAACCCCGAAAACGAGTCCCTTTTTGCATTTAAAAAAAAAACCAAAACAGCTCAGGATTAGAGGAAAGTTATCTTGGGCAAGGTCATTTTCATAAAACGCCAAAAACCAAAACCCAGAATCCGCCCATTCCTCCCTTCATTCTTGCAGAGTGTTCAACAATGGAGGACTACGACTCCCAGAGAGGACTGCGCTAGTTCACCCGAGCAGAGACCAATAGACGGCGGCTACCTGACCGGCGTCGACTAATCAGGACCAGCCTCACTGAGGCTTTGTCTCGGAGCGCGGCGCGGGCCAGTCTCCCGCCTCCCGGCCGGCGCACGCGCGCCCCGCCCTGCTCGCCTTTCCTCCCGCGCCCTGCCCTCTCCTTTCTCCCTCTCAGAACCTTCCTGCTGCTGCCTTCGGACCTCGCTGCTCTAGCCTCTGGGGCACGTCCCATTCTACCAGCCTGTGAGCAGCAGCGGAGAAAAAAATTACATATTTCCTTGCCCCATTTATTTTGAGGCGAGCAAAAATTTTTAATTTTAACCATGAGGGAAATCGTGCACATCCAGGCGGGCCAGTGTGGCAACCAGATCGGTGCCAAGGTAAGGATTTTAAACCTCTTTGAACTGTATTACTTTTTGAAAAGAACACCCAGATAAACTATGACGAATGGTTGCGGGCTGTTTGCACTCTTCAACCTTAACCAAACTTTACCAAAAAGAAGTTTTATATGGATAATACACAATTGTAGCCAGAATTTGATTTTGAAAAGTGGAGAATTAATTTTCTTGGCAGAGGCATTTTGGGGAAGTTATCCAAAGCACCCTTGAGGTTTGTGGGGGGCGGGAAATCGAGGTTCTGATAGTTTTACTTAAAGGGAGTCTCCTAACGGTCTGAGGAGGGAGATCCCGAAACCGGCCGATACAAAGCGAGGCGAGGTTGCTACATGTGGATCCCCCTTGGCGGGGAGTCCTGGGCCAAGCCAGTGGGGGAAGGGGCGAGGGTGAGGGAGCAGCTGCAGAGCCTGGCTCTGAAGCTGGGGACGCGGTGCGCCAGGGTGGGGGGCACTGCGCGTTACTTCCACATAGACCAAGGGTGTCCGCTCGATCCCGTTATGCCTGAGTGGCGGGCCCATAGTTTTTCGTGGATGGAAAGCTAATTAATTAGCTGGATTTGTTTTGCTGCCATTATTTCCCCTTAAAGGGCTTGAATAAGATAGAAAAAGGGGGGGGTCTTCTTCTTTAAAGGGTCTCTCGTGACTAATGGTAGGAGAAAAGAGAATCCTCATTTAAAGCAAGAAGAGAGGGAAAGCTACCTACCTAGCCAAGGGATAAAATTCCAGGGCGAAGGTTCCCCCCCATCACGCGCGCGGCTACAGTGTAACGGGGGAGGAAGTGTGGCTGCTACGTTGTAGCAGAGCGGCAGGGCCCTGCGGGCGACTAGGGGGCGCGCTAGCTCGAGCTAGGCCCGGCTTCCCCCCTCCCCCACTCCCTTGATTTCGCGCCTTGGCCCCGCCCATGCAACGAAGCCTCCCTTTTGTCTGAGGCTTTGCGCGCGCTTGCGCTAAAGTGGCTGGAAGGCTCCGGGTGGGCGACTGCGGCAGCAGTTTCTACCCGCCCTTTCTGCGCAGCCTGGAGAGGCGGTGCCCTGGGTGGCAGGCGAGCCTTCCTAGTCAGGTCGGCCGCCTCAGCCCACCCCACCAGTGTCCGGGATCACCGGGCCCTCCCAGCTGGACATCATTTCACATCCCGAGTCGGCTTTCCCGGGGGTAGAGGTTTTTAGGGGAGGGGGCGTGGCAGGCAGATCGAGGGGATGCCAGACCCTAGAATAGTGTGTCTGGAGTGAAAGTGGAGGCAGGGCATAAGGGACCTGAACAGTGAGGATTCATCGCTTTTTCCCCACAGTTCTGGGAGGTGATCAGTGATGAGCATGGCATCGACCCCACTGGCACCTACCACGGGGACAGCGACCTGCAGCTGGATCGCATCTCCGTGTATTACAATGAAGCCACAGGTGAGAGGAGTTCTGGAAGATCAGGTCCCATCTCTCTTCTGCAGTCTTTTTCCATTCCTAGGGAACCCTCTCTCGGATGAATCCATCCTTTGCCTTTGGAGACCTTTATTTCTCACCATGGGGGGGCCAGACTAGGTCTGCTGCCACCTAGTGGTAGTTCCTGGAATAACAAATACGGGTTCCTGGTTGTGACCTAGTCCCAATTTATTTACCTTCTGCTAATTTTCACTCCTACTTTTCTTCCCTGCAGGTGGAAAATATGTTCCTCGTGCTATTTTGGTGGATCTAGAACCTGGCACCATGGACTCTGTTCGCTCAGGTCCTTTTGGCCAGATCTTCAGACCAGACAACTTTGTTTTTGGTAAGTTATATAATTTGTAGATAAGCATCATATTCAATTTAAACGTGTGCAAGAGGACAGCAAGAGTTAGAAAATGATTATGGTAACTGAGTTTTTATAGGGCCATGTTTTGAAATCTCAGAGAGTGGGGGGAGTTATATGGTAAACTGTGGGTGGGGGAATATATATCACAGGTGAGGAAGAAAATGAAGATACATCCATGAGTATTATTCCAAGAGTTGAAAGGTGATTGTGTATGTACCACACTTTGCTAATCAAGCTTACTTCCCAACCTCATTCCAGGTCAGTCTGGGGCAGGCAACAACTGGGCCAAGGGCCACTATACAGAGGGGGCCGAGCTGGTTGACTCAGTCCTGGATGTGGTACGGAAGGAGGCTGAAAGCTGTGACTGCCTACAGGGCTTCCAGCTGACCCACTCACTGGGTGGGGGCACAGGCTCTGGAATGGGCACTCTGCTCATCAGCAAGATCCGTGAAGAGTATCCTGACCGCATCATGAACACCTTCAGTGTGGTACCTTCACCCAAAGTATCTGATACCGTGGTTGAGCCATATAATGCCACTCTTTCTGTCCATCAGTTGGTAGAGAATACCGACGAAACCTACTGCATTGATAACGAGGCCCTTTATGACATTTGCTTCCGTACCCTCAAGCTGACCACGCCAACCTATGGGGACCTGAACCACCTTGTCTCAGCCACCATGAGTGGTGTCACCACCTGCCTCCGCTTCCCTGGCCAGCTCAATGCTGACCTTCGCAAGCTGGCAGTCAACATGGTCCCCTTCCCACGCCTCCACTTTTTCATGCCTGGCTTTGCCCCTCTAACTAGCCGTGGAAGCCAGCAGTATCGGGCTCTCACTGTACCTGAACTCACCCAGCAGGTATTTGATGCCAAGAATATGATGGCTGCTTGTGACCCCCGCCACGGTCGGTACCTCACTGTGGCTGCTGTTTTCCGTGGGCGGATGTCTATGAAGGAGGTGGATGAGCAGATGCTCAATGTGCAAAACAAGAATAGCAGCTACTTTGTGGA